TGTGGTAGGGATCCATGCATTTTCTTTCTCATCGAACTGCTGTACAATATATTTTTCTATTCATTTCTTTCAGAATTTAATAGCAATGTTTATGAATAAATCATATTCTTTTTCCCCTTTTCCACTTTACAAATCAGTGGCCTGACATGTAAGACATTTTGTTAAAACATTTTGTGAAACCTACAATTCTCTTTAAATATTGGTGCATCTAGCCAGCAGGTTAGTTCAATGTGTACTGTATATAAGATCTGGTAATGTTATTTGAAGAATGTCAATGGGTTTGTTGTGGCTGTTAAACTACACAAGTAACAAAAAATTCCTGTATTCTTTGCAATAATCATCTTATCTGTTTGTCCTTAATCATGCCTTTCACACTCTCAAAGAATTTATTTCTGGAGGATAAACGTAAATGAAAATGGCCGATCTGTTCACTGGATGTAGATAGGTGGTTGTTTTGTGTTGGTCTGCCAAGAATGTTATCTTGTCACTACTGTCGAGCTGGTTGTTTACAGTTCTTCACGTTACGGAAACTTATTAGTTAATCAAGATGTGAAGCATTTGCTTTTAATCCTCAAGATGTTACAGGTTAGGAATCGAGGTGATCAACCTACTGGTATATGTACATAAATTACTAGGAATTGATTAATATTCCAATATCAGACACTATTTTCTGTATCTTTCTAATTCATTTTCTGGATACTTACACGTAATTGGGTTAAGCTAAGTGTGATCTTGCACTTCACATGTTTTATCATGTTTGAAAAGGAGGCACAATAAAATCTGTGACTGTTATCGTTGGTGAATCTAGCAATGGCAGGAGCTGCAATCATAAAGATAAGATACAGATTGAGAAAAACAGGAGCATGGCTTCTCCCAGGCTGATGAACACATCAGAAATGGGAAGGTGGAAAAACATGTATTTGTTACACAAGGATTATATTCCAGGACAAGTTTGAGGCGAGTGGAAACGGTGAATGAAGATGATGGTGAAATGATAGGCACCCAGGAGAATGGGATGTAATTACCACACAACAAACTTGGCCTTGTGGTGCGGGAGGGGGAGAGAAGAGTACCTGGGGAGGGTCTGGAGCTTTGCCAAACTGGGTATATGTGTTGAATCTTTTTTCCATTCCTTGGTAGTCACCATAGTCTTGGTCTGATTATCCACCGTGTATAGCCAGGACCTTCACTACACCGTGCTGTTGGTAGGAACAACTGCTTGGTACCAGTAGATGGAAACCTTTATATGTTTGCGCTGTTTGTAGTCTCACTTCTTGTGAGCCAGGTGTGTTACAATGGTTATGGGCGACAGCTTTGACATATTTTTACACTGATCTTTACAATAGTGGCAGATAGTAAACAAGAAAATGCAGAGATAAGATAATATAGTTGCTCTACGTTTTGATGTAGTTTTGATATTTTTAGTCAAAGAAAGTTTTTATTTTACCCAAATACAAATATTTCCGGAAATTACAGAAGAAACTGCTTTTATGATTCTCTTTATATTTTTAAATGATATTTGCTTCAGGTGGTAAAAACTATTGGCAAGTGTAGGAAAGGCTGATCATTTACATGTGTTTGTAGTTAATGGTAGTGTAGAGATTCCATTCAACTCATTCAGGATTCTATTGTTCATGTTATACAATTTCCCAGGCACTTGAAGATCCAGGTTAGAATTTGTCTTCAGCAACCCATGCTTTTGATATGAAGCGACTAACAGGATTGGGTGGTCAGGCTTGCTGACTTGGTTGACACATGTCATCGTATCCCAATTACGTAGATCAATGCTCATGCTGTTGATCACTGGATTGTCTGGTCCAGACTTGATTATTTACAGACCGCCACCATATGGCTGGAATATTGCTTTGTGCGGCATTAAACAACAACCAACCCAAACCAAACCAGGCACATGGTCTCATTATGTAAGAGTATATATGACAGGGAGTGTGTCGTTCAGCAAATCTGTTCTCCTGTGGTTTTCTGGGTTAGAATTGGTCCCTGAAACATGGAGTAGATGGTCAGACTCGCTGACTTGCTTGTCATCGTAACCTGATGGATTGTAGCTCACAATATCAGTCACTGGTTCAGATCTGAAAGTTAGGCTGCAGTCACACAGCTGAATGACTGTAACATGAAGCAACATAAACAAAATAGATGTGACGGACGACGTAGTTATTTGTCTTGCTTTGGTTCTACAGGGATGCAGCAGGCTTTTGTTGATCACATCCTGCCAAGTGCACTTGTAAACTCTCTTACTCTAGCAGCTTGAGATACTTCTGAGTGTTTATATATTGTAATAACAAGGCATTTCAAGCTCTTGTCTTGCCACACACAGAATCTGTCTACATGAGGATGTTCTTCACACACATGCACATGATACATTGCTTGTATGAAGCACTGAAAGGCTGATAGAGGAGTGATGTTGTTAAATATTGTAACATGCTCACACCTCCCCAACAAACTGTAAATACCTTTCTCAATAATCACACACTTACTTAATGTTGGGGGAGGTTGGTTAGCCTAATGGTTCAGCATCGGCTTGTTGCACTGAAGCCCTGGGTTTGATTCTCCGCGTGGGTACAGTGTGTCGTGTCCCTTTCTGGGGTCTTTCCTCTTCTGTCTGTCCCCTAGGTGTTGTAGCATGAATATTGCTGAAAAAGGGATTTGATTTGATTTAATTTATGTCATGGATCTGAGCTAAGACCATTTTCTTCATTGGTAAAACATCGGCAATGGGGAGTTTATCTACTAAAAACTTTGAGCTCAATAACTACTCGGAGGAAGTAGTTGTATGACACAGCACTTCAGTATCACAAAGCAGCAGCAATATTGTAGAACATTACAAATAATGGAAAACATGCCAGTCTGTGATGCAATCTTGTCCCAACGCCAGATTATTCCAGTCATTGCTGGTGCAAGATATTGTCATGCCCACAGTATAAATCTTATATGACATGATGGCTAAAGCATCTGAAGTGAATTATCTCCATTGCTTAGAAGCCATGGGGAGTCGCCTCTAAGTGTCGGTGGAACAGATGATAGGTGACATTGCTGTGCAGATATAATGTGTTCCATATTGTGCCACAGCTTGATTACACTATTGATGTGTCCATGACGAGGGATCCAGGTGGTAAACCGTGTCAGTCAAGTAGATGGCTGACGTTGTGTAAGGTACATGATCCTTGAGCAGCGCCGTGCCCCCTCCCCCCCAAGCTCACTAACTGTGCTGATGTCCTGTGTGGGAACTGGTAGATGCATGCTTTCTGTTACGATTTTTCTGTTTGTCAACAACCTTGACAGATGGAGAAGACATGCGACGAACATGTTGAAACTAATATCTAAGATGGCTGAAAACTATGCTTTGTTGCAAGGTATAAGACATGTATACAATCTTTCTTCATAGCTATTTTGTGGTTTCTTTTGCATCATGAAATGGTATGTGACATTAGGTATATATGATAGCAAGTCTATATTTAACTGGATGCACTTTTGTAAACAAAACCAGTAGGCAATGGGTGTCAGTATCAGTGGTTTTCTGGATAGTTAATTTGTGTATTGTGATATTTACCGTCTTTTACACTTAAGTTTTGTGGTGAGAGTATAACACTTGTTATCACCATCCTCTCATTTTCAATATTTCCCTCGGGTTTAATCTTTGCTGTGTGAATTTTTTTGTACAGAAAATGTTTTATTATGTCTTTGAAAAAGGCAAGAGAACAGTTTTCAAAATTGTGATCCTGAACATAAACTTGATAAGAATGTTTGAAAGCTATCTCTGGGGATAAGATGCTGTCTCCTCCATCTCTTGTTATCATTCATTTGCAGAAGCTGTGCATCCCGGATAAGATTGTACACGCAGGAGGATCCTGTGTGTTGAACCTACGTATGAATTAGTCATTGTATGCTTGTTAATCACTAGTGGACATCATGTCTGTATTCCGGGACATATCTCGGTGGGGAAGGGGATAACTTATAACTATTGGAGGGGTGAGTTGTCACTATAGGAGGGGTGAGTTATCTCTGTAGGAGGGGTGACAGGAGGGATGGTGTCTCTATTAGAGGTGTTTGGTAGGAGGATATATCACTACAGGAAGGGGGGACAGGCCCTCATGTCGTTGCAAGGATTAAAAATTGAACAAAAGATGACTTGAAATGCTTCACAGTACAATACATCATGACAAGACCAGACACTTCCACCCACCCACCTTTGCCGATCGCTGGTTATTCCGAGATGTATAAAAATAGGACATGGGGTATTCCTTGTATCAACATAGGACATAGTATATTCCTTGGTATATCAATATAGGACATGGGGTGCTCCCTGATGTATCAATATAGGACATGGGGTACTCCCTGATGTATCAATATAGGACATGGTGTATTCTTTGATGTATCGATATAGGAGATGGGGTATTCCTTGATGTATTGATATAGGACATGGTGTATTCCTTGATGTATCGATATAGGACATGGTGTATTCCTTGATGTATCGATATAGGACATGGTATGTTCCTTGGTGTATCAATATAGGACATGGTATATTACCTGATGTATCAATATAGGACATGGGATATTCCTTGATGTATCAATATAGGACATGGTATATTCCCTGATGTATCAATATAGGACATGGTGTATACATATTTTCTGATGGGTATCAGGGGGCGGTCGGGTATCCTTGATGTATCGATCATATAGGAGATGGCTGGTCGGGTAGCCTAGTGGTTAAAGCGTTCCCATGTCACACTGAAGACCCGGGTTGGTTTCCCCCACCATAATATTGATAAAAGCGACGTAAAACCAAACCCAAGCCACTCACTCACTCACTCACTCACTCACTCACTCACTCACTCACTCACTCACTCACTCACTCACTCACTCACTCACTCACTCACTCACTCACTCACTCACTCACTTGATGGATTGATATATCACATGATGTATTCCCTGATGTATCAATGTCAAACGTGTATGGTTTAGTATTATATTTTTTGCTTCAGATGGGAGGAGCGTCGCACAACAAGTGGCCGTGTACATTATGTAAATCATGTCACCAGGACAACACAATGGGACAGACCCACAAGGTAGGTGTAACTGATATGAGTCACTGGATTGTCTGGACCAGGCTCAATTATTTACACATGGTCATCATAGAGCTTGAATATTGTTGAGTGCAGCATTATACAACAAGCTGACATGATATTATGTTACCTTTTGTTATTTACGGTTATTGTATTTGATCAGTGATATCCTGATATCAGTATGAACCAAAATCATACTGACTTCCTCTAAAACAAATTGTGCCCTTTGAGGATCCTATGATCTGGTGCTCCCCACCCCTTCCCTCACCCCATTGGACTGCCATCACACCTGACTCCCAGGCTCCACTAACTCATTCACCTGGGCACCCCCATGTACAAAGACATTACACCAGACTGCCATGCTTCTCCCACTCACCTGGTAACCTTCCATCCTCTTCTCTCTCCATCTCCCCTGACTACTAACATGCTTACCAACACTGACTACCATTCTGCCACTCCCAGGGATATGTACACTATGTCAACAGTACACACATGTTATGAATCAGGTCATGGTGCTGTTTCACCCTTGTATCTCCCACTACCTCCTGCTTCTTCCACCCAGAACCCTAATGAGAAATTCTACATGCTCCCTGGGAGGGAAGGTAACCTTTTGCAACACCCCCACAGGTAGAACGATAGGTTAGTGGCTGCATCTGGTGTGACCTTTGCTACAGGTATATGCTTTGCTGGATTTATGAATGGCTGATAGTTATGTGGTTGATGATGGCTGTGACTGTTCTTAAATAGTGTATGTGATAGTGGTTGCCATGTGTCATATTTGTGTCCTCCTAGATGTGACTTTGTCACATTGATATAATTTAGATTGATAATCTTGTCAGATTTTGAATTATCAGTGGTGATAATTCTGATAGTTAGATTAATGGCTATATTCCTTAAGCATGACATTTTAATGCAATAAATTATTATTTTTGAAGGAGTGTAAATCAGTCTTCAGTATTGCTAAAAAAAACGCATTTCTACCTGTCCAAAGCTCTTTCTACCCTTACCCATGAAGGTCTGGGTTAGAATATTGATCTTCAGTAACCCTTGCTTGTCGTAAGAGGCGACTAACGTGATTGGGTGGTCAGGCTCGCTGACTTGGTTGACACATGTCATCAGTTCCCAATTGCGCAGATCGATGCTCATGTTGTTGATCACTGGATTGACTGGTCCAGACTCAATTATTTACAGACCGCCGCCATATAGCTGGAATATTGCCGAGTGCGGTATAAAACTAAACTCACTCACTCATTCTTTCTACCCTAACTACTAATTTCTGACACTACTTAGCATATGGACTATTCTTGTCAGACCTTACTCTACATTTTTTGACTGGACCTTAGCTTCAGGCTGTTGTTAATGGCACTGAATGGTGAAAGAATTCAAAAGTGGGAGTTCTTAATTCACTTTTGGAAAATCAATGATATTTGTCCATCACTTAGCTGGAGTCTTGGCACAGTGACGGGATTCCTGACAGCTTCCTGCTGTATGTTGTGACTGTAAGCAATGTGCAGAACTGAATACCCAGTCCCTGTGTAAATACATGGATATTAGTAATGCGGTATTAATGCTCAGTACTCTCCTACAACAACTAGATAATCTCACTGGAAAGTGGCCCACTGTCTGAACTGTTGTGCTCATGGAGTATGGTGTATGTGCATACTTGCATCCATTCACTGATGGATTCTCATCTTTGCCAAATGTCAGGCTTCAGTGTAGCTCTCAGTTCCCTCTGCCCTGCCAACATGTCACTGGGACCAGTGGATGGTTACAGGCTTTGGTCTCAGCTGTTAGGGTCATGGGTAAGGTGCTACTGTGTTTGCTTACTGTGACATACAGATTGGTTTGATTCCCTACATGGTTACCAATGTTCAAAATTAAGCATGAAAGTCAAGGTTTCCTTGTCATAAACCTAAGGTTGAAAAGTACAAATATAAAGGGTCACAAAATTCATATTGTAGCAGTAAATGCACCCTCAATTAGGAACACAGATTTTAGAGCCAGTTATCGTGTATCTTTTATGCCTTTCTGGCCCTTTAACAAAGGTACAAGGTTGAGATGAAGAATTCCAGGCAGTATTGTGTGTTTACATATTGTTTGTACTCTGGGACGAAAACAGAAAAAAAAAATTCTCATACCTGAATTACACATCTTCAAGGAGCCTGTCAACCCACATCAAATAATTCCATCATTATTGCCCGAGAGCTAGATGTTTTTCGACCCACCTCTCTGTTGGTGGCTGTGATGTTTCCAGTGGTGTATGCAGATGACATTTGTTGTGTAAGGGTCTGCTCGGTTTTTCCACCCTCCCATTTCACACTCTGCCCTCCTTGTATGGGATTGCCTGAAGGGAGTCAGGTAGAATTGCTAGGATGTAAAACGGCAGTTACAATATCAGCCAGTCATGTGGGCGACAGAGGAACAGATTCGGGGATAAATATGTGATTGATCAATGGTCTGGTGCCATATTTGAGGACTGAATGAATGTAGATGTGGCTCATACACGTTATGACTTATTTTGCACTTTAACTTCCCAGTTTCATCAACATTAATTATTTTCATGTATGTTTGGATTATATATATAGGTATAGTTTGGACACAGGTGTTCATCTGTGAGGGTTTACATGAAATTGTGTTGTACTTGCTGGAAGTGTTCTCAAAAGAGTATAAAACTTCAGTTTATAAAGTTGAACTTGAGTGTTTTAAGACTGATGTTATGTTGGGTATATAGGTAGGGTGGTAGTGTAGTAGTTAAGGCCTTTTCTTGCCGTGCGGAAGACCCAGGTTCGATTCCCCACATGGGTACAATGTGCAAGCCCATTTCTGGTGTCGCCTGCCTTGATATTGCCCAAACATTACTTAAAGCGGTGTAGAACCATACTCACTTACTCACTCATTCTAGCATAGGTTGCTAGGGACCAATTATAATTCAGGGACTTGCACAGGTTGGTTGAATCGATCTCATGATTGGGATAATGTGTTGTCATGTTGTCATGTCATGTTGGATGGCATGGTTTATTTGGCTGTACCATCACTTTAAAGTATTACGTTTTCATTCATTGTACTGTAAATCAATCCTTGCTTGCTTTGTAGGCCTGCCACTGAGTGTCGCCGCCCTGTGAGTGTGGTAAACCCTGTGGTGAGCAGTCCTGGCTCATCATCGTCATCATCCTCCCCCAGCAGCTGCCCTGACGACAGCAACAACCAATCCAACCACCAGTTCGTGAGGCGCAGGTCAACACGCAGGCGACAGTATCTCAGTCGGGCGGAGCTGCACAATGCTGTCACTCTGCCAGAGGGATATGGTAAGATATCTAATGTACCTAGAATTATCAAGAATTATTTTTTATTTCACAAAGTTCACCCTGATTATGTCTCAGGTGTGTCATCATCATACTTGTGGTAATTGATCTGTGTTGTAATTCAGTTTGTTACATAAAACAACTATTCATGGTGATGTTATGACATTCATAAGTGTTGTTGCTGGAGAAAGCAAATGGATTTAATGCTGATGTAGGTAACCATACTTGCACATCTCTCTTAGAGACCCTGTTTGTTAATAAAACCGTCACCTGAATTCCATTCCCATGCCAGTCTATACTAAAGCAGGATAGGGTCATCCAATTTCAGCCCTGAAATGAACAGATTTGAGATTTTTGATAATTATTTTTACTCAATCATGTACATAATTTTTATTTATGTGAGTTATCCTGCCTATCTGGCCTGTTATCCTGATTATGATGGTGTATATTACAGAACAACGGACCACTCAGCAAGGTCAGGTGTACTTCCTGCACACAAGGACAGGGGTCAGCACATGGCATGACCCGAGAGTACCCAGGTAGGGACAACAAACTCTTTAGGAAGCTCTTAACCAGGGTTAGAAATTTACATTGTAATTAAATTTAAATTTAAATTGTAATTTCCAAAATTCATTTAGTGACATTTCTTTGTGGACTCCCACTTACAACTGTTTTGTACACAGCAACATGGTAACAATAATCTTTGTGAACTGGTGGAAATAATAGAAAGCCTAACCCTGGTTACCAGTATTTGTTTTAAGACCATGATCCCACCTTATAAATGACAGGGGTTTTGTTGAAGTTTCATTCAACTGTGACTTGAGTTTACAATCTGAGAGTAAGTTTCCTCTGTAACCTATGAAATTCTGAGGTTACTGAATGATATGTCAGTCAGTGTCTGTAGAGATACACTTCTGTTTCATGAATTTCAAGAGATGAAATTTGGTTTATTTAGATAGAACGTAAAAAAGTCTAGATGAGAGCTGTATCCCTCGCTGACAAACATTGTTCCTGGATGAACAAAAGTTTTCCCTGTGAAATTAGAATAAAAAAATTTGAACTGCCACTACTGACAAATAGTGTAATTGCCTTGTGTAAACAAAAACATGGGAAGTGTTAAGATTTACCTGATATATTTATTCTGCAGTTTTTGGAATGTGTTTTTGTGTGGAAAAAATAATCAGAGAAAGATAACATGCTTTTGAAGCATGATTAAAATATGTCACTTTTTCCAGTTTTAATGACGAATACGCCACAAATATCACAAGTCTTTGGCTATTCCAAACAGTTCATTTTGTTACCTGATTTTCTTCCCAAACATTTAAATTTCTGATGATAGGCACACAAAAAAGTCTGAATTCACATTCCTTAATCAATTATTGTATACTTCTGTTAGAGCATATTGGAGAGTTGTTGGTCAATTGTGGTTTCGTAGAGTCTTGAATCCATGTGCAATTTCATCCCCATGCCATAAGCATACCCACTGCCACCTCAATCAGTCAGTTGTGTACCTACACCATGTGCTTCCAATCTGAAGCTGTGTTCAAGAAGAATGGCAGCAGTATGTGGTCATTGTTTACAAAGATATTACCTGTACGTGCAGGATGTTATCAGTGCCGTTTACACCAAGCATCTTCTTCTGATGTTTTTACACCTAGACTTTAATGCTTCTTTAAAGTAGAGTTGTTTCTCCAGTAAGTTTGTCATTCAACCACAGTGAACTAGCCCACTGTGTGTCCCTAAAACCTTGATGCCTACTCGAGTCCTTGATGCCTACACAACTAGACCGGCCCAATCAATGTTTGCACAGCAAGTCCTTTATGCCTATTAAAATAGAAAGTCGGTGTTTAGATATGGCCCAGTCAGGTGTTTCTTCACTGAGTTCTTGATACTGAGAAGCCTACTGAAGGAGACTGATCCCCTCAGTGTTTCCTGAGATCTTGATGCCTACTCAGGAGGATCCACTCAGTGTTTCCTGAGATCTTGTTTCAAGGAGACATTGAGATCTTGATGCCTACTCAAGGACACTGATCCCCCTCATTGTTTCTTGAGACCTTGATGCCATTGAGGACACTGATCAAGGAGACTGAGACCTTGATCCCCTCATTGTTTTCCTGAGACATTGATGCCTACTCAAGGAGACTGATCTCAGTGTTTCTTGAGACCTTGTTACCTGAGACATTGATGCCTGCTCAAGGAGACTGATCCCCCTCATTGTTTCCTGAGATCTTGATGCCTATTGTTCAAGGATGACTGATCCCCCTCATTGTTTCCTGACCTTGATGACTCATTGATGCCTACTCGGTGTTTCCTGAGACTGATGCCCCCTCAGACTGTTCCCCTGAGATCTGAGACCTTGATGCCTACTCAAGGAGACTGATCCCCCCATCAGTGTACTGAAGCCTGAGACATTGAGTGTTACCTGAGACCTTGATGCCTACTCAAAGACACTGACCCCCTCAGTGTTTCCTGAGACCTTGATGCAGACTGGCCCCATCAGTGTTTCTACACCTAATCTTTGATGCCTACACAAGTAGACATGCCCCTCGAGGTGTTTTCTTTTTTAGATCTTGATGTCTACACAAGAGGACCAGCCCCCTTTGGTGTTTCAACACTGAGAACTTGATGCCTACACAAGTTGACTAGCCCCCTTTGGTGTTTCCTCACCGAGAGCTTGATGCCTCTACAAAGTAGACTAATTCCTCTTTGATTGTTGTGGCACAATTCCAGAATTTCCTAGTTTTGAATTGCAGTGTAATGAATTGGATGAGACCATGGCTTGTATGCTTTATTCCTGTGTTAGATTATCTGAGCTATGTGGAACAAGCTGTTTTCCTCATGCTGCTTCACTTACTCGTTATGCTGGTAGCTGTTGAGTATATACAATCCTTTTGAAATTAGGTTTGTTTTGCCCATTTTCTATAAAAATCTGAAAACACCACTAACTATGGCTGATGCTTTTGCTGGGTCTGTTTTCATGCAGAGTCTGATGCATTGAATGGACCTGCACATGATTCATAGTTTTATAAGGAGGTATCCGGAAACCTCTCAGCAGCAGTCAGATCACTATCAGAATGCTATATTATTATGATTATGATTTTCACCGCATTTCCCTTATATCCACGAATCAAGGTTACGCGAGTGTATTATTAAAACCATACCTGCTCTTAAAGGGTACAAAGTTGAGGGTTTCCACAGCTTGTAAAACAACTTTGTCGACGTTTACATGACATTCCCATTTTTCAAAGGATGACATGCTGGTTGCAATCGCCGTTGTAGCACATTGTAATTGTCTACTTATAACCACTTGTGTTTATAAGTTGACATTCAAGTATACCTGATAGCTATAAGAGTAAACTCATGAAGGATGTTGACTGAAGAAGTGCAAACGTAATGATGAGGACTGGGATCGGCATTATGACAGTTGTAAGGTGTAAGGATGGTTCGTTGAAGTGAAACAGAGCTTGTTTCCTGGGAACAGTTTAACCTGGCATTCATCACGGGGAAACTGTTTTTGTGGTGGAACTGCAATAGTAGCAGCACTAACTTGGCCTTGAAGAAGAGCAGCACTCGTATGTTATTAACAGAATGTTCTAATGTACCACCCAGTAGCTGTGTGTAAACTGCCAGTTACCCAACATACCATCTCCAAACACTGCTGAGTTTGCCATTCGTTGAACGGTTCCCACTGTCTGCCCGAGAACTTAGTCCTGCTAGCACAACGAATCCACTATGAGATGAATATGATACATATCATGAATATTGGGTAACAAATATGATTATTAGGTAATACAACAACAAGTCAGCAGTTGATGCATAATTCAACATAATCAATGACAGAATAACAGAAGAAATTATTGACCATGTTCACACGATTAATTTATCATGACCTTGACCAGTGACCACATTAGCGTGTTGGTGATTATACGTTATGGCTTGGATAACTATTTTGCACATCTGATAAATAAGGCCCCAATTGAAGTAAAATCACTCCTTTTTAAAAAAATATAAATGAATGTTCGATTCTGGTGATCGTGAATAGCAAATCGATTTCACGAAGGGATACATTTTGGATCACCGAATACGGCCCTAATAATGTAATGTCCATCACATGTGTTCAGCATACAGAAACTACTGACAGCAATTGTATGACAACCGGGGTTTACCTACTTACTTCACCAGAAGGAACACTGTCTAAAAGCAAGTTAAAGGAAACCACATATTTGTTATGCTCTGAACAGATTATATTTTGGGTTATAAATGATTTTCTAAACATACTTACAGTGAATACTGTTGAAACACGTATGAAATACAGGTGATCACAGATTCTCTTGATTACTGATGTGATAAGACGTATAACACTACGACTGAATCTATGGAAGGGGAATTGGGCATTCTTCTCCCCTAAAATGTGGTTTGATTCTCCAAAATATATCTGCAAAGCCAACTCCTGTCCTGCTGCCATGTTTTCACTAACAGCAGCCTAAAACCTGAAAATTCATTTGGTTCATAGAATACTTGTCAGTGTTTTGTGCCACTGTGCCTGTAATTTAACAGTGACACATGTATCGACATCTTGTTTAAGGCAGGATTGATACAGCAGTTATATGTCATGGAACATGTATGTTAATTGTTTTGTGATCAGTGTGTGGACAGATGTAATTCCTTTTAGAGTCTGTTTAGTAACCTAAGTCTCAGCAAAGCTGAGTTATTCATGTGAACAAATCGTTTACATTATTGTTATTGAAACTGGCAATAAATCACCGGGGCCTGTACTCAAGGGGCTAGCTGAAAAACACCCATCCATCTCCATACTGCAGCCAAGGGTAGAACAACCGTGGGTGTTAGCAATGAAAGCAAACCTGATACTCACCATGCAGGAAGCTCCAGCTGGTCTCATTCGTACCAAACTCTAATAGTTTTATGATTGGGTATTGTGATATCTTATTGTTCCCAAAATACCTTTTGGCTGCAGTCTTGTCAAGTTTTTGGTGTTTTGGTCTTTGATACTTTTCTTTGAGGATTTGTGGAATGTTTAGAAGGAATCAGTACGAAAGTAAACCGGGTTCCAAAATTCTTTTGATCTCATGATGTCTATCCTACAAACATTTAAAATGAATCATCAGTGAATTTCACATTTCATCAGAGCGAAATCCAGTTACAGTTTCATATGTAGTACATATTTAGGTGAGGTTTCAGTTTTATATAACAGACTTATCAGTTGAAGATATCTTGTGTGAAGAAAATAGCAAAACCCTTTGAAAAATTCACACACCTAAATTTGAAATCCACCTGAAGTTGAAAAGCAATGATAACCAGGCGATAACCATGTTCCCTATCAGTCTGTCTGAATGTGTGAGGGCAACACCCTAGTGCAAAGTAGCAGGATCTGGTTAACCTGTGCTGGGCCAGGTGTTGTGAGTCACTGTTTCACTGGAAGCCTATATACATGCTGCCAGATGGCCCAACCAAATGCTGCCTGTTCTTCAGTTGTTCTTAAAACAAAAAAACTATCTGTTAAAAATAGCTGATCTCACCGAGTGTGTGCTCAAGCTAACGGACACCGCTAACAGACCAGACTTGTACGAGTTTGGCAGCTTGCCCTTTGAATACGAGTTGAATTCAAGAAGATGTAAAACAGAAGTAATTAAATTTAAGGCTGTTGGGGTAATGAAGCATGATAGAAGATAATTAGATTTTTACTTCACTTTGCATGATGAGCCTGTGTTGTCGCCACTCTCACAGTCAAAAGTGTTTGCTGGCCTTATCTTGTAGATGTTGATGTTAACAAGAAAGTATTATCTCTTGATATGACAAGGGTAATCAGAGCTGGATGAACGTGTATTTTTCAGTTACACTTGCAATTAGGAATATATATATTTTTTCTTTTTTTCTTTCTTCTGTATGGGAATTGCATTAAAATGTCAATGTGTCAGTGAGAGTTTAAACTTGAAACAGCTCAAATTGGCGCGTCATTGGTGTACATTTTTGTTTTGATGGTGGGACCACCTTGTACTTTTAATTAGGCAAACAGTTTGCTCTCTGTTTGACTCACAGATAACTCATAACAAATTAACTGACAATTATGGGTACTGCATTTAAGGAATTGAGAGGTTATTTTGGCATCATGTTTAAAGTGTTTGCTAAGTAAGACCTTGGTTTGAATCTCAGCTTGTCTATGAGTCAGTTTCCCCTGTAAATAGACTTTGCTTGAGTATAGCTAAACACAGTGTAACACTCATCTATACTCATCTATGGACATTTTCTCTATGTCGGAGTACATATAAGAATGTTTGTTTTATTTTCAGGGATATTTCCAATCTGAATCTTGGTGAGGAAGATCTGGGTCCCATGCCTCGAGGCTGGGAGTTAAGACAAACAGGGAATGGTCGTGTCTACTTTGTTGATCACATCAACCGAACCACCCAGTTTACAGATCCCCGACTCTCGGCCAACATCCAGCTCATTCAACAGAAATTGTGAGTTAAATATATGACCAGAAAATGATTCCTTGTGTCCTGCATTGTTCAAAATTTAGCTAAAAAATCAAGGGTTCCTTATTCTAACCCAATATTAGTAGTTATAATGAAGAAATGCCCTGGATTCAAGTGTAGAACACCTAAAAGACACCAAGATCTCCTTTAATTTGGAAAGTCATATGGACTTACTCTTCAGAATGGTGGTTATTGCTGCAAGAATATTTCAAATTCAAAGATGTCCCCGAGAATTTGTTATTGTCATTGTTTGTGTGCATAGCAAGTGCAGAGTGATTTTTCTTTTGGGAAAATATGTGGTTGATTTGTTGGTTGTGCCATATATTTCTCTGGTCCTCAAAATTTGGCTTATCTGCAGTCATATACAGTAGTTCAGATTTAGTATTAGCGTAGTATGGTTAGCATTGTATTTAACACACATCAAGGTATCTTAACAAACAATTTGTTCTGTCAAAAGCAATTACATAAGTACACTGCTACAGATACCAAGTTAGAGGTTGGTGTTTCATCTGTCTACTTTGCCTAGCTTGGCATGTTATTGTTGCCATCTAGGATTGTTACTTGAAATGAAGAATTTACTTAGTATTTGATCAGTGTCTTCCCATATTTTGATACAATGAACGTAAATTGGTTTTAATCATCTTAAGATGTATGACCAGCAATATTGAGTGCCATAGATTAAGTATGAGCAGAACATTTTCCAGGAAAAATTCTGACAAGGAGAATGATGTGCCTCTACCCAAGTACAAGCGTGACCAGGCAAGCGTGACCTGGTCCAGAAGATGAAGATTCTGAAACAGGAGTTCAGTGCTCTGCAGCCCCAGGCAGGACACTGCAGGATGGAGGTCTCCAGGGACGAGATATTCGAGGTAGGTAGACACAGATGGTAGATGTAACCAGGTAATGGCCCCAGGCAGGACACTGCAGGATGGAGGTCTCCAGGGACGAGATATTCGAGGTAGGTAGACACAGATGGTAGATGTAACCAGGTAATGGCCCCAGGCAGGACACTGCAGGATGGAGGTCTCCAGGGACGAGATATTCGAGGTAGGTAGACACAGATGGTAGATGTAACCAGGTAATGGCCCCAGGCAGGACACTGCAGGATGGAGGTCTCCAGGGACGAGATATTCGAGGTAGGTAGACACAGATGGTAGATGTAACCAGGTAATGGCCCCAGGCAGGACACTGCAGGATGGAGGTCTCCAGGGACGAGATATTCGAGGTAGGTAGACACAGATGGTAGATGTAACCAGGTAATGGCCCCAGGCAGGACACTGCAGGATGGAGGTCTCCAGGGACGAGATATATCGAGGTAGGTAGACACAGATGGTAGATGTAACCAGGTAATGGCCCCAGGCAGGACACTGCAGGATGGAGGTCTCCAGGGACAGAGATATTCGAGGTAGGTAGACACAGGGATGGTAGATGTAACCAGGTAATGGCCCCAGGCAGGACACTGCAGGATGGAGGTCTCCAGGGACGAGATATTCGAGGTAGGTAGACACAGATGGTAGATGTAACCAGGTAATGGCCCCAGGCAGGACACTGCAGGATGGAGGTCTCCAGGGACGAGATATTCGAGGTAGGTAGACACAGATGGTAGATGTAACCAGGTAATGGCCCCAGGCAGGACACTGCAGGATGGAGGTCTCCAGGGACGAGATATTCGAGGTAGGTAGACACAGATGGTAGATGTAACTAGGTAATGGCCCCAGGCAGGACACTGCACTGCAGGATGGAGGTCTCCAGGGACACGAGATATTCAGGGAGGTAGGTAGACACAGATGGTAGATGTAACCAGGTAATGGCCCCAGGCAGGACACTGCAGGATGGAGGTCTCCAGGGACGAGATATTCGAGGTAGGTAGACACAGATGGTAGATGTAACTAGGTAATGGCCCCAGGCAGGACACTGCAGGATGGAGGTCTCCAGGGACGAGATATTCGAGGTAGGTAGACACAGATGGTAGATGTAACCAGGTAATGGCCCCAGACAGGACACTGCAGGATGGAGGTCCAGGTCTCCAGGGATAAGATACCTTGGTACACCGTTGCACTTCCCATTAGAGCCAATAGGGCTTGAATGATCATGATGGAAAAAGGTGCTTGCATTGGGATCCATTTGAACCACATGCTCTCATGATGACAGTTAGTTGGCCTTACCACTGATTTGCCTGGACTATATCCAGGTTGTCAGTATATGATGATAGTACTGCAAGAGAATAACCCCCATTTACTAATCTATTTAAGAGATATTTTGACGGAAAACAGTCATTACTCTCTATATTTACCTCCTCTATTGACTGCTATAGTAAGTGATTAAGAGAAAGTGATAGTAATAACAGACTTTGCATAGATTTTTAAAAACTGTTTCATTTGGCAGGATTCTTATCGACAAGTCATGAAAATGCGCTCTAAAGACTTGCGGAAACGTCTGATGGTGAAGTTCCGTGGCGAAGAAGGTCTCGACTATGGTGGTGTTGCGAGGTAATGTTCAGTGAACTGTCAGTAGCAGAAGAGAATGTTACTAACTGCTCATGCAGAACTCATTATCAAATTAAGTATCTTTGCATATTCAGAAAAGGAAAAGAAAGTTGGTGTAAAATTAACTTTGGCTGAAGATGCCTGTTCCTACTGTTGTATTGTTGTGTTGTGCAGGGAATGGTTCTACCTGCTGTCGCATGAGATGCTGAACCCTTACTACGGCCTCTTCCAGTACTCCAGGGACGATATCTACACGCTCCAGATAAACCCTGACTCAGGGGTCAACCCAGTAAGTCTCCATTACCGTCATTGGGATTGGGAGGCCCCAACATCCCCGACTGGTTGTGGGGCAACTTTGTGGATCGGGTGGTTAGACTTGGTGACTTGGTTCAATACTCATATAATTTTATTTCCGGTACTGAAAGGCCACAGGCCTGTAGTGCAATGCATTTATAAATCAATATTTACACGCACGGATAATATACATGAAGAAGGGAAAATAATCAACTTTAGGTTACATTGTGTTCTGAGATATATTCTGTCCTAAACAACATGGCATAGTAAGCAAACATTGACAAGTTTTGAAGTATAGTATGGGTTTTGTTATTCAACAATGCTGAGAATTTATAAAGGTTTGGATGGGCTCAATAATATTTCTTAATATACAACTTTCTGATGGAATTATCAGCAGGGCAAATTAAAAGAAAATGATATTCATCTTCTATTTGGTTAAGATCACATAGTTTGCAAGTTCTTTTTTCCTTTTTGACATTTTTAAATCTTCCACTTTCGATAGATAAATCATGTGAAGAACGTCTCAATCTGCTTAACGCTATCCTATACTTTTTTACGTTTAGACATGAAAGATAAGTTTCGGAGTCAAAAATACATGTCATAGTGACCCTGGCAGCTTGGATTATGGCTCATACTACTGGGCAAGAATAACTGGATTTTCCTGTACTGAATTAATTATTTAAAGACTGTCGTCATATGGCTTGAATAGTACTGAGTGCAGAGTTGAAACCAAAACCAAAAATGTCCTCCCTTTTAAGGGAAGTGGGGTCTTTTCCATGAAACTGTCTCCGTGCTACAGCAGTTGTTAGTCCACGTTCATCAGACATTTATGTAGCACTGTTCTCAGCCAAAGTCAGCCGTAAATATTCCACACGAGAATTAAACATTTACCAGTTTTTGCTGTCAGTTATGAACTAATGTCATTGGTACATCAATTTAAAACAAGGCAGAAATTGTCTTTAGTGAATACTTACACATTATTGCAAATGCAGTGGGCAAGTTCAATGTTATAATGGTTTGGGGAAATAGACGCAATTTTGAACAAAAAAAACCCCAGTTTTTCCCATGTTGCCTTCCAAAGGCTCCTAGTTTAGAATCTTTGATGTGAAAGTGTGGGAATGACACTAATTTCAGCACTAACATTGCTTTGTACCCAGCCATGCAAAATGGTTGCTGTGTATGACTGTTTTGGAGTCTACCATGTTAAACCATCCTGTGCTTTTGTTAAGTTGAAAAATATTTAAAAAGAGTGTACTTCAGTGGTGCCTGTGAACTTCTAGTGGACTTCATAACTTGTGTTGTCATTTGTTTTGATATTGATATAAAAATAATTACACATATTTGAAATGCATCCTGATGTTGCATACTAGGGTAGTTTTCAGTTTGAGTGAGTGAGTTTAGTTAGCCGCACTCAGAAATATTCCAGCTATGTGGCGGCGGTCTAAATAATCGAGTCTGGACCAGTGATCAACAACATGAGCATCGATCTGCGCAATTGGGAACCGATGACATGTGTCAACCAAGTCAGTGAGTCTGACCACCCGATCCCATTAGTCGCCTCTTACGACAAGCATGGGTTACTGAAGATTTGTTCTAACCCGGACCTTCACGGGTTGTTTTCAGTTTGATCAAGAAAAGGGACCAACAGTACATATAGCACAGTTTATATGTAATTCAATCCATTTGTTTCCAGGAGCACCTGTCCTACTTCCATTTTGTTGGCCGTGTAATTGGGATGGCAATCTTTCATGGTCACTACTTGGACGGTGGCTTCACCATGCCGTTTTACAAGCAGTTACTAGGGAAACCTGTTGCCCTCGACGACCTGGAGAGTGTGGATCCAGAACTGCACAGAAGTCTTGTGTGGATGTTGTAAGTTTTCCATAGAATTGAAGACATATATATCCAAAATAGAATACATTCCACCATTCATTTCTTTTCACTGTTACAGCACTATGGGGCATTCCAGTGTATAAATAGGCCACGGTACCCATGCAACATATTACAACCTATGTGTATGGGGTAGAAGTAGGGGTAGGGATGACCTACTGATGTTGTTACATCCTATCTGATTATGTATATTGCTCATGCTGTCAATCACAAGTTTGCTGGGCCATACTTCATAATTTACCTGGAGTGTTATATCTGGAACAGTAATGCTGTGGGTTCCTTCACTGACAGATTTCTCACAGGGTCTCTCACTGTTCAGTTGAGGTTATGATGAATGTTTTCTGTCCTTCAGGGACAACAACATTGAGGCAGTGCTGGACCACACATTCTCTGTGGAACACAACTCCTTCGGTCAAGTCCAGGAACATGAACTCCGTCCAGGGGGAAAGGTTATCAAGGTCACAGAAGAGAACAAGAAGGAATATGTCAGGTTGGTCATACTGTCAGGTTGAGTGTGCTTAGTATACTAAGGCCCGACTTTTCTTTAAAGCCTGGTTTATAAATCCTGAAATCCCAAATTCCCAAGATGGAAATGAAAAACAAACAAATGTAAGGTCTGAGTATTTTTATGCCCCCGCCATATGTGGCAGGGGCATATAGGGTTACCCTCGGTGTCCGTCCGTCTGTCCGTCCATCCGTACGAAACAGGGAATGTATTCTATCCACTTCTCCACCATAACCGCTCTGTGGAATTCAATGAACTTATACATGGGCTTTCTTGGGACTCTAATGGTGTGCATCTCATATTTTGTTTTTTTATTTTATTGGTTTTTTTTGTAAGTTTAGAGACATTTGAACTTAGGTACATTTTGCTGAATTTCTCTGTTATGATAGTGTAATAGGGGATGAAGTCTATCCACTTCTCCACAAAAACTGCTCAACAGAATTGAATGAACTTCTACATGTCTTTTGTAGGGACTCTCAAGGTGTGCATTTCATAATTTTGTATGCAATTTCTTAATTTTGTCACTTTTACAGATGTTTGAACTTAGTTGAATCTCGTTCTATTCAGCCAGTGTTCGCTCCATCCAACAGGGGGTGTACGTTATCCACTTTTTAAAAACTACTTTATGGAATTCATTTAGATTACACATGTGCTTTATAGGGAGTCTAAAGGCGTGCATCTCATATTTTGATTTTGTATTTTATTTATTTTTCCAATTTTAATGCCGTTTGAACTTAGATAAATTTTGTTTAATTTCTCTCTGAATATAGTGTTGTAGGGGGTGAAGTCTATCCACTTCTCAACAAAAGCTGCTCAACAGAATTGATTGAGCTTCTACGTGTGTTTCACTGGAACTCTAAAGGTGTGCATCTCATACCTTGTTCATCAAAGTTCTTAATTTTGTCACTTTTACAGATGTTTGAACTTAGTTGAATTTTGTTCTATTCAGTCTGTTTGTTCCATCCGACAGGGGGGCGGTGGGGTAGCCTAGTGGTTGAAGCGCGGTTCGATTCCCTCGTGTGTGAAGCCCATTTCGAAGACCCGGTTCGATTCCCCACATGGGCACAATGTGTGAAGCCCATTTCTGGTGTCCCCAGCAATATTCCGTGATGGATATTGCTGGAATATTGCTAATAGCTGGAATATTGCGAAAAACTAAACTCAGTCAGTCAGTCCATCCAACAGGGGGTGTACGTTATCCACTTCTCCTCAAAAACTACTTTATGGAATTCATTTAGATTACACATGTGCTTTATAGGGAGTCTAAAGGCGTGCATCTCATATTTTGATTTTGTATTTCATTTATTTTTCCAATTTTAATGCCGTTTAAACTTGCATAAATTTTGTTGAATTTCTCTCTGAATATAGTGTTATAGGGGATGAAGTCTATCCACTTCTCCACAAAAGCTGCTCAACAGAATTGGCCTTCTATGTGTGTTTCATTGGGACTCTAAAGGTGTGCGTCTCATACCTTGTTCATCCAGTTTCTTAATTTTGTCACTTCTACAGATGTTTGAACTTGAATTGGCTCTATTCATCCAGTTCGTCCCATACAACAGGGGGTGTACTTTATCCACTTCTCCTCAAAAACCACTGCACAAAACCCATTTAGCTTACATATGTCTTTTATAGAGACTCTAAAGGTGTGCATCTCATATTTTGTTTTCGTATTTTATAATTTTTTGTATGTTTAGAGAATTTTGAACTTAGATAATTTTTCCTGAATTTCTCTCTGATGATAGTGAAATAGGGGATTAAGTCTATCCACTTCTCCACAAAAACTGCTCAACAGAATTGATTAAACTTATACATGTGTTTCATTGAGACTCGAAAGGTGTGCATGTCATAGTGGCATAGATGTTTATTGAACTTGTTCGTGAATTTTGTTCAATTATTGATCTTTATATGTCTTATGAATGTCAGCGGGGGCATCCATGTCCCTGGACACAATTTTTTCTTGTTTTTTTTATTGTACCTCAGACCAGAATTCAGTCAAATGTTAAAGTAACTCATTTATTGTCGTTATTAATAGAATTAAAGTACTTTCATTAAAACCTGTTTATACCCGTGAATGTCCGGCTTAGAATGAGCCTTCAGTAACCCATGCTTGTCGTAAGAGGCGACTAACGGGATTGGGTGGTCAGGCTCCCTGGCTAGGTTGGCACATGTCATCGGTTCTCACTTGCGCAGATCGATGCTCATGCTGTTGATCACTGGATTGTCTGGTCCAGACTCGATTATTTACAGACTGCTGCCATATAGCTGGAATATTGCTGAGTGCCGCGTGAAACTAAACTCACTCACTCACTAAAACCTGTTTAATATTTATGTTACAAACTTCTAAATTCAATGAACTGACAAATTGAAGAGGAAGTAAAGAAATATATCTGAAATTTGATTCTTTTTCTTAACATACTCACTTGAAACCTAAAATGTGTAGCCAGAAATCTGTAGCCAAGGAAACAGACAAAAATTCTGGCTTTAATTCCATGTAATGGACTAACAGGTCTTTGCCCGTCTACAAGCATGCTCGTGGTATTAACCACTGGCAGACTCTGACATTGTTTACAGGCCCCCATGATATCTGATATCCCGGGAATTGACTTAAATGTAACACTTGGTGTGTGTTCTGGATGATGACACGACAAAATGTAGTCAGCTTTCGTGGGAATGGTACTGACAAAGAATGTGTCTGTATGTGATCTCTATTGTGTTAATGACAAAAAACACTCAAGTTATCATGTGAACTATCTTTGCATGAAGGTCTAATTGTAGAAAACAGATGTGGTAAATTATTCCCCAGCTGCACATAGCTTACTCACTCCAGATCACATTACATCCATTACCAGTTTTAAACAGCAGTTCGACAACTTCTAGGTTGTTTTTCATCAAATTCCAATTCCAGTTGAACAATTAGTCTTTCTGCTGCTTGTGTACTCGACAATAGCATGGCACACTACTTCTGTACTTTGTAAACAATATCTGTTGTGCATGTGGTGGGTCGTTGGATATATTTAGATGTTTGCCACGGGATGAAGGCAATGTGTTATCTGTGAAAAATGAGAATGGAAAGTTATGTATCTAAACTGTTGTTATAAGGTCTAGTTGTACAAAATTCTGGTGTACTGAAGCTATTTCTGTCTTTGCACCCTGGCCTACCCTGAAGCACTCAGAACATCTGTGCAGTGTCATGCTGGGCTGAACCATATCATTGGCCCACTGCTTGGAATGGGTGTGGCTGGCTTATAAACATGTGCTAATCGTGTGTATTATTCTAACAATCTCTGCCAAGTATTGCAATAAGATAAAACAAATTGTGGATAATGTGATGATGCACACCTCCATATGATTGTTGGCATAGTGTTTATTTTATATTAAGGAAAAATAAAGGCTTTGATATTTGAGTTCTCACAGAAAGTTTTTATTTCATAGTTGATGTATGGCACTGATTAAGTTAGCTTTCAGTATCATACTGATTTTTCACCTACTGTATGGACACGGCCAGGTTGGATGTGCCTTTAAGACACCATATTAGAGTTAGTGACATTCTTTTTCATAGAGTCCTCCTTGGGGTACATATAAGCATTTAAATGTCCATTTAAAAATCCCTACGACAGTTGTAACAATATTTGAATACAAATATTTACAAAACAAAAGACTACGTTTTTGTCATGTGAGACCACCCCTACAGGGCCCCACGGACCCCTACAGCCAAGAGCAGGTAACTCTAGCCTATAACCTCGTACCTCACTTTCCATGCTGTCGTTTGGCTAGACGTGGTGTCCAGATCTACAAGAGAGTTGATTTTTGAAAACTCCCTGCTAAAGATGAGTGGTTCCGAAACAGCTACTGTATGTATGGTTCTCTATTTTCCCTGCATGGGCGATTTAGAGATTGTTTCTGAAAATGTTTCATTCATCTCTTGTTGTAACATTGTACCTGTCCCTGTCGGCTTGCCATGTGCTTCTCAAGATGGTGGATGGGGACCTTCGCTATGCTCACCTTTTCATTGTATCCTAAGCTAAGGTCGTCAAGGAGACCTCTACTACCCCTGTCTCTACCCCTGTATCTACCTCCCCTACACCTACTGTTACTTCAGCACCTGTAGTTACATTCAATACTTTATCAACATTATTTCAGGAGCAGATGTCGTCCGTGAAATCTTTGATTGACACGGTGCTAGCTGGGTTCCGCATGGAGCTCAGCACGCCTGTCGGCTGGGATGGATCGGACGCATCTGAGGGGGTTGGATGCGGCCCGAGTTTAGGCTCGGGGATCGCTCCTCCCTCCGGGCGGCTGGATCCGAGCTTGGGCTCTGGAGATAGCTTGCCTAGGGCACCTTGTGGCAACCTAGCTTCGTGCTCAGGTTCGTCACAGGTGCCCAGCGCCGGCAATCAGGTCTTGACCTGTCTTCGCCTGGTGCCCCGACCGGCAGTCGCCCTGGCGCTGACTGGGTCGGGGACACCTCGGCGCCCTGTGTGCAGTCTGGGTTGCCCGGGAAGCCTATAGAGGCAGGTTCTTCTCGGGCACCTCGGCACCCCGGCGTGGGTTCCACCAGGGGGCAGGGCGGCCAAAGCCTTTTGGCTCCACTTGATCTTCTGAGCACTTCGTGTTCTGCATCAGTGGCGCCCTCGGCGACCTCTCTTGATTATGAGAGTACGGTAGCCGAGGAGTGTGTAGATGTCGACATGGAGGAGGATGAGGAGAGAGAGGAGTCAGAAGTTGGGATTCAGTACTCCTTCGGGTCGTCCCAGCAGCAAGTTTGCGAACGTATTGCGGAAGTGCTGCCCCAGGTGGCTATACTGGTTCAGGCGCCCGATCCCGAGGAGTTTAGACTCCCGCGGGAGGCTTTTATGCCTAGCCGGGTCGCTGAGGTATGTTTGCGCATTCTGCCATCCCTGGTGAGTGAGGTAGTGAATCTTTTGCTGACTGATGCACGGTCTCGGTTTGATTTACCGGACGTAGGCAAGCGGTATCTGTTGGGGGAGGATTCACTATTCGAGCCGCCAGTGGTGGACGAGTGTGTGTTTGCCTCAGTTACCATCGGGGAGTCGTCCACGTCCTCCCTGGCTTCGTCCAGGCAAGGCAGGCGGCTACCACCTTTTCAAGCCAATGCACCCACGCTGAAGTCTGCATACCGGTCCTTTGAGGAGGTTTACCGGTGTGCAGCTCAGCAATTACACGTGGCTGTCCACTCTACTTACCTGTCAGCTTTACAGGGGCAGCTAGTGGACCAGAGCACTACCGGTGACGACTTGTCGGCACCCGTGCTCGCACGCCAGCATACTGACGTTCACTCTCATCTGGCTAGGGACAGCATTGGGTGCTGTGCCTGCCAGATGATGGGTGCTGTCATGGGCATGCGCAGGCTTCGGCTTTCAGTGGCACGTTACTCTCCAGCCACGCAAGAGGCGCTACGCTACTTTCCTTGCCTGCCTCACAATGGGGTATTCCCTACTTCCTGGGGCATTACAAGTAGTGCGGGAGGCCGCTGAGGCAGTGTCAACTTTCAAGGATTCTAAACCCTTGTTAGAACACCCCTCCACTTCTCACCAACGGCCTTCTCCTCTTGCTGCCGCGTATCCTTCTGCCTCAGCAAGGGAGCCTGCAAAGTGGACTGCCCCTTTGCGGAGCAATCGTAGCAAGATAGCACGAGGCAAGGGCAGGCTTGCTCGGTCACAGCAGCCTTTTCGGGGCAAGGGGAAGCCAGCCCCGGCTTCCCGTTGATTCTTCCCTCAGAGCCCTTACTGCACCCCACACAAGCAAGTGGAGACTTGACGACTGTGGGGGTGCATTGCCTTCTGCCAAACACCCCTGTAGGCGGCCGGCTCTCCCTATTCCTTCGGGAATGGGAGGTAGCCACTTCGAATCCCTGGGTCCTGTCCACACTCAGGGATGGCCATTTGCCACAGTGGAGGCGAGACCCACCGTCCTTCTCAGAGGTTCGACACATGCCAGTGCCAGCCTCCAGAGAGAAGGCGGACATGCTCCGTGCCGAGGTTCAGTCCTTACTGGACAAGGCAGCCATCGAGGTGGTTCCGAAAGGTCAGCAAGGAGAGGGGTTTTATTCCACTTACTTCCTAGTGACCAAGAAGGACGGAGGGTTCTGACCCATTCTGAATCTCAGAGGATTGAACAAATTAATAGAGGTGCTGTCCTTCAGGATGGAGACACTCAGGTCAGTGATCTCATCCGTCGAGACGGGATTGGCTTACGTCAATCGATCTCAAGGACGCATACCTGCATGTACCGATGCACCCCGAGTTCAAGAAGTACCTTCGGTTCTCCTTCGACGGGATGTGCTACCTGTTTTGTGTGCTCCCCTTCGGCATCTCCACGGCGCCAAGGGTGTTCACCAAACTTATGTTAATCCCAGCTCAGTTAGCCAGGTCACAGGGCAGGTGCTGTTACCCATACCTGGACGACTGGCTTCTCAGGGCACTAGGCCAACAGTTAAGCAGAGAATCCACACTGCGTGTGATGGATATTCTGGTGAAACTGGGCTGGATTATCAACCTCAAGAAATCAGAACTCGTTCCGGCGCAGGATCTGGTGTTCTTGGGAGCAATGATCAATACGGAGCAGGGGATTGTTTCCCTAGCTCCAGACCGCATTGTCAAAGCCCAGAGAACTGTGATACAGTTTCTCAAGTCGCCCTATGGCGTCAGCCCGAACTTGGCTTTGGTTGCTAGGCAACATGGCAGCGACAGTGGACGTGGTTTGGCGTGCGCGTCTGAGGATGAGACCCATTCAGCAGGCGTTAGTGCAGCTGTTGTCCCACTCGCAGAGCTACGAGTCCATACTCGAGACGCCCGAGTGGTTGATTCCTCACTTGTGGTGGACGGAAGTCGGGAACTTGTCCATGGGGATCCCTCTGGACACCCCTACACCTTCACTCTCAGTTCAAACGGACGCTTCCCTTACAGGGTGGGGGTGGGGTCCTGGGCGACTATTCAGCCTCAGGCCTATGGTTGGAGCAAGAAGTCAGCCTGCACATCAATGTGTTAGAATTGAGAGCAGTCCACCGGGTGTTCGAGAGCTTTCTAGAATTTGTCCGTGGCCGAGTGATTCGTCTCGAAATGGACAATCAGACGGCCATGACTTACATTCTAAAGCAAGGCGGCATAGTGTCCCTGTCACTTGTTCAGGAGGCGTGGCAGTTTCTACTGTGGTGCGACCAGTTCAACATTCTTGTTTTGCCTGTTTATCTCCCGGGGGTAGACAACGTGCATGCAGATGCTCTCTCACGGCGTATACTAGCCCAACACGAGTGGATGCTCGACTGGGGGATATTCGGGATTATCTCCCAGTTGTTCGGGTCGTTCCAGGTGGATCTGTTTGCGTCTGGGGTGACGAATCAGATTCCTGTGTTTTGTTCTCGGATTCCGGATCCGAGAAGCGATAGCCAAGGACGCCTTTCAGCTAGATTGGACGGGCAGGGTACTGTGGGCGTTCCCACCAATACCACTGATTCCCAAGGTCCTGTCTCAGCTAGCCGCTCAACCAGCTCGACTATTTGTGCTCCTTGCACCCCTTTGGTCGGCTCAAAGCTGGTTTCCGGTAATCCTCAGGTTTCTGGCTCGGCCTCCTGTACTATTACCTGTTCGACCGGACCTCCTATCCCAGAACGGAGCGCCCCACCCGAATCCCAGGATTCAGTGGTTGGTTTGGCCGCTGTCCGGAATCACCTCCAAGCGAGAGGAATTCCTGCACCAGTTGCAGACACAATTCTGGCTTCGCGGAGGGATTCGACAAACGTTTAGTATGAGGATAGATGGGCCTGTTATGCACGCTGGTGTGTCAACAGGGGGATTCTCGATCCCTTTTCTGCAGATTTAGTCTCTGTGTTAGAATTCCTCCAGTTTGTTTGAAGCCGGTCTAGCGGCTCCAACCGTTCGAGGATATTCAACGGCTATTTCGACATTTCATATTCCTGTTGATGGTGCACTCTTGGGGCAGCACCCTCTTGTTCAGCACTTTTTAGCAGGTCCCCCGTGGGACTTTTCAGTCGTTCTTGATTGGCTGTCTGGTCCTCTATCTGTCGGCTCTTTCCCTCCAGCTGTTAACGTGGAAGGCAGCTTTTCTTGTGGCGGTAACTTCGGGCAGGCGGGTAGGCGATATTCATGCAATGTCAGCTGACCCCGCGCTAACTGTTTTTCATAAAGACAGAGTTAGCATTCGGTTTCCTGATACTTACCGTCCTAAGAGAGATAGTGCTTTTCATGTAACAGCGCCTATTGAGCTCCCGGCTTTCATGCAGCCTTCCCTGCCCGGTACCTCTCTACGACGTGCTCACGTCTTAGATGCCCGTAAGACCCTTAAGGCTTATATCAAACAAACAAGGGGTATCCGTAAGGATAACCAATTGTTTTGCTGTTATGGCGGGGGTAAGGCTGGTCTTCTGGCGAACACGCAAACCATTTCTAGGTGGCTTGTCTCTGCCATTTGTATGGGATATACGCACAAAGGTCGTATACCACCCATTTCTGGTGTCCCCCGCCGTGATGTTGCTGGAATATTGCTAAAAGCGGCGTAAAACCAAAGTCAGTCATTCAGTCAGTCGTATACCACCTAAAGGGTTGAAGGCTCATTTGGTTAGGGCAATGGCTACGTCGAAAGCATACACTGCAGCCCTGTCCATTGAGGAGATCTGCTCAGCGGCTATATGGAGCCGACCGAGTACGTTCATCCGTCATTATCAACTTGACAGACACTCAAGCGAGCGTGCTTGGTTTGGTGGTTTTGGTGGTTTTATCCTATATACTGTGCATTCCTCAGTACTGCTCTAGTCCTATTGCCTTGGAAACCTTTGCTTGTATTGTACGGCAAAATATTTCTCAGGTTTATTGATAAATTCCCTTATCTTCGCTTCCGACTACTTACGGGAGGGAGGGGGGATTATTGGAGCAGTTTACATTAGTGAGGTTTCGCATTATAAACGTAATATGTTTGACCCCTGACCCTGGCTCATGCCCCCGCCCGATTGGCTGTGGTGGACACGTGACCAGGTAAGTGAGCTTTTCTGCTATATTTAGCTCAGGAATTACTCTCATTGTCAGGGTTGTGTTTATACAGACAGAATACTGCTCCCTAGGTCAGTCTTTAGGTGTCTGTCTTATGTTTATATGTACCCCAAGGAGGACTATATGAAAAAGAATCGAACTAACCTGTAGAGGTTTCAGATTCTTTCAATATAGTGCTCCTTGGGGTACGGCCACCCACCTCCCCACATTCTGTCTGATTTGTTCAGCATGCAAAGTGAGGTACGAGGTTATAGGCTAGAGTTACCTGCTCTTGGCTGTAGGGGTCCGTGGGGCCCTGTAGGGGTGGTCTCACAAGACAAAAATATAGTTTTTTGTTTTGTAAATATTTTTATTCAAATATTGTTACAACTGTCGTAGGGATTTTTAAATGGACATTTAAATGCTTATATGTACCCCAAGGAGGACTATATTCAAAGAATCTGAAACCTCTACAGGTTAGTTCGAGTTTCTACCCATCAGTCAGGTATAAAAAGTCATATATTTTGTTTCTTTTTCTTTCTTTTTTGGTCTTGTCTTGATTCAGCAGGAAAACCAATCCCAAGCCGTCCATTACTTACAGATAGTAGTGCTTGTATGTTTATGATATGAAAAAATAACAAGTCTTCTGTTGTTTGGATGCTTTCTTTGGTCAGAGTTATGTGATGCTGCTTATTGGCACTGACTAGAGCAGGAAAATATTTGTGAGCATCTTGCAAGTGTTGTACATAGTTTGGGCGATAGCATTCATTGCCATAACTTGTTATTTCTTCTGAGTTCCCTCGTTTTAGTGGCCAAATATATTTTCAGGTTGTACGTCAGCTGGCGATTCATGCGCGGCATAGAGGCCCAGTTCTTGGCATTGCAGAAGGGTTTCAATGAAATCATTCCCCAGCACTTACTACGACTCTTTGATGAACGGGAATTAGAGGTGAGTAGAGGACGAGAATAAAAGACAAATAGTCTGTAATTAATCTAAATTATTGTCAGATTTGTTGCCTGAATGGGGGTTGAACAATTGATCCTATGAACATTTTTACTGAAAGTGGTCACTTTGGTTTTTTGATAACTGGGAGAATAGTTTGCATTATCATTCATAGATGTACCCTATTAATCTCACAAAACATTGTTAGGTGGACTTCCCTCTGTTATAGTTAAGTATAACCAAAGGATTTATCCATGCTGTTTCTTTGGTGAAGATATATTGACAAGTCAGTCAGTTACGCAAGGCCTATTAGCATGAAACCAACTGAACTCACTGTAACAATACAGCTGATATACTGTGGAGTTGAATGCAACTGAATCCGTTTGAATGTTCAGAAGTCCTAGGCTGTATCATTGTTCCACTTCTTCAGTTTTCTTTTGTTGAAGTTTTTATTTTCAGCCAAACTAGCCCAACCAAGTATATCGTGCCTTGTCTCTTGTGTTAGTATGAAGTAGTATCACCATTACATGTACAGGCTTTGTGAAATATAATATTGTAGACCACCTCAGATTATCCTCAGTTCAGATGACTGCAATGGTTTGTCTGTAGTATTTGTGACTGGCCTAAATCAACATTCATTCACTCATTACTGATTGCATTGCTTCCTCAGCTGATGATTGGCGGGCTTGGCAAGATTGATATTGATGACTGGAAGAAGCACACCCGACTAAAGCACTGTACAGCAGAGAGCAACATCTGCAAGTGGTTCTGGCGGGCAGTCGACAGCTTTGATGATGAAATGCGTGCTCGACTGTTACAATTTGTTACAGGCAGCTCAAGAGTACCATTGCAGGGATTCAAAGCTTTACAAGGTGTGTACCAAGGAATTCAGAATGCATCCAAAATATATGCATGCATGTACAGAAACTTGATAATATGAAACTAGCATGTTTGCTATATTTAGACTGAAACTAAATGTTACAGTAAGTGTTTAAATTTCTGATATTCCCAACACAAATCCCTGTTGCTGTCTGTATACAGACACAGCAGATTAGATTCCATATACCCAAAGTGTCTTAGTTGATCGAAGGCTTTGCACTTGCTGTGAAGAGTTGTAGTCCTTAGTCGTACGAGGATCTGCTGGTTTTGGGTATTCTCTGATCAAAGTCCTTATTCAACTAGCATAATATCACGCTCATAGATTTAACTAGCTTTGGTCCTGCAACATTGAGTTCCTACAGCTTGACACAACCGACATTGTGGAGTTGTATGCAGCTGAATCCGCTTGTATGTATGTCCTGTACTGTGTGTTATCTGTGTAGGCTCAACTGGTGCTGCTGGACCCCCGCCTCTTCACTATACATCAGGTGGATGTCCAAACAGACAACCTGCCCAAGGCTCACACATGGTAGGTCACAGCCTTAAGTACATTCAAGGCTAGCAGCAGCAGCAGCAGCAGATTACTTTGTTTAGACTAACTTATACCAGATGTATTAATTCTACCTGTTCATATAGAAAGTATTGTGATCTGTTTGCTTGTAGTCACTTCCTCAAAATCTGTGTTATTATTTATTGATTTTGGTTACTTACTTGGCTTGTTAAAAATTGATTAGCCTTATAAAGTGGTAATTTTTATGGTAATGATGCTACTATGCCATTGATGGGGCTGTATATAGAATTCTTCACTTGTCCTTATGTCCACTTGTGGTAATTATGTTTTCATAGTCTTTAACCCTTTCAACACCGCAGGCCGCTTAAGCGGCCACAACGTTATGAGTCCCCAGACACCGGAGGCCGATTAAGCGGCCAGGCAGTAGTCACGTCAAAATGAGACATAATTTTAGGAACCTACCTGACTTATGATTCATATATTAAATCTATCACATTTCACAATGTCTGAAAACACTTATTAAATTTCAATTTATCATATATTATCAGCAGAATTAAAATTATAAACTATTTTTCGCAATGTTATTGAAAACAACGATTCTCGACACATGCTTCGCAGAGGGTCTACAATAACATTGTGAAAGAGCAAAGTAACGATGTTTCGAGGAATTCATTAAATAAATTGAATAAACTAATGAATAAAATCAACAACAACATTCATAAAAGTTGTCAAACGTACATATAAAATTACTATTTCCATCTTTTTGTGCGATCATGTAATGCAAGTCAAGTCACTGACGAGTGACATCTCGCTCGCTCCTCAATCTTCACTTTCGGACACGATGTTTAATGCGAAAAATATATACATGAAGCATTTTGTCACAGGTCATAACCTAGCACGACATCGTCCAATAAGTTCCATAATTTACATTACAGGTAGCGCATTTCTTGCTTAATATGTTCAGAATAGCATTATTTTACCCAAAACTTTTGTCTAAATCTGAAGGTTTTCATTTTCACGAGGGACGGTATCCATTGCCGTAATATGATTGGCTGCCTTAGGTCACGTGTCTGATTTTGACCAATCACGACCCTTATAGCAGACTGTGGCTAAAAAGCCGCCATTAGAAACCAATCTTTATCCAATAAAATCGCTTCTTACAACTGTGAAAATACTCTTGGCAAGGGTACAGTGATATTGTTGATGTGCTGAGCTTTCGAACGATGCCCGCCATCAAACGATTCGCCTCACATGTTATGCATAATGAAGCTTCAAAACGGAGGTATTTTCCGTTGTTATGTCATGTTACCGAAGGAAAGCCACAGATATCGGAAATAGGCGACCATACATATTATTTAAGAAATCTTTTATAATAATTTTCTGATGACGTAAAAATGAAAATATAAAAGAAAAGGCACGGGCATGTTATCACATGTCACAAATGGAAAAAATCGCCATAGTTTTTGCTTCTTTCGTGGTTTATCTGGACGTTATAAATGTAAGCTTGCATTTTCATTCAAAAATACATTTATTTAAGTTGTAGTTGTATTATTTGAATAATATTATAAAAATAAACTTCATATTTATCAACAGTAGGATTAGATCTTTTAAATGGTGTATGGGATGTAGTAACAATAACGTTTTACAAGCTTATGATTTCCTTCATAAACATAGGCTTCATCTATGACCTCAGGGTCTCTGGGAACTCGGTGTCACGGCAGTAAATGCCTCTGGTTGACTGGTGTTGAAAGAGTTAATATGGATATTTTAGGTGTAAGCTTCACTCACACAAAGTAATCTTATCGTTACAGCAATTGTAACTCACACAGAGCAGAATTAGAACTGTCATAGGATAAGATATCTTTGAACAAAAAGGCCAAGATGATTGTACCTGAATTATGTGTCATATTTTAAATACATTATACAATGCATGACCAACACTTCCTCTTCATCATTTCAGCTTTAACAGAATTGACATCCCTCCTTATGAGAACTACGAGAAGTTTCTCAGTAAATTGACTTGTGCTGTTGAAGAGACATGTGGTTTTGCGGTAGAATAACACAAGCCACACACATTTGTGTGGTACAAGCTCTGTCAACAAATCTTGACTTGCAGTAGTGCTAAGGAAACCTAACATGGCAGTCAAGTGGAAAGTGTCCGGTCCCGCAAGGAAACAAAACAGTTTTCAACAGGGACCAACTTTTCTGCCCAGCGAGTTGTGATTTGAAGAACACAGGAGGTCCTTGTGTACATGGACATAATCGCAATGTACCAATTGCCGCATAAACTGCGGACTTGCGAACCTCCCAGGTTGTGGGTGAACAAACAATGCAAGAAAAACGTTAACACCATTTGTAGATAGCGGTGGTGTACTGAATCCAGCATTGCACCATAGATACATTCTGTGTACAGTCTGTGACAACTATACATGTATTTATGTGACCATCATGATCCAACATATAGGGTCTGTTATAGAACATCTCAGTGTAGAGCAGCGTGCAAGTCTCTTTGAGCACTTGGTTTAACCTGTATGTAGCTGTGTGAATCTGAATAGCATTCTACAGACAACTATGCTTGCGTGATTGCATATGATTGCATATGACTGCATATGCAATGTGTGAAATCAACTTTGTGAGTGGATATTTTATGAATGGGACATTCGTTACCATCAGTTATTTGTCTAGCAAGTTCCATCGAAATGCCAACATCCTGAACTGATTCACATCTTCCAAAATATTAATTTGCCAAAGATTGTAGACATGTACGTTTCTCTTTGGTAAATCTGTCCATTATTAATAATGAAAGCAATAATATTTAAATGGATTTTGTGAATACCTCACATTGAATTTTATGTGAAATATGCATAGAAGATAATTCTGATATTTTTTAGTCCCTATCTGGCATAGTGCAAGGTGGAAGGGATTGTGTATGAGAAGTATGGGTCCTTGACTAGCAGACATCTCCAACACATGCACAATATTTTTGTGTGTAAATGTGCCGATAGGCTATGTACTAATACCTCATGCAGCCATAAGCTTCTGTGTTTGGTGAAATTTTGTTGTACAGAAATTTCAGAGAGTATAACATTATGCCTGTAATTTGTCGTGTAATTAGAACAGTTGATAATAAGGGAATGAGCATATGCTCAGTGAATAATAACATTAAGTTAAGCGATTGAAAAAGTTCCATGTTTTATATATAATTAGGTTAGTTTTAATGTGCCACTGCTTGGTACAAATCAGGATACTAGTAGTAATCAAACATCAACATTGACAGTTGTAGACCAGCACAAGTATGTCCAGTCGGACATCTGTATGAATGGTGAAGATGGCTTGAATTAAACAGCAGGTTTTTACTGTCAAAATCATTTTACTTGACACACAGGATGCCCCTTCAAGCCTTTAAAGAAATCCTCTTATTTTTAATACTCAAGTCATACAAATATGATATTTAATGATTGTACACGTGTATGTTTTCCTATGTACAGTTCCTGCTTCACTGATGCATGTTATGTGATTGTCAAACATGCTGATATCTGTTTAACACATCAGATTTTAGATTTGGTTAATACTTTGTGATTTTATGTAGTATTTTTTTATGAACTCACATTATTCCTTACCAGTGTTTTAGCAGGATAAGGGTGATGGTTGGGTGATTTCGCTGATCTTTATCAGTGCTTGGGTTAGTCTGTGGAACTTGGATGTCTTATGTTCAGAATGTCCCTTCCTGGTCTTTTTCTTGGAGTGCAGGACTACTGTCTACTTCTATTTGAAATACTTATGAAAACGGAAAGCAATGAAAATGAATGGAAACAGTGCATGAACATGTGCAGAAAAATAGGATTTCTGAAAGGCCGAAAGAATATTCTTTTGTTTTGGAGAGAGCCTTGCAAGAAGCGTACTGTAGGGGATATTTTGTTTGACAGGGCTGTTTCAAGTCTGTCAGGATCTTGAGCAGTAATCAGGTAGCCACTTGTTTGGGTTACTTTCCAGGCGATTGTCAATGAGTCTAGCCATCCCTGACTTTTAAAACAGATACACATTTGGTAAACTTGTTTTGTGAATTTAACCAATTTCTCATTTCATTGTAAATATTTTCTAATGCCAATGAAATATTGGAACTTCAAATAATATGATGAAGAGAAATATGTTGAATGATTTTTTGGGCCAGTAATCTGCTAAAGTATTTAAGAAACTTCCACATGACTTTTAGAACTTAGTTTGAAAGTGCTTTTAGGATGTGAGAGCTTATTAGCCATTTATTAACAGCTAGATGTTTAGCAAGCACAGGATACCTGAATTTAACCACAGTTTACTCAATACTGATGTGACACTTGTTTGCATTATCAAATCTTTCACACAGCCTGTTTTGATTTCATTGTGACTATTTCAGTTCTTTCCACATCCTGCATCTGAACAAATCCTGCTGTAAATTGCTTTTCATAAAATAATTTTGTGGCATATTAGCTACCTTACTACCTGCATTTATGAAATGGGATGCTCCAAGCTTATGTTTGGATTGTTCCATGTGGTAATTCAGGTAGAAGCATTACCTTATTTATACTGACATAATTGTATATCATTTTGATTCGGTTTTGCCTTGAACTATCTTCAAGGATGTATAAGCATTGTGAAAGGAGATCCTGGTAAATTTGTTTTACTTTTAGTGATCTCAATTGATGTACATGGTATTTTCCTTTTTTTTTAAACTCATGAGTGGTTATATCTGATTATTCATTGATTTTGTGAGATGGGTTATCTCCCAGTAGACATAACAAAATTCATCCCAAATATACATCATTTGTTTCATGAACATTTTTGGATAAGAAAGGAATAAAATATTCTTGTTGAATGAACATACTTGACTTAAGAAATGGTTCAAACTTTGGAATAATGTGTAACACTTCCACTTCCATAGAATATATTTGGACTGAGTGATATGTATAAAGGGAGGTAACCCATTAATGATTTGTGTGCCTTTCACTTTAAACTGTACCTCAAGGGTCTTGACATGCTCAAAGAGTTATGAATCTGTTAGTGTGTATTGCCAGCCCCCTCCCAAGAATCTTTCATACTGTAAAAGTGATCACTCAGACATGCCATGTCATTTCAAAGGACAACCAAGATATGTTTTCAGTACATGCGAAAAGATTTTTTCAGACCATTTATCATATTTCCACGAGACATTTTGAAATATATCTGTTCACTGACAATTTAAGTTTTGTCATGTCATAGGAATTTCTTCAGTATATTTGGTCATTTTTTATGTTTTTCATATCTGTAAGCACAACCAATTCAGAGACATTGTTCCATTATTCAGTACAAATACAGAATTGCAGTTCCATGTTATTTAAGTCTCTTTCACATCCAGTTACACAAGCAAACTTGTATCAAAGTCAGTATGGTCCATGGGTCGCCATTCAGTGATGTGGATTGGATGTGTTTTGAAAAAAATAAGGATAAAAATGCTTTTGATACAATTTTTTACGTTGTATAAATGCATTCACATGTTTTACGATGTCGTTCAACTCTGACCACCTTTAGATCAGGAGTTATCCCTTCAAGACTGTCGTGTCCTAGTCACTGGAGCCGACTACTTGTTTCCTTCCCATCGTGGACTGCTCCGCGCCTCACACGTTTGTCTGCCTTCACGTCCATCTGTCTAAAGCCCTCCTCTGTACAGTCCACACTTCCAATGTAATATTTTTTTCCAATAAGTGAAATAAATGTGGTCAGTTTTTTACACTGTAGTTGCTTTGTTGGTGTACTAAGGATGTCATGTGTTGAACACTTCAACCAGCAGCCTGCCAGGTACAAGCCAGCTATTTGACAGCAGCAGAACTTAACCAGAGTTCGACACAAACAAGGATGTCATGATTTTGTCAGTTTTGACTGTCGATTGTATTTTTATATTATGAATTGATGGCTGTTCATTTCAGTTTATCCTGATTTTGTTTTCAAATTTAGAACAATTTCAAGTTCAAATTTCAAAAACATGGAGATACTTAAAGCCATTTTCAAAAGGTTAAACTATGTGAGGGTGTTAGGTTGAACATGGCCTTTGTACTGATGTGGGGTATTGAAGTAGGGCCTTCAGTGTGAGTATATTGAATGTTGTAACAATATGGTATATGGGCTAAACCAGTATTATTTTAATCTGAATACATCTTGCAGATGGTATTGATGCTAGGCTTTAAATCAACACCAATTTGTTTCTTCTTGTGTCATGCAGACAGACTTGCAGATGATGACGAATAATGAAATTCCAGGCTTCAAATCATTGCAAAATCTGTTCCCAGCTGAATTGATAACAAGACATGATTGTATAAAATATATATTTATTTTCAAATTTGTAAATTAAATGAAAGACATGATCAGATAAAACATGTTGCCACACAGTACTACCAGAATTCTACATGGCCACAAGAGATCCAAAGCAAGCCAACAACAAATGGACAAACAGGTCTCAACTACTGAACAAGTATGGTAACGCAAAGCCTCATTGTTGGGAATTTTGTGATGTTAACACAGAACAGCAATGTCTAGTTGACTGGTTTCATGCATTAAGAATATCTTGAAATTTACATCTTTGATGAAATAAATATATTTTAATGAATGTACTGGAACAAGCTGCGAGGTCTGTCCAACTAATTACTGATCAGATAGGTTGATCTAGCAGAAATAATCTAATGTGATGAATTCAATATAATAATGAAGGTATTAATCTCAAATACCTTCTGTAATCCTTGTGAAACAGGGTGTTATAAAGATATAGGATGTATATATCAAAATATTGTAATTAAAAAATATCACAGAAAAGTGGTTATTGCAATTGCTGCAATAAGGTGACGTGTTCGTGTTAAAACAGAACAATTTCGTGACATTTATTGTGAAAGAGTTTTATGGATGAACTAATTACATTTTATGCCATTTGTAACAGCGAGTTCCTTTTCTCAGTTTTAGAACAAAATGTATAATCAATAACATAACCCAAATTAAAAATAATATTTACAGTGACCAAGAGATGGCAGGTGTTGGCTTTGGAGGATTAATGATTACAATATAAATAGCAGTACCTAGCAACAAGAAAGTAATTGAGCGATGGTGAAATACATATTACCACAGATGTCATATAATTCCTATAACAAACAATAAAACAATTGAAGGTACAAACATTCATAGTGTGTTTCTCATATAATAGAGTATCTTGTCAACATTCTGCTATAGATTCCAGGTATATTGACTGTGGTATGACAAATGGCACCAAGAAGTACTGGTTGAAACTTACCGATTGTCTATGTTCATCATACATTACTATTGACATCTGACAACAAATGGTCCACTGGCTACAAACCATGAAAAAGACCTTGGATGTTGGTAAATGTCTTGAAAATACTTATTTTGAAACCACTGCTTGAAAAAAATAAATTCATTTGACCCATGTGCATTAATTTTGACACTATATATTGGTAATCAGCCAGCGACACCTGTCTTGTGTAGCAGTACTGAATATTTTCATGTCTTTGACGACTGGCATTAACACATCAGTATGGGGGTGTCCAGTGGACAGAAACTAATTTCAGAGATAAGGCCAGACCAATTTTATTTCTTGTTTGTAGATTTTTGTCCTCAGAAAACCTAAAGGCAGGAGGGAAAATAAATAAAGTAAAATCACCAGTCAAAGCAACAACCTACATGAGTATCCATATTAACTCTTTTGGTTTGTTTATATCAACTAAAAATAAGTTGAGTGAGTTTAGGTTTCATACTGATTTCAAGGGTATTCAGTTATATCACATAAACATTAGGATTTTATGTTTTGAGCAAGAAAATTCACTTTTATTTTTGTTTTTATTCTTGAAAAAAATATGACCGGCGGATCCGTAAAACAAGAAATAAAATTGGTCTGGCCTCAAGAAGGAAATCATTATCAGTACTAAATAACTTAATCTACTTCCTTCGAAATACTTGAATTTCATATTTACACTGGGATGATACAGAGCACTTCATAAACACTTATCTTAATGAAGATTGGGTGGAGTATCACTGTTCAGCAGCAAGTGACACCAGTGCCACTGCACAGTACCACACAGTTGAGTAGTACAAGGCATAAAGGGAATTAATGCATGCAACCCATAAAAGACAGAAACTTAATTGTTAAGAATTTTCAGTAACAATTTTGTTTTAACTAGACTGATTTAAGTTACAGTCCAGCAAATTTCAAGACCTTCTAAAAAGATTCCAGCACTTCGAATAAAATTTCAGAACTTTTCCAGACCTTCGAATAAAATTCCAGCACTTTTCAAGCTGGTAAAATGAAGCACTCTTCATGGTTAAATTCAAATACTTTTCAACTGTTTGTGAAGCTGAAGACACTATGACATGAAGGAAGATTGAGACAGATGTACTGTGGAGACAAGGAAACTGACACACACCATGTAGACACTGCTGTTACCAAGTACAACATTCATTCACTATATGTGACCAAACTTCTAGATACAGACAGACATCTAATATCTAGGTGGCAGAAAACAAGGGTGTGAAAAGAGGGCATAGGCGGATCCAGAGAGGGTGAGGGTGAGGGTGAGGGGGTGTTGTTGGGGGTGTTGTTGGGATGCGCACCCCCTCTTTCGTCCTGTAAGTTCATTAAATGACCATTGAAACTCTCATGAAAATGGGTGAAAATGAACTGAGCACCCCCCTTTCTCAAAAAGCTGTATCAGCCCCTGTACAGTCTGTGTAGCATACACACTTTGCATAGATAGAATTCATAGTTAACAGATCCTTCTTCAAAGTATATCAAGGTGTACATCTCACAGTCTATAACAAATCACTACTAGTATCTACAATCTAAACAAAGTATCACAAATGTTGCATAATAGTCAAAACTAACATCGATGAAAGTTTGAACAATAAGATACCAATCCTGTGAATAAGTGTCTTAAAAAAGGCCTCGGATCTATAGAATATGAACTAGACATGACTAAGGATTTTATTGAGATTGTCAGCAAAAACTACCTTTCATCTAAATTTATAGTATCTTAACCGAACAATGCACACAACATGTTTCACACATACAGATGTGTGATGTCACATTTCTGACACCTGCTCCTATTTGCAATTTGTCAACACTTTCAGGAAAATACAAGCCACATACAAAACTTCTAAAAGTAGACAAGATATAAATAATACTACTTGCGGTTGAATATTTTGGCATTCAGCTATAAATACAGCATTTACGAAACCCGGACTTCAAGGAGACGCAGTGTTAGATAAACATTATATTATTGTATGTCAAACACCCTGTAACAGCAAAAAAAACTCATACAAAAACAGCACTAAAATATGAAAGGTTATGACAGTGTGAACATGGCAGGAATATATCATAAGTCAACAAGAATATATGGATAGGCCGGAAATGGTTTGTGCATCTTTACAATGTACACCCCTGAATCAGAAACAAAAGCATACATGAATTAGTTAATGAACCTATGATAACACAAAGGGAAAACTAGTGAAGTGACTTTCTAAAATCTTTGACAAGAACTCTAATTAGTCGTACAGAGTATATCAACATCAGGTACTAATCTACCGGTGTTGCGATGCTTTCAGTCATACAATTTAAAGAACCTACTGCAGGTACAACAGTGTACCAAACTAGAAAACTTCTCTCTAACATGTTAAACTTTGAGATGTGGTGAAATTACTAAGTGGCATTATACAACTTGAATTTCAGTAACAGTCTATATTCTATTCATCTTAAACCTGTGAGCTAGTGAGTGTGGTTTTATTCGCACAATATCACAGCAGGGGACACCAGAAATGGGCTTCACACATTGTACCCATGTGGGGAATCAAACCCTGGTTTTTGGTGTAACAAGTGAACGCTTTGAGTACTAGGCTACTCCACCCACCCACCCTTAAGCTGCGAAACCTGAAAATACCTTTTGGGGCACTGATAACATAAAACTACATTGAATTTCAGGAACGATTATATATTTTGGCCACATCATATAAATATGATAATACTTCCTTCTGAATACACATGGAAGCCATGCCAATTTACACTAGGAGTATGTGACCTTGACTACCAGTTTTCTGACTTTCATCTCTGTGGAAGCCTCAGCTGCTGAACCTGAATTCGTACTGAAAAAGGGTAATCCAAAATACAAAAGGTAACATTTGTCCTTGTTTGTATTCCTCTACCACTGTCGACTGGCTATACATCTAGACATAAAACAGAACCTGAAAATATGTCATAATCTTTTCATTTCACTACTGCTAGTTATGCTATGCTGTTCGTACAAAACAGATACAAAATTGATAACCCCAACTCGCCAAATGACTGAGAATAATGATGGACAACTTTCTTCACCTTTCCATTCCTTTTTATCTCTTCATATCACATATACAACTGGAGATACCTCCCTTAACTCTTGACACAATCCCAAGCAAACAAACAAATCTAGCAAAGGAACACATGTTAGACAGCATAATACCGTCAGGAATTCTGCTTGGAGCCTGAGTATTTCAGACAATTAGTATTGCAGCTAAGAAATCCCAAATATAACATATGTTACATTTGACCACTTTCTAAAAATGGCATTGTGTAATCATAGCTTTTGGCCGTGGGAGCTGTGCCAATTTAGGGGGTACACAAAGTCTGCAGTCTAGACTACCAGTTGTCCGACTTCCATTTTTGTGCAAGTCGCGGTGGCTGAATGGGTTAGGCGGCTGATTTTGTGAGTTGGCGATTAGGTGCCTGACTCTGAGGGTGTGGAATCCCGGATGGGACTCAACCCCAAAAGTACTCGAATTTGTACTTTACTAAGAAAGTGTAATCCCAAATATAACATATGTTACATTTGACCACTTTCTAAAAATGGCATTGTGTAATCAGTATTGCAACAGTTTAGCAATGTGTCATGATACTGCTGTAAGTATTAGTATATATGATATCTGAGTCATGATACGATGCATATTAGAATACTTAATTTGCAGGCATTGCTTGCAATTTCTTCATGTTTTAGATGGAAAGGCTACGGTTGATCTAACAGCAATCAGAATACCAATTTTAATTTACCATAAGGTAAGAATAACCTGTATATTCAATAGGGGGTCATTAATGTTACTTTATAAATTATTTTTTAAAAACTGATATACGTGAAGTGAAACATAGATCTGTTGATGGCTTAGGGCATAGGCATCTAATACAACTATCATGTATAAAACTACCATGTGAAACTTTGCCAGCAATATATCAACAAAATTGTGTCACTCCCATGCATCATTTAAGTATTTTAGTTCATACAATTTCGTTGCAAAGGATACAATGCACTAAATGATAACCCCTAAGAAATATATATTATTTGGTAACAAAGTAAAGCCAATACAATTATTTAAGGCTTCATATGTTGCCCGATAAAGGTGCATGTATAACTCTATGTGAGTGTACAGGAGTTCCTCATTGAGCAACTGCAACATTATGGCATGCAGTGGTGAGAGTGATTATGTCGTCACATCAGAGGTGCGTCCTGTTTGAGCTTGAGGAACATAGTTCCTGTCATTGAGCTGTTGTAACGCATCCAGTACTACATCTGGGAAGTGATCCAATACCATGCTGGGGCTGATCAGGATTTCATTGAAGCTGTCAGGGGGAACCCATGAAGCAGTGTATTCTGGGGTTCCACCACATAGTCTGAAATTTAACAAAAGTAACCAGCATTTCAATTCATAGTCTCAAATATTTGGGAGATAACACTAACAGCATTAGCAGAAAGTCTGAAATGTAGGGGAGATAACCAACATCAGAATACAGAGTCTAGAGTGTAGGGGAGATAACCAACATGTAAGGGAGATAACCAACATCAGAATATACAAGGGGTGAGTTGTTTAGCCGATACGCTGTGCAGCGCTGCGCTTCTATTGGCTGAACAACGCCAGCTGCATGCATCGTGAGCGTTCGGGCGGCAGCGACTGAGAGAGGTGCTTCCTGCGTAAGTGAGCGACATTCAAAATGGCGTCACGGCATGTCATTCTGCAAGGTAACAGAGAAAACTTGTCTGCTCTTCTGTGACCAATAGGGACAAGTTTTTAATGTTGCGCATACAATTCAAAATCATTGCATGGAATATCTTCTGCAGCTTCGTGTGCCAAAAGTGTGGCTAGTATCGGTGATGTGTTTATATTGGACGACGCCATATTGAATGAAGAGCTCACACAGCAGTCCGTTGCACGGGAAAGCAGGCAGCGTAGCGCAGCGAAGCTTGCAAACTTTTGCTGAACAACGCGCCCAAGGTCTGGAATGTAGGGGAGATAACCAACATCAGAATACAGAGTCTGGAATGTAGGGGAGATAACTAACATCAGAATATACAGAGTCTGGAAAGTAGGGGAGATAACTAACATCAGAATACAGAGTCTGGAATGTAGGGGAGATAACCAACATCAGAATATACAGAGTCTGGAATGTAGGGGAGATAACTAACATCAGAATATACAGAGTCTGGAATGTAGGGGAGATAACTAACATCAGAATACAGAGTCTGGAATGTAGGGGAGATAACTAACATCAGAATATACAGAGTCTGGAATGTAGGGGAGATAACTAACATCAGAATATACAGAGTCTGGAATGTAGGGGAGATAACCAACATCAGAATATACAGAGTCTGGAATGTAGGGAGATAACTAACATCAGAATATACAGAGTCTGGAATGTAGGGAGATAACCAACATCAGAATATACAGAGTCTGGAATGTAGGGGAGATAACTAACATCAGAATATACAGAGTCTGGAATGTAGGGGAGATAACTAACATCAGAATATACAGAGTCTGGAATGTAGGGGAGATAACTAACATCAGAATATACAGAGTCTGGAATGTAGGGGAGATAACTAACATCAGAATATACAGAGTCTGGAATGTAGGGGAGATAACTAACATCAGAATACAGAGTCTGGAATGTAGGGGAGATAACTAACATCAGAATATACAGAGTCTGGAATGTAGGGGAGATAACCAACATTAAATACAGAGTCTGGAATGTAGGGAGATAACTAACATCAGAATACAGTCTGGAATGTAGGGAGAGAAACTAACATCAGAATATACAGAGTCTGGAATGTAGGAGAGATAACCAACATCAGAATATACAGAGTCTGGAATGTAGGGAGATAACTAACATCAGAATACAGAGTCTGGAATGTAGGGAGATAACCAACATCAGAATATACAGAGTCTGGAATGTAGGGGAGATAACTAACATCAGAATACAGAGTCTGGAATGTAGGGGAGATAACTAACATCAGAATATACAGAGTCTGGAATGTAGGGGAGATAACTAACATCAGAATACAGAGTCTGGAATGTAGGGAGATAACTAACATCAGAATATACAGAGTCTGGAATGTAGGGAGATAACTAACATCAGAATACAGAGTCTGGAATGTAGGGGAGATAACCAACATCAGAATATACAGAGTCTGGAATGTAGGGGAGATAACTAACATCAGAATACAGAGTCTGGAATGTAGGGGAGATAACTAACATCAGAATATACAGAGTCTGGAATGTAGGGGAGATAACTAACATCAGAATATACAGAGTCTGGAATGTAGGGGAGATAACTAACATCAGAATACAGTCTGGAATGTAGGGGAGATAACTAACATCAGAATATACAGAGTCTGGAATGTAGGAGAGATAACCAACATCAGAATATACAGAGTCTGGAATGTAGGGAGATAACTAACATCAGAATACAGAGTCTGGAATGTAGGGGAGATAACCAACATCAGAATATACAGAGTCTGGAATGTAGGGAGATAACTAACATCAGAATACAGAGTCTGGAATGTAGGGGAGATAACTAACATCAGAATATACAGAGTCTGGAATGTAGGGAGATAACTAACATCAGAATACAGAGTCTGGAATGTAGGGAGATAACTAACATCAGAATATACAGAGTCTGGAATGTAGGGAGATAACTAACATCAGAATACAGAGTCTGGAATGTAGGGAGATAACCAACATCAGAATATACAGAGTCTGGAATGTAGGGGAGATAACTAACATCAGAATACAGAGTCTGGAATGTAGGGGAGATAACTAACATCAGAATATACAGAGTCTGGAATGTAGGGGAGATAACTAACATCAGAATATACAGAGTCTGGAATGTAGGGGAGATAACTAACATCAGAATACAGTCTGGAATGTAGGGGAGATAACTAACATCAGAATACAGAGTCTGGAATGTAGGGGAGATAACCAACATCAGAATACAGAGTCTGGAATGTAGGGGAGATAACCAACATCAGAATATACAGAGTCAGGAATGTAGGGGAGATAACCAACATCAGAATACAGAGTCTGGAATGTGGGGAGATAACTAACATCAGAATATACAGAGTCTGGAATGTAGGGAGATAACTAACATCAGAATATACAGAGTCTGGAATGTAGGGAGATAACTAACATCAGAATACAGAGTCTGGAATGTAGGGGAGATAACCAACATCAGAATATACAGAGTCTGGAATGTAGGGAGATAACTAACATCAGAATATACAGAGTCTGGAATGTAGGGAGATAACTAACATCAGAATACAGAGTCTGGAATGTAGGGGAGATAACTAACATCAGAATATACAGAGTCTGGAATGTAGGGAGATAACTAACATCAGAATATACAGAGTCTGGAATGTAGGGGAGATAACCAACATCAGAATATACAGAGTCTGGAATGTGGGGAGATAACTAACATCAGAATATACAGAGTCTGGAATGTAGGGGAGATAACCAACATCAGAATATACAGAGTCTGGAATGTAGGGAGATAACCAACATCAGAATATACAGAGTCAGGAATGTGGGGAGATAACCAACATCAGAATACAGAGTCTGGAATGTAGGGAGATAACTAACATCAGAATATACAGAGTCTGGAATGTAGGGGAGATAACTAACATCAGAATATACAGAGTCTGGAATGTAGGGAGATAACTAACATCAGAATATACAGAGTCTGGAATGTAGGGAGATAACTAACATCAGAATATACAGAGTCTGGAATGTAGGGAGATAACTAACATCAGAATACAGAGTCTGGAATGTAGGGAGATAACTAACATCAGAATATACAGAGTCTGGAATGTAGGGGAGATAACCAACATTAAATACAGAGTCTGGAATGTAGGGAGATAACTAACATCAGAATATACAGAGTCTGGAATGTAGGGGAGATAACTAACATCAGAATACAGAGTCTGGAATGTGGGGAGATAACTAACATCAGAATATACAGAGTCTGGAATGTAGGGAGATAACCAACATTAAATACAGAGTCTGGAATGTAGGGGAGATAACTAACATCAGAATACAGAGTCTGGAATGTAGGGAGATAACTAACATCAGAATATACAGAGTCTGGAATGTAGGAGAGATAACCAACATCAGAATATACAGAGTCTGGAATGTAGGGGAGATAACTAACATCAGAATACAGAGTCTGGAATGTAGGGAGATAACCAACATCAGAATATACAGAGTCTGGAATGTAGGGGAGATAACTAACATCAGAATACAGAGTCTGGAATGTAGGGAGATAACTAACATCAGAATATACAGAGTCTGGAATGTAGGGAGATAACTAACATCAGAATACAGAGTCTGGAATGTAGGGAGATAACTAACATCAGAATACAGAGTCTGGAATGTAGGGAGATAACCAACATCAGAATATGCAGAGTCTGGAATGTAGGGGAGATAACTAACATCAGAATACAGAGTCTGGAATGTAGGGGAGATAACTAACATCAGAATATACAGAGTCTGGAATGTAGGGAGATAACTAACATCAGAATATACAGAGTCTGGAATGTAGGGGAGATAACTAACATCAGAATACAGTCTGGAATGTAGGGGAGATAACTAACATCAGAATACAGAGTCTGGAATGTAGGGGAGATAACCAACATCAGAATACAGAGTCTGGAATGTAGGGGAGATAACCAACATCAGAATATACAGAGTCAGGAATGTAGGGGAGATAACCAACATCAGAATACAGAGTCTGGAATGTAGGGGAGATAACTAACATCAGAATATACAGAGTCTGGAATGTAGGGGAGATAACTAACATCAGAATATACAGAGTCTGGAATGTAGGGAGATAACTAACATCAGAATATACAGAGTCTGGAATGTAGGGAGATAACTAACATCAGAATATACAGAGTCTGGAATGTAGGGGAGATAACTAACATCAGAATACAGAGTCTGGAATGTAGGGGAGATAACTAACATCAGAATATACAGAGTCTGGAATGTAGGGGAGATAACCAACATTAAATACAGAGTCTGGAATGTAGGGGAGATAACTAACATCAGAATACAGAGTCTGGAATGTAGGGGAGATAACTAACATCAGAGTATACAGAGTCTGGAATGTAGGGGAGATAACTAACATCAGAATATACAAGGTCAGGAATGTAGGGGAGATAACCAACATCAGAATACAGAGTCTGGAATGTAGGGGAGATAACTAACATCAGAATACAGAGTCTGGAATGTAGGGGAGATAACCAACATCAGAATACAGAGTCTAGAGTGTAGGGGAGATAATCAACATCAGAATATACAAGGTCTGGAATGTAGGGGAGATAACCAACATTAAATACAGAGTCTGGAATGTAGGGGAGATAACCAACATTAAATGCAGAGTCTGGAATGTAGGGGAGATAACCAACATCAGAATACAGAGTCTGGAATGTAGGGGAGATAACCAACATCAGAATGAGTGTGTTTATGCAGCTTTTATCATTATTCTGTTGATATAGTGGATAGGGGAAAATCAAGAATACCCAAATTGTATCATTCTAATATTACATCACCATTTTAAGAATACAACCTTTGTTACAATGAACAGCTGCAGCCACTTACCCCCCTTCCTCTACCTCCTCGATGTGCAAGATCTGCCCTGGGGGAGTCATCAACCATTCCGTCTCTGTGCTGCAGTTCATCACTGCCTCACGTAATGCTTGCTGATATGAGACAAAGCACGTCAGTGATAAATGTATCATAACAGATTATTACAATTGCCCATAAGGCTCCTTGAGACACTTTGTGAGCCATCGGTTTAGAGGATCAAATATGACAGGTTTACATCTAGTTGAAACTTTAAGTCATATTCCTGGATGACTATTAAGAGACACATATTATTTCTCGCAAAAGTATTTTTAAATTAGTCAAACAACATTGACGAAGGGATTATTGTGATAGGTAAAGCATTGGTTGTGATTAGTGACAAAGTTTAACATTGTCAAAGTGCTCCAATGAAAAGAAAATATCGCCACCAAATCATGAAAGTATGGCAAGTATGATACTAGATAAATAATCAAGAATTTTTTTTTACCTCACTCTTATAGTTTTAGTATTTCTTTTAAAAAACATTCCATATTACAATTGAAACAATAATTACGGATAACAATAAGTACACAAATGAAACTGCAAAGACACAAGGAAGTGAAAAATACATGCAACATCTGCCTAAATCAGATCAATGAAGTCAAAACATGCAGCAGGTAAACAGAGGACACCTTCAACCACCATGTTTTTATAATCAGTCAGTTCCAATATCTCTATAAACTGCATTGTCCATTTAATGAAAGAGGAATTCAATGTGTGAAAGTATTGATATATGAATGTCAGTGTCTCAGTGAATAATGCTTATGGTACATTGGCTAAGGAACATTGTGTACACAATCACATAGAAGGCATGCAACAACACACACAGTAAGGATGTCACGATTTACCAACACAACTTCTCAATGCAAGGACTATAAAAGTCCACATTCCACCCATGCATACAAGGCTGGAATTATGGAGTTCTATTTTGGTTGGACTAATATGTCCATATAAAGTCCACACTCATAATAGCTTCACAGAATCATCATCCAGTTTGTCCACAACATGGTGATGCAGTGCATACTTCTGTTACCTGCACCATTTACAATGTACCATTAACTAGGTGTTGACAGATATTTTTCAAATTTATTCAGGTTTGTATTCAAGATGCTCAAGTGATCACATGCATTTTGTAAGATAAAACCTTGATAATCAATCAGATTGTCCTCTCTTAATGTTGCCTTTTTGTCTGAAGCAAATGCATGTGATAGGGGAGGTGGAATCTAATTGGTTAAAAATGGGGGACATAGAAGGGACATAGCTTGTAACAGCAATCAGTGCCTCTATGACCAGCCATGAATACTAATTTGGCAAAGGTGAAAACTTGAATTTTGCAGTCAGTTACTGCCTTTGCTTTAGGAAAATGCCAGTACAATAGCACACTGATAATATTCTGTATTGTTTCATCAGGAGAAATAGCATAGCATCATGATTATATGTTATTCTAAACTTCGATGTAATCAAAAGTGTTGCCACTCAAGTTATATTTGAAATATAGCATTGATTGAAGTGAGTAATTCTTATTTTCAAATAGGGGACAAGGTATTCAAAAGGTTTTAAACATTTTCAAAAGTGTCTATGCCCTATAAAACATAAAAATCAGGAACATTACTTAATTTAGTATAATGGTGATATATGTTGCACAGTGAAGAAATACTGCAACAAGTATGGTATCAGAAGATAGTCTGATCGAGACATCCACATCTACAGTGACTCACTTGACAGACCCATGCTAATATAATACAGGCAGGATACCAACAACACATGTTCCCATGTTACCAAGACAACCAGCATGCTCAACACAACATATATAGCTTTTCGTTCTTTACAGCAAAAGTTTAAAACAAAGTATCAAAGCTGTTGACACACCCATGCTAATATAATACAGGCAGGATACCAACAAGACATGTTCCCATGTTACCAAGACAACCAGCATGCTCAAGACAACATATTAAGCTTTTCGTTCTTTACAGCAAAAGTTTAAAACAAAGTATCAAAGCTGATTTACAACAAAATAGTTCTCATTAAAAGGACTCATTGATTAGGAACTGTCCATTCATTATAGAAGTGAGATTGGTGTTAGGGCTGTATCATATTTTCCTAGCCTCATTTGCCCCCCCTAAATAAATGTAACATGTTTCTGTGTTTCTGTTTCCCTATGAGGACGGTGGGGTAGCCTTGTGGTTAAAGCGTTAAAGCGTTCACTCATCACGCCGAAGACCTGGGTTCTATTCCCCACATGGGTACAATGTGTGAAGCCCATCTCTGGTGGCCCCCGCCGTGATATTGCTGGAAAGCGGTGTAAAACCCAACTCACTCACTCACTCCTTATAATAAATGACTAGTCCCTAAATGATGTTAAAATGTATGACTATTTTATATGAAGCATAGAGCTGTGTGGTTTTAGGATTGCCTCCACTGTAGATGTGACAAATGTGAGTCATATTGTCATTATCCCACCCCCTCATTTACTGGCCCTCCCTACCCCTCCCCCAAAACACAGGACTAGTCTTTATGTAACATGAGGTGATAGGTTCGATACTGAAGTGAGTGATGGGACAATGGTTGACATGTGTCAAGACTGAGGACTATACACAGACAAAATAGTGATTGATATTACCTTTAGTTTCTTCCGATGCTGAATCAATTAAATAATATTTGGTAAATATGGGGAATATCTTTTAGTGTAGAACAGGAACCTACCATAGCTATCCCTGCCTAAAGCTATCACATATGATATCTGCTTACAGGTTAAGAAATGTCTGATGACAGTATAACAATTTATCTTTAACATAAACCAACAATAGAATCTCATTTTAACAACATGAGAATGAATATTTCCATAGAGCAGAAGTCAAATTCAAAACAGACAGTTTAGTACACATGCATTCCATTTGTGTAATTGCTCAACATATTCAATGGGAATCCATGCTAAGTCTTTGGCTTCATATATGCAGGAAATGAGTAATGCTTGACATGCATAATAACACACTTCACAAATAACCTAAGAACAGGAAACTGCACCAGTTGAGACATTTCAGGTCCGTCTTAAATCAGTTTACATAATGAATACAAAACCAACCTATCCCTATCATAATTTAGGTACACCCTATGCATACATAAGTTCGCCATCTTCTGACAGTGTGACATTAATCCCATCGTTATGACATCAGCATAGAAAGGACACTTTGTAGTCTGGCCTCTATTTCACAAAGCTATCTTTGCTCTAAGACTAACGTAAGTCCAAATTAAACCACAAGATTTACGATAATAACACTAAGGTAACCTTGCTGAACATGGACCTGGCAATGATTTAACAATCTTCCAATTGAATATCTGATTCTCAGACTCACCTTGGGTGTTGCATCCTCTCCTGCAGTTGTGGAGTAGCGAGTCCCAGATCCATTGTCCAGCAGAGGTTCCTGCCTGGCAGCCATGTCTGCATCACCCTCGGGGCTGGTGAGACAGCCACAAGCAATCCGCATACACCCCTTGGCCAGGATCCGGTGCTGACACACGGCAGATTACAGCACAATTACAATGACTGTTCACTGGTGTTGTTCCAACTACATTCATGTCTGGCTAGTTTCAGTTTCAGGCTAAGGTATCAATCATGAAATCTGGGATCAATTTTTCTAAAACTTTAAGACAGACAGACAGACAGACAGATTCTTTTTCAGAGAGATCGTCCTTGGGGTACATATTATGCATTTTCCGGCTGAAAAATGTCCTGTGACAGTTGTATCAATGTTTTTTGAATAAAAAGATTGAACAATAAATAAACTCTTTTATTTATTATACGGCCCCTACCTCACGGAGTTACCTCCCTTAGAGCATGCGCACCAACTGGGTAGGCTCCTAGACCCGTATCATCATTCCTTCTGCTGTCACTGCCGTGAACAGACGTGTTTATAATAGAACACACTTCATGAGCCGGACAGTGCTGAAAGCTACTAAGAAAGCTATGTCTGAGACACCACCTGTATGTATGGTCTTTATTTGCCTAAAACAAGGAACAGTAAAGCTTTACAGTTGGTTGTTTCATAATTGTGACTTTGTATTAATACAAATTACGCGAACTTTCCGTGGTTTTACGCGTGTTGCTCTGCCATGGCGGGAAGTTTAGCGTGCCATGTGATAAATAATATTGCGTATTAAAACCAACTATTACTTTCGTGGTAACCTTCGCGTATTTTTCAATGTTTTCTCGCGTGTTTATATGCTGCTGGCGGCTGTTAGCTACATGCTTGCGTGTTTGCTTTCAGGCCTTTTCATCCTGTTCGGTCTGTGGTCAGAGAAATTCCACGGGCCGACAGGCATGAGCTATCGTTGCCTGTCTTGAGAAGGCGGGCCGCCACGCTGAGTCCTGCCCTATTTGTCTGGCCTTTTCCCGGGCCCAGAAGAGGCGGGCGGCCGATCACGTTGTTTTATCATTGAGATGCGTGGAGGCGGGAGGGACCTGGCGCAGGTCCCCCGTCTAAAACAAAGCGCACGTCAAAAAGGAAAAATCCTGAGGCCCTTCCCCTCTCCTACCACTTCGAGTGGTTTTGACATGTCGGTAATGGACTCTATGTTTCAGCAGCATATGGACTCCGTGAAGTCCTTCGCTCGAGTCGGTTGGAGGTCTCGGCAGGAGTTCCTCGCCCACTCGGACGGGGCTGAGAAGTCCGGGTGGGATCGCGGGCTCGGCTCGATCCCTCAGCCTTGAGCGTCTGTAGATCCGTTGCCTCTGGCTTCGGATCCGGACGCCTCGGCTGCTATCGGAGAGGGAGGTGCTCCCAGTCCCCTCTCGGAGTTAAGCGCAGGGACCGTTGAGTATTCCTGGTATTCCGGTCCTTGCGCACACCGCCTTTGAGAGCGGAGGCACCAGTTCTGCCTGGCCTGCCTCCAGCGTCTCGGGACGGGGTCCACGCACGCCCGGCTGGCGCTGACGCGTGGAGCCGTCTGTCTGTTCTTCCCTTCCTGTGGTTCCTAGCGCTAGGCAGTCCACCGGGTCAGGGTTCGGGTCCTCTACGGAGGAGACCCAGCCTCTGACTTCGGGCTCGGCGCCGAGGCAATGGAGCTTAGGGGAGGTTGAGGAGCAGGACGGAGGCTTCCGTTTTGCGACCTTCATGCGGGAGTCCGGCAGAGAATTGCGAGGGCCTACCCCAGGCAGCGGTGCCTGCTGGTTGCGTGGACTTCGACTGAGTTCCGCTTGCCAGGCGGCGTTTGCCCCTAGGCAACCCTCGCGAGACGCAGCTCCGCATTCTGCCTTCGTTGGTCTCGGACGTGGTCGATCCCCTCTTGTCTGGTGCCGAGTGCGGTTTGACTTACGGATCTCGTCGGCGCTACCAGCTTGGGGAGGATTCCCTGTTCGTTGTGCCAATTGTAGAGCGAATGTGTGTTCACTTCCGTACGCCCTGGGGAGGCTCGGCTTCCTCGAGCAGCTCCGGCTGCTCGGCAAGGCGCCTGACTCCACCTTTGCCCTCGCGGGCATCCCCTGCGACGCGGCGTACCGGACCTACGAGGAGGTCTGCGGAACAGCGATGCAGCAGGTGCGGTGGTGGTCCATGAGGCCTACCTCTCCTCGGTTCAGAGGTCGGCCCTGGAGGCGGAGGGCATGCTGGCGGCGATGTCGCCGCATATGTCGTGCTGCTCCGTCAGCTTGGAAGTGCAGGCTCACCTGGCGCAGCGACTCTTTGCGGTCTGCTGTGTCGACGGTGATGTCGCGCAGTCATGGGGATGCGCAGGCTGTGGCTGTCAACGTCTAGGTACTTTCGGCAGCAACACAGCAGACCTTGCTGGCCCTCCCTTTCCGTCTGGGGCGACCCTCTTTCCAGGGGCCCAGCAGGTCATACGGGAGGCTGCCGCTGCAGCTACCTCCTTCAAGGACTCTAAGGCCTTGTTGGAGCACCAGCGGGGTGTCGCCCCAGCGCTCCCGTGCCACCTTCCTCCTCCGGGGTGCAGCCTACACCCGAGTCTGCCGGCTGGCCTTCGCCGCTTGGTAGGGGTAGGCGGAGGAACAGGTCCGCCAAGGGTAGGGGCAAGGAGCAGTCCTCGACTAGCTCCCAGCCTTCACAGCGGCGGGAGGTCTGCCCGACCTCCGTTAACCCATCAGGCTGCCGCTCAAGCCGTGTCACGCCCAGTCAGCTCCGCTACCGGGTCTACACACGCTCCTACCCCATATCCCAGTGGGAGGCCACCTCTCTCTATTCCTGCCGGAATGGGAGAAGGCTACCAACAACAGCTGGGTGCTGGCCACGGTCAGCATAGGCCATCTCCCACTGTGGGGCGGAGTCCGCCCGACTTCACCGGCATACGTCGCACTCCGGTGCCGTCATGTCAAGCCAGAGGCGGACATATTGCGCTAACGAAGTTCAGGCTCTGCTGGACAAGTCCATAATCGAGCGCATTCCACCGGGGAGAGGAACAGGCGGGATTTTATTCCACATACTTCCCTCGTCCCAAAGAAAGACGGCGGGTTCGTCCGATTCTCAACCTCAAGGGGTTGAATCGCATGCTCGAAGTACCATCCTTCAAGATGGAGACACTGCGGCTTTCGGTGATCTCATCTGTTCAGCCCGGCGATTGGCTCCGTCAATCGACCTAAAGGATCGCGTATCTGCATGTACCCATACATCCATCGTTCAAGCAGTACCTTAGGTTCTCTTACGACGGGATGTATTACCAATTCAGGGTGCTCCCCTTCGGCATATCGACTGCCCCAAGGGTGTTCACCAAGCTCATGTTAGTCCCAGCTACCCTAGCTCGCTCTTTAAGGAAGGCGTTGTTACCCTTACCTAGGCGACTGGTTGCTCGAGCACTAACACAGCCAGCGCAGTCAAGCTGCTACTCACACAGTGATAGACATTCTAACTTCGACTGGGGTGGATCATCAACCTCAAGAAATCCGACCTGGTACCCACCCAGGACTTGGTTTTCTTGGGTAGCGATTCAAGCGAACAAGGATCTCGTTTCCTTGTCGCCCGACCGGGTCACCAGAGTTAGGAGATGGTATCTTCATTCCTCTCCCAGCCCCAGGCACCAGCACGGACTTGGCTCCGTCTACTGGAGCCATATGGCGGCGGCGATCTCTGTAGTAGTGTGGCGGTAGCGGTTGAGGATGCGTCCCCATACAGCAAGCTTTGGCTCGGCTGTGGACTCACCACGGAGGATCTGGGGCGCAGTCTCACAGTCCCCCAGTGGTTGACACCTCACCTTCAGTGGTGGACAAATGTCGGGAATCTCACCAGGGGTTTCCCTTGGAAATCGGCGCCAGCTCTCACAGTTCAGACCGATCGTCCCTCCACGGGCTGGGGGTGTTCTGGGCAGTCTGTCGGCTTCGGACTCTGGTCGAAGCGAAGCCCACCTTCACATCAGCGTGTTGGAACTGAGAGCTGCGCGTTGGTATTATTGGCTTCAGAGAGCATGTCCGTGGCCAGGTAGTCCGTCTTCAGTTAGACAACCAGGCGGCCATGTCGTACATCCTGAAGCAGGGAGGCACGGTGTCCCCAGCTCCTCCGGGGAAGCGTGGGACTTTCTCCTCTGGTGCGACCAATACGATTGTCAGGTACTCCCTGTTTATCTCCGGGCTGGAGAAGCGGCGAGCAGATGCGCTCTCTCTCGCGGATCCTGGCCCCTACTGCAGTGGATGCTTTCGACAGGCAGATATTCACAGTAATCTCCCAGTTATGCGGGTCGTTCGAGGTGGATCTGTTTGCGTCGGCGGGGCGCATCAGAACTTCCGTGTTCTGCTCTCGGATACCGGACCCAGGGCGTTGGCTGCCCGACGCCTTCCTGCTGGATTGGACGGGCAAAGTGCTCTGGGCGTTCCGCCGTTACCACTCATTCCCCCGTGTCCTTTCACAGCTGTCCACCCAGCCAGCTCGGCTACTTGTGCTACTGGCACCACTTTGGCCCGTCACAGAGCTGGTTTCGGTAATTCTCAGGTTTCTGGCTCAGCCTCCTGTTCTATTAACTTTGCGACCCGGACATTCTCACTCAGAGCGGGGCCCACCCAAATCCACGGATTCAGTGGGTGGCTTGGCCTCTGTCAGGTCTAACCTCGAGGCACGCGAATTCCTGCAGCAGTTGCAGACACAATTCTGGCTTCCGAGGCGGGATTGACAAAGCGTTCAGAATGCGAGGATAGGTGGTCCGCTATGCTTCGCTGGTGTTCAGATAGGGGATTGCAGATCCCTTTTCTGCGGATTTAGTCCGAGTATTGGAGTTTTTGCAAGCTCGTTTTGAAGAAGGCCTGGCGGCTTTCGACCATTAGCTCTACTCCACCGCTATTTCCACTTTTCACACCCCTGTCGATGGTGCTCTTCTGGGGCAGCACCCTCTCGCATAGCTTTCAGCTGGTGCGGAACGGATTCGACCTGCTCTCAGGCCGAACCAGTCCACAGCAGGATTTGTCGATCGTGCTTTCGATTGGCTGTCCGGTCCCACTTTCTCACACCTATCGGCTATTTCCATTCAGTTGTTGACCTGGAAAGCTGTTTTCTGGTGGCGGTAACATCTGGTCGTAGGGTCGGCGATTTACATGCTATGTCGTCCGACCGGCTGACTGTGTTTCACGCGGATCGTGTCAGTATTAAGCCTCCCAGATACTTACCGATCCGAAGGTCGATCACGCTTTCCATGTGACAGCTCCTATCGAACTTTCTACTCTTACCCAGCCTTCCACATCGGGGACCACTCCCTCTGAGCACTCACCCGTTGGATGTCCGTGAAGGCAGCTCAAAGTCTATATCAAACTAACGCAGGGAATCGATACGGGTACCCAGCTGTTCTGTTGTTACGCGGTGGCGGGAAGGCTGGTCTGCCAGCAGCAAGCAGACTTTGTCTCGCTGGCTCGCCTGGCGTATTTGTGCCGCTTATCAGGCTAAGGGCAAGCCTCCCCTGAGGGGTTGAAGGCTCACTCGGTCAGGGCAGTAGCCGCCTCAAAAGCTTTTGCATCGGCACTCCCCATTGAAGAGATCTGCTCCGCCAGCTATTTGGAGCCGGCCAAGCACGCGTTTATCGCCATTATCAGCTCGATACGCATTCCGTAATCGTCGCGAGCTTTGGCCGTACTGTTCTCTCCAGTGGACAGTGTCCTGCCACCCTGACCGAGTGAGTCTTGGTTTATTGGTTTGTTTTGACGCTACTGTACAATAATTCCATTATTGACATGTCTGCTACTGTGTGCTCACTCAGAGAACCTGTACCCCCTTTCGATTCTCTACGGAGTTACTATATCGTTAGTGAGTGGTATTTTGCATTCCCCCTACGGTGCTCTTATGTAAAAGCCACTTAGTGGGTGGGGATTCATTGACATTCGCACTACGTGCAATGCCTCATTATGCTAGTGAGGTCGTCTTTGAGCACAATTCCTCCCTGTCAGTTCCCCTCCCATAATGCCTCTCGCGGAAGCAAAACTGGGACAAGTGACAGGTGAGTGTTATGGCGTCTGTTCATTTTTTTTCCATGATACGATCGCTATATTTGTGTGTGCTTGGACAGAATTCCCTCCTCCCTGGCCTCCGGTCTTTGGGAGTCTGTGTTTATGCATAATATGTACCCCAAGGACGATCTCTCTGAAAAAGAATTAACCAAACCTGCAGAGGTTTTCAATTCTTTGAAGAGAGTCGATCCTGGGGTAGGGCCTCCCGCCTCCCCGCAATTCTGTTCACTGATATATTCAGCAGAAGGAATGATGATACGGGTCTAGGAGCCTACCCAGTTGGTGCGCATGCGCTAAGGGAGGTAACTCCGTGAGGTAGGGGCCGTATAATAAATAAAAGAGTTTATTTATTGTTCAATCTTTTTATTCAAAAAACATTGATACAACTGTCACAGGACATTTTTCAGCCGGAAAATGCATAATATGTACCCCAAGGACGACTCTCTTCAAAGAATTGAAAACCTCTGCAGGTTTGGTTAAATTTATTGACACAAGCCACATGGGCCTCTGGACATACATACAATACAGTATAGATAATATTTATGTTGGATGGTGAGGATGACATTATTAATAAGTTAAAAGTTGTTTCTTCCACGGAATGCTTCATACACATATCTACCTAGAGAGCGCTGAGTATTAATATTTTGTGTTTTGTGTTTAAGGATAAAACAGACAAAGCATAACATGTACAGCAACACAACAGTTTCATAACAGACATGTTGAGAGGTCCATTGGTGTTTCAGTGTTTCCTACTTGGTGTTTTGTGTTGGAAAGTGTTCTAAATACCAACTGTGAGTTTCACTATTTGATTTGTTGTAATTTACAAAAATGTACTGAAAGCGAATGCTTTTAACATTTTATATGTATATATTTTCTTCATTGGTTGCTTAGTAATCATTCATTCATAAATCTCAAATTTTACCCAATACCCATCTTGTTCTGTGGAAAGATACTTTATGACTTAGACCAGTTACTTTATGAAATCTAACTAGTTGGTCTGTTTGATTGTTTTTTTTAAGCATAGCAATATTTCAGCTGTATGGTGCAGCATGTAATATAGAATCAAGCCTGGACCAGACAATCCAGTGATTGATGTCGTGACCAACAATCCACGCCTTAAGGTTACGAGAACACAGTACCAGCCAAGCCACTGAGTTGCTGGACTCACTTCAAACATGGAGTCCCCATGAGGGGTACTCTGGTACTGACCTTGGGAAGCTTGCAATCATCCAGAGCTTGCATGATCTTCATCTTCAGGTCATTCATGGTGGGCATTCCTAGCCGCGGCACCAGGTCCTTGCCGACTACCACTGAGCACACGTAGCTCTGGACATGGGCACTTGCTGATGGGCTGGCAGGAAGAAACATCTCTGGTGATATCTACTCTCCAGCGTTTATAACACTACATCGGTCATGTCTCCAACAATGTAAGCTGGCCACTGTGGAGACTCAGGTTATGTCACCAGTACCCATGTATGTTGTGAAAGTCTTTTTACTAGGCAATAATACCGTAACAGTCCTGTTTACTTGAATACAATCAAAACAACATACAGACAATACTTCCACCGTGATAAAATACAACACTGTAAAACCGACCTGTAAGATAACATTCACTCACTCTTGTTACTTGTAAATCAAGGGCATGAATAGACAGAAAAAATTAGCGTTGTTCAACACCATTGTGAGTTTTCAAAAGGGAACAAGAGAAGAGATTATGTTAAACTCCGGATGTGAGTTGTGATGAAACGACCATACTACAATGGGAAAGTCAACCTATACATTCTTAGACAATACAGAGGGGCTGGAACATTGAAAACACTTTAAAAAGTCATTAATAATTTTCATGTAGAATGTTAAAGTGTTTGTGTGACCTTTGGACACTGTTTATCTATTTTTTAGCTTTTCATCATGTCATCACTTTCAGACACAAACCAGTCTGCTCCCCTCCAAATATTTAGGATGCAACGTTTCAGGACGATGAAAGATAATATCTAGTTGATGACATCTATATGTATCCATAAATCACACACATAACAAGTCACCAGGTAGCTCCTCTTTCACCTACCTCATGAGTCCCCCTGGTGGGGAGTAAGCAAAGCAGACAAGGTCCTGATGCTGTGGTTTCAGCAGGATGGACAAGATGGCTGCCACGCCTGCCCCCAGGCTGTGCCCTACAATGACCAGGCGGCTGCACTCCTGATGAGGGAGAACAGAAATTGTGACCATGTCTGAGATCGTAAACTGGATGATGGCGTTCAACAAACGCTACATGTTGAAAAGAACATCTCATGATCTTGTTCAAATGCAAATGAATATAGCCTTCAGAGTGGGAAAAGTTTCAGTATATTATATGTTCATATCTGACCAAAATTAGCCCAGTCTAAAGCTGTAAGCGTGCCATGGTGGTGGAACATATTATGACTGACTTTTTCTCGATTTTGCTGACAGCTTGCTAAGTGATAATTTTGAATATCTAAAACCAGCAATTCTGCTTCATTGTACATAATGACACACAAAAGTGAACTTAAAGATCACATATACTCTAGGGGGTTACAAATACATAAATCAATAACTGGCATCGCTATAAATGAAACCCAGTCATTAAAACTACTCACTTCGATCTTTAATCAACTTAAATCGACCTTTTTGACACCAGTGCACAATTCTCACCCGCAAACGAAATTTCAACCAATCAGAGCGGGGCGTCTCTGTGACGTTATATGAGGAGTGAGTGAGTTTTGGTTTTACGCCGCTTTTAGCAATATTCCAGCAACATCACGGCGGGGGACACCACGTCATATGAGGAATAGATATGAGGGCCGATGCAGAATTCATCTTCATTTCAGGGGGGTAAATTATCTTGTTTACAGGTTTGTATAAACCTGAAATCGTGACAACTGTTGTGGAAAATGAAAGCTATATGTTCTCACAATCTACTGTCATATAATTTTGTCTTCTGCATTGCCTAGATTCCGAGTTACAACTTGTTTTCATAGACGATTCCGTCAAAATCGCTTGGTGTCGTTAGGCCTTATTTGTATAATGACTGATCCAAATTGATCCCATTTCTGTGTTTTTTTACCTCGATACTTAATCATGTCGTGACAAAATATGACGTCTATTACGTATGATATTAAAAATTGACATTTGGTTTATTTGAATCGGTTAACTAAACACCCCTATTTTGCCATTGCTAGAAGAATCTGAAATTTTACTTAGGTAAATAGGTACATACAGTTTTAGCACACAGCAAATGCTTATTTGTATTTCTTATGCAACAATGAAGTTCTGTTTGTATTCTCAAAACAGTGTCGGCCCATAAGTTTTCACATGCAATTAAAATTGCATGCATTCCAGCAGTTAATACTCCCTCGTTGTAACCCGTGTTAGGTGGTATAAACCTACACATGTTATTTGTCATCATTCACTTGATGGTCAGTTAATGAAATTATAACAGGTATAATTAGTGGTAGCACCACTTAGATTACCCGACAAAGGTTCCCATTTGGCATTTCTTGTGTCTGGAGTAAATATTCAACATTATAGACATCGATCAAAGGATTAACCGATAACACGCTGATTGATTAATTACTTTTATCTTACACAGTGGATTTGTTAAAAGGTAGTGTTTATGTATGTAGATTTACCAATCTATACTGAATACACTCTGTCGTGTCTGTGTCTGCGTAAAAACGTCCTTCCTTCAAAGGATTTAACCGCCAATACAGTGATTGATTGCTCATTATTGGCTAACTAAATTACCGTTTTTAAAGAATGGCGGACATTATGCAATCAGTTGCCAAGTGTGCTATCTTGGGTGACCAATGAGACTATACACCAATGTGGAATACTTGAAACGATATGTCACTTTTTCGTATACTAGACTGTTAAAAGACACATTACTTGGAACAGCTGCAGATGAATGGCATATCACTCGTTTTTGTGGATATTGATGGATTTTGTTTTTATTCATTTGTCGTAGCATTCAACAGAATCGTTGTTTTCGCCGTGAAGTGTAATGAGACACACACTAGGGTGTGTGTGCGAATTATGATACACATTGGCAAACTATAAAATGCCTAGATATTACAGTCCTGTTATAACTGCACTATAAGTATCAGCAGATCGTCTGCTTTTTATTTAGTTTCAAAATGCATACAAGTATGATAATAAACTAATTAGGATTATAAGACCAAATATAAAGACGTACATTGACTAGTATCTACATACTGGTGAGTGCACGTTAACCACGTGAATGTAGCAAGAAATTTGTCGCGCAGTATTGTCACTTCGCCTCCCCCCACCTCGCTTCCGTGGAAGAAATCGTTATGTTATAAGTTGTGTCATACAAAATCCTTTTGGTTATGATTCAAATACATATTTAACTACGAGTAGAAAGTAGTTTTGATTTTCTAACTTGATGAAAACAACCCATAATCTCATTAATTCTAACAGACTTTAGCCCCCATCTTCACGATTTTCAAAAATGGCGGCGCCCTCTCACGAACATCCGCCAGTCTGAGTATAAATGCTATTTAGGTTTGTTTTCACCGAGTTACAAAATCAAAACTTCTTTCTACTGGTAGTAAAATATGTATTTGATTGATGGCCAATAGGATTTTGCATGACATAGCGTATAACATAACAATTTCTCTCGCGGAAGCGAGGTGAGTGTCAATATAATACTACATGTACTTACAGTATTATTGTTACTTCGACCACAACCTCGCTTCTGAGGCAGAAATCGTTGTGTTACAAGTTGTGTCATGGAAAATCTTTATGGTCATCAATCATATACATATTTTACTACGACTAGTAAGTAGTTTTGATTCTTTAACTTCCGTGAAGCGATCTGAACACAAGTAAGATATCGTTTCAGGCTTCCACAACGCTCTCTTCGCACTCACAAACATAACCCATTTTGCACGAACTGTGGGGTTCTGTGGAAATCTGTGCATGGCGACACCATCGCCCGACCTCTGGGAGCAATTTACGACAACGCAACGATATGGCATGTCTTCGTTGATGTCGAAAAATCATCAAACTGACGAGCTTGCTACACACTTTCTATACAACTAACTGACAATCTTTCCTCATATGACGTCACTGCAGTGCTCTGGCGACAGAGTTACGTAACCTGTCTGTGGTTTCGTTGGCGGGCGAGAGTGAAGCAGGCGACTTTTTGGCAACTTTTAATGGCTCGGTTCTAAGAATTTTTAAAGAATGAATTTAGTGTTCCGCATAAGACTAACCACAAATCTTTCATATGTAATAGTTAAAAGAGTAAAAAAACAACAAAGTTTATTTGTTCTTTAAGACCTATTCTTCTTGGAGTCCTGGAAATTTTCAATCTTATTCTAATTCGTACTATTTCCTATTCATGAAATATCTCCAACATAGCTGTAACAACACAGTCAACGTACTGGCAGCGTGTCAAAGGCCTTGGACAGTAGCTGTAGAGCATCGATCCTGTCCTTGATATAGTTAGCACAGTCCAGCATGGCTCCGTGGACATATGCATTGTCAACACCTTCAATGTCTATTGGCATACCCTCTGCTGACAGGTCCACAAGAGCATCCTGGGATATACAAACATTTATACCATCTTAGTCTCTGATCCTGGATATGTGAAAAATGTATCATCACCAAATTCAAGATCTACAAGAAAACAAAATATTAAAATACTCAGTATAAGGAATTATGACAAAGTAAGTGCTGTGGACTGAATGTATATCAAATTCCCTGATGACTATTGTTCTAAATTTTCAAATTGACTGCCATTCGTTGGTTTCACATTAATTTTCGACTCGCTGTGCACATGCATAGAGCGTGTAAAAACATCCAATGGTCAACTTCCAGTTTGGTCGTATTAGCGATATTGTAAACACACTCTAAATAAATGTTGTATGAATATTATTTACGCGTGACAACTGTTCATAGTTGAGTACATACATCCATTTGCCTATGCTTTTCAATAATTAATGTCCTATTTTGGTGGCATTGCATCAGAGATGTGTTTTTTTACTTGTGAGAAGGGGATGTGCAGGAAGGACAGTGGACGGGTGGTGGTGAGATGTGTTCATACAAGAGCTTGTTAACAAACGTTAAGCTATTTATTTAACTAATTCCAGTCCCTTCCATTCATAAATGAATTGAGATCAGTTAAATTCGACATAAAACCATATTTTGATTTTGATTTTTGCTTTCTTTAGAGTGTGTTTACACTATCGGTAAAGCTTACGACCAAACCGGAAGTTGGCCCGTGGATATTTTTACACGCTCTGCACATGCGCACAGTGAGTCGAAAATTAATGTGAAACCAACGAATGTTGTAGGGATGACCCGGAAGTAATCTACTAACCTCCAGCGACAGAGTGCCCCTTATGCTGATCACTACACTCTTGTGTTCTCGGTCTATTGCCACATAGAAGGGGATCTCCTTGAACTGTAATAAAGGGATACTCCATATCATCCAAACATTATAGGAAAACTGTTATGAATCTTCAAAACATAAAATTTCCCTTACCCAAGATATGGTGGAAACATTAAGAGAACAGTAAAAACATCTCACCCAAACGCACCCCTCCATGATCTGACACGGAGTCTATAAGGGCCCCTTAAAAACTTTTGGTAGCTTCCCATAATGAGATCTACAGGGTCCGAGACCGTTTGGCAGCTCACCATGATGAGATCAACAGGGTCTATGACCATTTGGCAGCTCACCATGATGAGATCTACAGGGTCCATGACCGCTTGGCAGCTCACCATGATGAGAGATCTACAGCGTCCATGACCGCTTGGCAGCTCACCATGATGAGAGATCAACAGGGTCCATGACCATTTAGCAGCTCACCATGATGAGATCTACAGGGTCCATGACCATTTGGCAGCTCACCATGATGAGATCTACAGGGTCCATGACCGCTTGGCAGCTCACCATGATGAGAGATCTACAGCGTCCGAGACCGTTTGGCAGCTCACCATGATGAGAGATCTACAGGGTCCATGACCATTTAGCAGCTCACCATGATGAGATCTACAGGGTCCATGACCGCTTGGCAGCTCACCATGATGAGATCTACAGGGTCCATGACCATTTGGCAGCTCACCATGAAGAGATCTACAGGGTCCATGACCATTTGGCAGCTCACCATGAAGAGATCTACAGGGTCCATGACCATTTGGCAGCTCACCATGATGAGATCTACAGGGTCCATGACCGCTTGGCAGCTCACCATGAAGAGATCTACAGAGTCCGAGACCATTTGGCAGCTCACCATGATGAGATCTACAGGGTCCATGACCATTTGGCAGCTGACGGTTGGCTCACCTTGTTATGGAAACTGACAAAGATGAGATCCTGGTCACTGATTCCTGTCACCTTCTTTATGGCAGCTGTGTGGCACTCACAGGCATTGTCAAAATTAACATTCTCACTGGACCGTATACACGCACAACACCTGGAAACAAATTGACGCAGCATTGATCTTCCTTGCAGTAAAAACATATCCCCTTAAAAAGTCATCTACCGGTAAGTTCAAGTAAGGACAGGCAAAAAAGTGAGTGAGCTCGGATTAATACTGCAGTAGTTCAGTCCCATCACACTGTGTCATGCCTAATGTTGGAGGAAACCCACAAATTATGCATGTGATAGATTATGAGGGAACACAGCCTGCAATGGCAGAGCAAGTGGGTGAGTGAATTTTAGTTTCAAATCTCCTTGAACAATATTTACAGTTGGTGTGTTAGCTAAACATGGAAGGAAAGCCGTAAGGGGTCTGTCTCAGTCATTTACCCCTTTGGTGAAAACTCATTAGCACCAATAGTGCTGACAAACCTAAAAAGTAAGTTGGTGTGAACCCATGATCACAGGTTTCTGGCTCAACTAAGGGGAGGAACTCAGCACAGCAAATTGTGGTACTTCAGATGAGTGGGCCATCCGGGCCACCTGTGCCCCCTATCGTAGTGTATTGACTTTGTTGCACTGACAGACCAAATTGGGACTCTTGTACTACAAGTCTGTCAGATGATCTCAGTGTTAGCCATTATTGATACATTCCAATGGATAATTCAAAATTTAGACACACACATGAAAAAAGCTACTTAAAGACTTGAGTGAGTTTCATCAACATTCTTACAGCCATTTAAAATTTAGCTAAGGCCAGACCAATTCTATTTCTTGTTTTACGGATTTTTGTCCCCAGAAAACCTAAAGGCAGGAGGGAAAAAAATTAAAAATAAAAATCACCAGTTAAAGTAACATTCCTTTTAAAAACTAAAAGTATTATATTTTTGGCAATTTATGAAGTGCATATGAGGCAAAAAACAATCAAAACATTACATTTTTGGCCAATAAAAACATGAGGATTTTAATTTTTGAGCGGGGAAAATTAATTTTGTTTTCTTTCTTATTCTTGAAAAAATATGACCGGCAGATCCGTAAAAAAAGAAATAAAATTGGTCTGGCCTAATAAGACAAAAATCCCATAATGCATAAACATAGAATACCAAGCACACAGGCAAACAAACACCAACATACTTAAAATACTCCACACTACAGCCAATCCTTAAACTGCTTGCTGATGTTCCTCAACTGATGAATGCAGTGTTTTTGTACTTACATAAAAGGGTGTGGAATTGAATTTATGAAGATGAAACATCAAAACATATGAAAGCAATTCTTAAATTGACAGGATATGTACTTCTGTATCAGGAAAAATAACGATCATATAGATGTGATTCACAGATGGAACTCCAACTATATTGAAGACCATGTTAGTCAACAAGGTTGTGCTAGGTACACTGAAGTGTTACAGAGGTGAGTAAAGAGAAGTCAACACAAGTAGCTACACCAGTGTGATATGAATGATATGAAACATAATAAGGTACAGAAGAAGCTTGCTATCAATTAAAAGAAATAATTACGACTTGTTAATTTTTACAACACCACCCATTCCAGTACAAAAATAAAACACACCAAGACCAGCAAAGGGGTGAATTTTGTCAGGAGGAGTGAAACAAAATACGTGGAAATTCTGAAGCTGCTCATCCTCTTCAACATCCTTAGGGTAGTTTTATATACATCTCTTTAAATATGGCAGAATCAATATTGACTCATCAATAACCAATGATTAATTAACAACCATTCATTATTCACTGCTGCGGACATGGATAACAACAGTCTGTCACAGTCTGATTTACCCAGACCTGCTCCGTGGCAGATATTTGGCTTCACGAAGACAGCAAAAAATCCAAAACTGGAGTTACATTTTCCTAATTCATGTTAAAATATTTATAAGTTATGTTACAGCTTTGTACAGTTGGTAGAGGTGACTTGCATTTAACTGACAAAAGGACCATTTAACATGTAGACTTAAGAAGGCTAGGTCTTTTTTGCTTAGTTTTTACATTACTAAACTGAACAACTGATGGTGGTCACATAATGGAGTGGTGGAAGTTATAACACTCTGCTTCAGATATATGACTAGCATTTCAATCTTCCGGTACAACAAATTAACAAAAAAATACCAACTGTACAAGAATCCAAATTTAGGAAAAGATTCTTTTTCTCTTGCCTTGCAAGTGTCTATACTGGATGTTTGAAATCCTCACTGAACATCGTTGCTTTTACTTCTTGTCATTTCATCATGTTTGTCACAATCAGATGAGCTTAAAACAGATATATGTAGGTATAAAACTACCCAGGATTTGAGGATGCAGCCTACTCTAGCCTACAACTCACTCAAATGATTGATGTCGGGTTTCATCTTCATCGTCATCTAAAACCTCGTACCATCGACCATGCTTATAAATATTAGGATTACCAGTATACAATGGCGAATAAGACTTTTTTTCAAATCTACTCATAAATGATCTCAGGAAACGAGGCAATTTTATTTGACTAGAAGTTGGTCTGAAATACAAATAAAAAAGACATCAATGTTAATTTGCATGACAGTAAACATGGTAAAGTGAGTGAGTGAATGAGTAGGCTTTTATGCTGCTTTTAGCAATATTTCAGCAACTTAAGAGTAGGGGACATAAGAGATAGGCTTTATACACTGAACCCACATGGGGAATAGAAACAGAGTCAGAGGCATTACAAAAAAACCAAATTAACCAGTAAGCTACCCGACTGTCCCAACAGTAAAGGGAGCATGAATGTGTTCTAAAGATAACACTTTCTACACTGATATGTTTCTAATAAATTTAGATTCATAAAGGGTATTTAAATTCAGCTGTCATATCACAAGTGTGCCATTTCATTTGAACAATTCAGAAAGTGGCAGAGTTGATACACGGCAGACATTAACCATGATTAACATGATCAAGAGATCAGAACAACACTAACGTCGTGATCAACAAACATGATTACCAAACAGTCAAAACACATTCAAAATCAAAGTATCCAAGAACAAAATACAGCATGCAATAAAACCATCACCAGTTGACTGTACACAACATTACTAACGATAGAGGTCTCATATGTAATACATTATCACACTTGGTTTGATCTTTAAGGAAGTTGGAGGTTGCATTTGGTTGGATCATACCAGTTGTTTATGTATCCAAAGAGTGCACACTGACCTGGGTAATTATGGTGGCAATGCTCTGACCATGCATTAATGGATGGACTATAGTCCATTACAAATGCACTACAAACTTGTACTGGGCATGACACAGTTGAGCTTGGTAACATGTAGACCTTCTGAATAAGGTGACCTTTCAGGACTTGGGCAACAGTGTCCTTCAAAGGTAGCTACAATATGGATCAAGGTACTCAGTGAAAATCTTTAAAAAAACATCAACTACTCACTTGCATTTGGTAGCCAGCTTGCAGAGACCAGTGGCAAGATTGGTGTACATGTAGAAGGGCCAGCCATAGCTCCCCAGGGCATAGTTCATGAAGTGAGCCATCATCTTGACAGTCATCCAACTTTCAGGCACCAGACAACTTGGAGCAGACATGATACCATTGATTGGCTGAGGTCCGTCCGGATGGAACTCCCCAGCTGACCCCTCCACCCTTACAGACATCAGTTCCCGCCCACGACGCGCATTTGCTGATGCTGTATCAGGATAAGGCCAGCTGCTATGTCAGTCGGAACCAAGTCCACATCCTGCACAATGAAAATAATTCTGATTTACCTGTCTTAATACCTACAAATTCCTGTAAAGGAATCTCTCAGGTACCTAGATCTCTACTAGTTTAAAAACTATTGGACCATATTTTAAGTGCCCATCTATAAACACAATAAAAACAGCAACAGTATCTAAAAGATGTTTAAAGGTCAAGAGAATTAAGGGACACTTTTATCATTTCTGAGCCACAAGATCATATTGGTCAATGACATGATAAGATTTCTATTATCTCTAAGAACTTTAATCAATATTACTGGGACTATTTGTACTTTTAATGCCCACTCTATTCCCCTTCCCCCTTCATCTAATTTTTTTGTGATTTTCAGCTTCACTGATCTTTTGATAATACTTTATTCCTTATGACAAATGTTAAAACCATAAAATCCTCTACAATGTAGATTTTTCAATTTCAATTTTTAAATATTACATTTCTTCAGAAATATTCCATATATATATATATAGACAACACATATGATGCGATGTACTGACATATGACTTAATGGTACAGTATGTGTACATAGAATTTACATAAAAAACATCTCTTTTCACATGTTTATGAGAGAATGTGTTCATTTTTAACAACTCAGAGCCTTTAAGAAATGTTACCTGGAAGAAATCTGCCACAAGTTTAGAGACATCAGTGAAAGCATTTCGGTTGTCCTGCTTAAAGGCTACACAACAGCACAACAGGCGACATCTGAAAACAATGTACATGTCATGACCAAATGTAATGTACTATGTTCTGATGTAATGTACTGCTTATGAGGTGCAACTGACAATGATAAAATATCATGATCTAATGTTATGTAATGCCTAATTGGCACAACAGACGAGACAGAACAACGATTTACAATGTATGACATGTCATGAGTGAGTGCATGAGTATGGGTTTTTTTGTTGCTTTTAACAATATTCCAGACATTTCATGGTGGGGGACACCAAAAATGGACTTTACACATTGTACTAATATGGGGAATTAAACCCGGGCCTTCGGCATGATGAGCAAACGCTTTAACCACTAGGCTACCCCACCGTCCCTTACAAGTCATGGCATGATGTTTACAAAAAGGTTACTGACTACCAAGATAACTGGTTTCATTTACCATTCTATGAATAATGATAATCTTTCCCGCCTGACAATGTACACTACACGTGCCACAGCAGCACACACTGCCTCAATGTGATACAATGGCAGAAATCACACAATGCAATGCTAGACTGCACATCAGCTATATGTGTTTACAAATGATGAAGAATGTTGTGTCAATGCAATGTTACCTCATTTCCCACACTTTGCTGGCAGCATCTACGGAATCTGACAGCCGCATCTCTGATCCATGGGTCATCCTCCGTGCAATCCTGTTCTTCTGTTTCTGTGTTCCAACAGGATCAAATACCAGGAGGATTCCAACAAGCATGAAGAAGCCTGCCACCCAGGCAAACAACACTGCCCCTTTCACAGTCCACACTACTGCTGGGTCACATTCATAGGATTTGCCAAATGCCCAGTATGTGCCCAGTACCACCCAGAGAGTCTCTGGTACTAGGAGCCCTAACTTGAAGTACAGCATGATGGGAATACCACGACGAGGCTTTACATTTGTGATTGTTCCCCTTCATGCTGGTGTGAATTATAATTATATTCATGACGGCACTGGTTACCAGAATAGTTATTACCCCAATGAAGTAAATACGGAGAAGATGGCCACTGCTGCAGTCAAAAGCATCTTTGTTCACATGGAAGACAACAGATATTGCGATCAACCTGAAAAGTAGATAATTAATTGAAAACTACAAATTCAAATAATCCAAATATTCAAATTATATACAAAAATTTGGAATACCGGTAATATAATCAAATGAAAATAAATGGTGGCACACAGGCAGTACATATCCCATAGCCTAATCCTTTGGTGATAATAAATGTTATCACTGCTGGGGGGGTCATAAACTGCTAGATTCACTTTGATAGGAGAGGGTTTTCATTCTACAGCATTGCATGTCTGCTGAGACAATGATGACTCCTAACATATCTTCAGCCTATTACCAGCAATGTTGTTTTAATTGTCCAGTTCTAACTCCCCCAGGGATGTCAGTTAAAAGAGATAAATATCTATATATTATTGGAGATCTTGCTTTCCTGATTAAGAAATGCAGTTCGCTCTACCACCATGTATAGTGTAATAAAGCACACTTTCGCCCTGAACTATTATAGTTAAGCGTCCTTGTGCTTTAACGTTATAATAGTTCAGGACAAAAGTGTGCTTTATTACACTATACATGGTGGTAGAGCGAACTGTATTTCTTTTCTAAGATGCCAAATTTAAGTACTGTCAGCGCCTTTAATCTTTCTCCGAAGCATCTTAGAATCAACCATAGGGTGTGAGGTTTAATTGTTTGCATCATTTTGTGTTTGTGGGTTTGGGTTCATAATATTTAAAGTAATAATAAACAAAACATTGCGAATCAGGCTACCTCATTTCAGTTTCAGTATTGTAACATATCCATAGATGGTAAACACATATGTAGTATCACATGTTGTCTGTCTGGAAAAGTATATTTCTTTTAGGGGCCACATGCAAGTTTCAAGTCAAATTTGGGTCCCCAACCCTTACAGGATTTCATAATCTTTCAAACCAGAATGGAATATATTAGACATCAAACATATACTAAAGCAGGTCTAGTTCTGTTAATACTGCTGGATGATATGTTTTGCAGCATATATGTGTGTTTCACTACACTACACAGACATCGTAAATACTTGTCAGACAATGGCTTGTTTTAAACATGAAGTTGCATTCAGTCAGATGTTATATAGTCCTTGTCTGATTAGCGGGAAAACTATTAATGTTTCTTCAGCATCCAAAAACCTGTAATACAAGGATACAATTTACAGGAGTAGTGCACTTTACAAAACACTTTTTCATATCCAATTAGTTCTGTGGTCGTTTGAATGCACTTTGCCATATTACTGGCTTAGCTTAGGATCCCCAAAGATGGTAAAGGGGTGTTTGCTAGTAAAGTTAAAGCAAACTATGACTAAGCTTAACATATCAAAGCCACTGCTGTTTGAGCAAGGCCAGTGATACAGCAGGTCAGTGGATGCTCACCATAAACTGCACTCTAGCCCAATTCACCATAAACAAGTTGGTAGGACTGCTGAACAGGTTCAGTTCTGTGAACTACTGGGCAACTATACCCTTGTTGGCATAACAATGGTGAAAGGACCATCACAAAAACAAACATCAGTGAATGATTAAGCAAACTGTTAACTTAGTAGCACTACCTGGGGTAAGCCAACATAATAATATGTACTTGATGATGTATCTGTATGGCAATATGGTGTATGAACTGTTCAGCTAATTTGCGTAAGTGCCATCCATCCTTCAATGAACATGTCTGTTAAAAGCTGTAATCCTATTCATTATGTGTCTGTAATGGCGTATTACCATCCTAACAATAATTTACGTCATGTAGAGTAATAGTTGGAAGGATAACAAATATATGGATGAACAACTTGTTTACAAGTGAGCCCGGTAATTCTGCCCGTCCTGTAATTCTGCGCAGCTGCAATAGCGTACTTCCGTATCAAAGGTAAACATCGTCTGCTACCACATTTACGCTTGAAATCGGGACATTTCTACAAGAGACCGGCTTTTAATCACTAAAGGTAAGTAAATAACAGTAATAGACAGATAAATGGACAGTTTTATGAAAACTTGTTTTCTTCAGACTTTTAAACCTTTTTCTTCATTATTCATACTATGAAACACCCTTCCTTACATTGATGAAGTGATTTTTGAAAATAATCTGGCCCTAATACACTTCCATACTTCGGATCTCCAGCTGGATGTCATGTGCATCAGTTGCTACCCAGAATTACCGGACAGCAAGCGATGTCGTCAGAACGCTGGTAAGGTCAACCGTATGGCATAATCAGGGAGACTCTATAAGGGGGAGTGGTCACTCCTCGGAAAGCTCCTAAGCTATGCCTCGGCTCGTCACGTGACCAGTGTAGCCAATATGGCGGCAGCGTGGTTTTTAAGATTGAGCCCGGTTTATTTTCAACAGCTGATTACATACGCTGAGTGTTGTGACAACTGAAAACCTACATGTAGAAGATAAGTTACCTATTCTGTCACTTCATTTCAAGTCAAATAATTGTTATTAGTGTCAGTATAAGTACAGTAGCTTTGTAGTAAAGTTTCAAGTGGGCATGTAGCTCACTGGCTTCAATTCTCAGTACACAGCGAAGAAAGACTAAATTATATCGCTAAAAACTTCTTTCACATATTCGTTTAATTTTTAGAAGGGAAATATACCTTTAGTTGAAAGGTGTTTGCAAGTAATAGTGATAGTTTTATAACTAAAAAATTTTTGTTAGGGTGTATTTGAGGTGTGTGAAAAATATGACATATCGCCGATCTGCCATTGAAATACTACAGGGCGTTGTTTGAGTGTTTCTAGTTAGTGTTCAAAAACATCTTTCACATACACCTTCAATTTTTATGAGGGGAATATACCATCAGGTGAAAGGTGTTTGCAAGTAATAGTAATAGTTTTATAATTTAAAAAAAATTGTTAGTGTGTATTTGAGGTGTGTGAAAAATATGACATATCGCCGATCTGCCATTGAAATACTGCAGGGCGTTGTTTGAGTGTTTCTAGTTAGTGTTCAAAAGCATCTTTCACATACACCTTTAATTTTTATGAGGGGAATATACCATCACGTGAAAGGTGTTTGCAAGTAATAGTGATAGTTTTATAATTTTAAAAAATTGTTAGTGTGTATTTGAGGTGTGTGAAAAATATGACATATCGCCGATCTGCCATTGAAATACTACAGGGCGTTGTTTGAGTGTTTCTAGTTATTGTTCTAAAACATCTTTCACATACACCTTTAATTTTTATGAGGGGTATATACCATCAGGTGAAAGGTTTTTGCAAGTAACATTGATACTTTTTAATTTTTTTTTGTTTTTGTTAGTGTGTATTTGAGGTGTGTGAAAAATATGACATATCGCCATTGGTGCTTGTGATGCTTGAGTGTTATAGTTCTAAAACTTCTTTCTTTCTTGTTGATCTTAGTATTTGACAAAACTGGAAAGGTGTTTACAGCGCTTTGTGATAGTTCTAAACTTTCTGTTCTTGAGGGGTCTGTGACAGTGTCAGTTAACATTCTGTCAATGCCCATGTCATTCCACACATGCAATAAGATATCTGAATTAGTTACTAATGTAAAAACATGTTTCAAAGTAATTTTTTTTTGAAAATGGACAGCTGATGTTAACATATGTGTTCTACCGATAGTTTTGTGTTCTTTAACATGTTTGGGGAGGGATGGCCGTGGTGTATCATTTATTCTTTCATTCATTCACATATGTTCTTTTTCTTTTTTCTTTTTCTTAATTTCTTTCATTCATTCACATAAAATTCTTGCTCTTAATTCATTCATTCATTCATTGTAAAATTCCGACTGATACAATACACTGGCTGAAGTACTGTTAAACGCAGCCGAAGTTGCGCTGGGACCGAACCAAGTCACTGTGTGCGTTGGAGCATGACGAGGCACACGTTAATTAGTACAAATGGTAAAGAAAGCAAGCGAGACCTATCCCTGTTGTAGAGTATCCCTGGCATAATGCAACGTTAGAATCTTATAGTCGTCAATAAAACTTACCAGCATGTTTAGTCACGTAAACCACAAAAAGTAAGAGACCATAGCTACCGTGTTGCGATCGCTGTGGGCGGGCTAAATTACCGGACGGCATAGTATTACAATCAGAGTGACGTTTCGGTGTAGTTTTAACACCGTTATAGACCGATCCAGTCTGTCAATCAAAACTGGCGCATGCGTCAATTTTGGCCAATCAGCAGGCCGGGCGCGCTGTGTGGATTTGTCAGACTTATTTCCGGGGTCAAACGATGCATCCGAAGCGATGTGCTTCGAATTATGCCATTTACACTCGCTATATTTATTACATATTGTTGCGATTTGATGTGTACCTTCACGAAACCATTACGGCCAAGACAACAAAAATGGAGGCGGATCAAGAAACGCGATAGGCCTAACGATCAGTTAAATGTCTGCACCATCGTTCAGGAAACCTACGTCTGCCTGCTGATGCGAATTTGCACGAATTTGCACACTTTTGCACATGTGCAAAATCATTACCAATTGATGACAACAAATAGCAGTTTAAGACTTTGCAAGTGTTATAAACACGGACAATTCTTGTAACTACAAAATTGTTTTTGCTTAACGTTTTTAGTCACTACTAGGCATTGAGTTGGTACACCATAAAGCTCAAATGAGACAGGCGAGAAAGCCGTGACACAATGTAAACAAATCTTCATTTCGGTTAGGGTCAACCGAAATAGCAAAACTTGTTACATGAAAGAACAATGTGGCGGATATTGTCCCCTTAAGCTCTTAGATATTCTTCAATTTGTCACACATTGTAGGATGTTTTAAGTTTCATAAGCACAATCTGAAGGCCCACAGTATCTTGTTAACAGAGCAAAATATTCGAGGAGTAATATTTTTTATTCAAAGCGGATACTGTCAGTGTCAGCAGTTGCCTATCATGCAATATCCAAGTATCAAAATTAGTTCATATGAGTGCCTATAAAACCATGCTTTAAAATTTCAGATTTTTATAAAGAGTTGCATGGGACTTTGAACTGAATTACCTTCCTCCATGTTGATCGAATCGAAAACTATGTGAGAAGAATAGTGACTTTCTGGAGAATTGGACGGAGTGAAATAAAGTGTATATCTTAATTACGAGAACATTATTTGAAGTTTTGTTACCACATAAATTATTCACATTAATGGTACATTTTAGGAGTAATATTACAAATGTAATTTTGATTAATTCACTGGAAATGATAGCAAGGTATGTTTTAAGAATCTTGCTGTTTTTTAGTAAGCGATGGAAGGGTAATAAAATTAATAATAATCTAATCAATAATAAATAATTATTCAATTGATTGACATATAAGATTTTTAGATTTTAAAGGCAGAACTAGGCAAACAAACACCATACATATCATGGCAGGACAATCACTTGGTATTAACTTAGTTTCTTGGCTCCTGCTTTTAGATGTTTTTTAAATACTACATTTACTAATAAGATAATTCTGAAAGTGATTGCTAGTATCATAACTCATTAAAGTTATTTCAACATCCAGAAAATTTGAAAAGCAAAGGCTACGTTTTGGTCAAACCCTGGTCAGGCATTATCCAGTCCTGGAACAGAATAACTTACAAAAATCTCAGTTGACTTTTCATGTAGCGGAATAAAGATTGAAACATATATTTAACCCATATTTGATGCAATTCTTCTGATAAATCATAAGTTTTTAGGAGGTTACTAATATTTGAAGACTGAGCCAAAGCTAGTGTTTATTAAGATGGTGGATATTTAACAAATTGTTCAAGGTTTGTTGATGGTTATTTGCAAAATGAGCTTCATATTAAATTGCACACTGGTTTGTAGGAGGTGAACGCTTCAGGGCATTTTCATGTCTGTTTTCCTAAACCTTTGTTATGACTTTTACCAAATTTTGAATCAACTTTCGACTACATTTGTATTTTGTGTAACATTCTATTTCAATGCTAGTTAATTGTTCGGATAACTGTGGATGCTCTGTTCCAAAATTTTGCATCACATGTTTCCTATTTCTGGAAGATGGGTCAGCTAGTGTACAGGTGCAGACAGTAACTTGGATCTTCTTTGTGTTCTTGTACTGTGACATACCTGTACATAAACGCTGGCAGTTCATGAAGTCCAGTATTATGGAAGTTTGTATGTAAATAAGGATTCCACAACAAAGTACATATAGAAAAATTAAATGGAAATGATGATTAAAAAAATGATTTCCTTATATTCAGTGTCATTTTAATCATGGTGTACAGATTTTGAAGAGAGAAACTTTACTGAGAGTTGCTGCAGATCAGCTGTTGAATATTTGCTTCTGGGTATGTCCAGATACGTCCATGGAAACATATTGTTTACAAGCCCAATTACCTTTTCCAGATTTCCAAATAAGATCAAATAGGTTATGCTGTGATTGATTTGTTTACATTAATTGTAAAGACAAATAAGGTGCATGAAGTAGTAGACGGGAAATATTTTCTGCTTTTTATTTACCATTCTCTTAATTCATTAAAAGATAGAAACCCATGTTTTCAGATTATTGAACTAAATTTGAACAACGCCAACGGATGAGTAAAAGCCGCACGCGCAGTGTTGATAATCTATTTATATACCTAAAGCGATCTGCAACATGAACATGTGGTTGTGTTCACGAAGTTTTAAAAATTATAAACCCAAACAACAAATTTCAGTTATCCTTCCCCTGCTAATATCTGTGACGGAGGTGAATAATTGCCAGATAGATTAATTGATTCGAAAGAAATTACGCTTCCTACAGTCTCAGCAGCTAGTCGAGATGCTTTTTCATCGGGCATGTAACTCATTTTCACTCGCCAGTTGTAATCTGCCAGCTAAAATATATTAAAAATCACATACGTCTAACTTGTCTCTTTATATAACATTCACAAACGACGGATGCCAAAGTATCACAAGCAGAATTCACCAACAACGTTCGCAATCACGTAACGTTTCGCCGGCGGTGACGCCATTGTGATTTGCCAGTGGTTGTCCCCCCTAACGTCAAAAACGAAGTGGGCGGGGCTTATCGGCCGGGACTGGATCGGTCTATTAACTTGCTTGAAACCCACTGAAACTAGTGAAAGCTTGGTCTGGTTTGTTGTTTACGCCGCAGTCAGCAATAGGCCAGCTTATAAGGCCACGGTCTGTAAATAAACGAGTCCAGACCAGACAATCCAGTGATCAACAGCATGAGCATCGATCTACTTAATTTGGATACGATGACGTGTGTCAACCAAGTCAGCGAACGAGCCTGCCCGATCCCGTTAGTCGCCTACCGAACAAGTGTAACAAATAAACATGTCACTAAGCATTTACCATGCAAATCTGAAGCAGTTTTCTATTATGACGGGGAAGACAAGATCATCGCTGCCTATACCCCAGCGCCTGTTGAAGGCCACGAGGCCAGGCATGGTTGAGAGCTTTACGATTTGTTCAGCGTTGTGGTCGACAGTGTTTCCGCAAAACAGTAGCCATCTTGCCTTGAAGGCAATTACAAGGCTTGTTTTATTATAACGCTTTCAATTGGCTAAAAATGCGAGGTTCCCTAACAAATTAACCAATCATGAAAGGTATATGGACTAAAGGAAGTTTACCGTTATACATGCATGCGCAGTGATACTGCGTCAAACACGTGGGTTTGTTGATAAAATAGTCTGAGACATTGACATGTGACGCATGAGTGTCATATGAGATTGTATTCGAGAAGTACAGTCTTGATTTAACTACCTACCCTTAGCAGACAGTCTGGAATATGCAAATCTTGTGGTTTATGTCTGTGAGACAACCACTGATAAAAATGAACTGTGTGAATACATCCTCGTAAGTGTATGTGATACATCAATACTCATTCAGGGAGGGAATGCATGTTATGCATGTAGGTAGGCATACTTCTTCTGCACACTGTACAGTATGGGTGGCTAAAAGGAAAAATACACAGAATCTAAAGCATTTACATTTAAAAGATCAGTTGTTACTATTGCAAATGCACTAATAGCTAGCTAGGTGGCATCGTTCAAATAAAGTAATATCACATGTACATCAGACTTTTATATATTGTGCGCTTTATGCTTTTATATGTCTTTGAGAAAACAATTAAGATAGGATTTGATAAAATGGATTCACTGACTTGGTTTTATCATTATTAAAAAAATTTTTTTTAATATATTGTCACTTTTTAAGATCCAGTGAACAAGTCTGTATTATATAAATGCAAAGTTGTACTTGATACATGCAGTATTTTCTTGAGAATGTTTAACTTTTGTAACTTACTTCAGTTTTTGGACACATTTTAAGAAAGTTAATTTTTTTTAAATGTGACAATGAGCATGTTAGACTGTAGTGTATCAAGCTGTTAGAATATGAAAGCTTGTGTTTTTTCAAACGGAAACATTCCTGGTTTTGTAGCATACTTGAAAACAGTATTTGTGTATTTGTTGTGCAAAATGTAAAATGCAGAGTGACTGAGTTGTTTGACTAAGTATATGTAAACTCAATACCCACGGAATTAGTGCAAATAATTCATGTGGAATTAAAGACGTATTAGGGAGCGAATTTGACTGATTTTATATGATTGTTAATTTAGGGGTGTTAACAGATTCTGACAGTGCCAACATACACTGCAAGCAGAATGGGAACTGAGGCAGCAACAGGTTGTATCAGTAAGCTCTCTGAGCTGTTGCGAATTCACAGATTTGTCATGTCAAGAATATGTACAGTGAATGGAACCGAGGCACACATGTACTCTTATGGAACTCCTGGGGTGCTACTGAGGAAGAATATACTCAGTGAATGGTAAGCACATTCAGACTGGAATATTTCTGTAGGTAAAGAACACAGACATTTTGACAGATTTGTTTTTATAAGTTGTCACATTATTATATCAGAAGGTTGATGCCAATTGAAATTACAGTATTTACTGCTTTGTATCTTAGTAAAGATGATTTTGACCATTGATAGTAAAGGTGAAAAACAACAACTTTCCAGTGTGAAAAATGATTTAGATAACATTGTTAGTAATATGTTTTTAAGTATATGTCTCTATATGTATGTTATAATCTTACTTTCATTACAATTGAAAAGGACATTCTAGACAACCAGAGATGTACCATTTCAGGTGGAATCACATGGTTTCTCTCCAAGAGAATACATTTCCAGTGGAAGCATCAGTTGTCTCCCCTGACTTGTCGGACCCAGGGATCAGTATAGCATTAGGACCCAGGTATAAATTTATTAGTTTTTAGTTTCTGTTAAGGGATTGTAGCAGGATGAGGAATAATCCCATGATCTCCCTGTTGTGTTGTCTTGCTGACACCTTCTTATTCACCTTCTTTGAAGTGATGCTCCGAAGGGTAATTTGGCTCTCAGACTCTTGCAACAGTAACACCAGGGCATTTTGGGAGTCTCCTTTGAATTAAGCAAATATGCTTTGGATATGTGTTGGATAGCCTTTATGGCCTTTTGACATGTAAGATATGTAATGTTCAATGTTTCTTTCCAGTGATATCAATGTAAAATACAACTTTGGAGCTTTATAATGGCTTCTGATCTGTAGAGGGGCGGTGGGGTAGCCTAGTGGTTAAAGCGTTCGCTCGAAAGACCTGGGTTCGATTCCCCACATGGGTACAATGTGTGAAGCCCATTTCTGGTGTCCTCCACCGTGATGTTGCTGGAATATTGCTAAAAGCGGCGTAAAACTCTACTCACTCTGATGTGTAGATATTTAATTGAAGTCCATCACTGCACTGGTGGATCCAGAAAAGGAGAGCAGTGGGTGCACCACACCCGTTTGTTCCCGATTCTTTACGTGTTAACTGTACCCTGGGCCAAGTCACATCTTAAGTTGTGTATAATGTGCACCCATTATCTCATTATCCTGTACTTGCCTCTGCCATGCTTATTTCAGGAATGTGGTGTGTGTATGTAAATGGATTTGGGAAAAAAACCCAAGTAAATTGCAGATTTTCACAAGTTTGATGGGTGGGTGGTCTATGTGTGGCTATGTAATCACTACATTTATATGTATGTAAATGTAACAGAAATGTCTAAGTATGAATTGAATTTCTGAATTGATGAAATTGTGCAGGATTCAGCGTTTTGTTTCTTGTATTCCTGATTGTGTCTCAATGTAGAAAGTATTTCTTAAATTATGCTTCTGTCTTACTCAGGGAAGAAAACGGTATGGTTACAGATGTTGGCCTAACTTCATCTTTGTCTAAAGGTAAATACATCGTCTTTCAGTCTTTCTTCTCAATTTTGTGATGTTCAAAATATTATGTTTGTTTATCTTTTTATTCTGACTAAATAGGAAGAATACACATGCAAAAAATGTTTAGTTGAAAGTGAAATGCAATATTGGTGTTGATGAGAGGTTGCACCACTGAAGGATCTCATAGCTTTAATGTTTCAGAGTGGTGCATTATGCTAGAATATAGAGTGAGTGAGTGAGTGAGTGAGTTTAGTTTTACGCCGCATTCAGCTATATGGCTGCGGTCTGTAAATAATTGAGTCTGGACCAGACAATCCAGTGATCAAGATCATGAGCATCGATCTGCGTAATTGGGAACCAATGACATGTGTCAACCAAGTCAGCGAGCCTGAACACCCGATCCTGTTAGTCGTCTCTTACGACAAGAATAGTCGCCTTTTATGGCAAGCATGGGTTGCTGAAGACCTATTCTACCCCGGATCTTCACAGGGTCCTAGAATATAGAACACATACATGTGCACACATGCGCACGCACACACACACACACACACACACAAAGAAGAAAATACAATTTTTGGATTGATTTTGAATAAAACTTACTGAGCTATTTTGATCAAACTATTTGCATGAGTATCCTTGCAAATATATCCACAGTTTGTTTGTTTGTTGTCAGATCTGCTAAGCAGCTACCTTCACAGTCTGGAGCAAGTCAACAGAAGACTTCCCCTTGCACAGGCTGCAGTCGGTACCTGCTTTCAGTTCAGTCGGACCGAGTCTGAGGACAACAATTCACCCCAACACCGACTTCTTTCAAAGTAAGTTGTCCTCGCGCTGGTCTGCAATAAACTGTGCACAGAAACTTCCTTAGCAGTGCATGGTTGATCCTCTAATCATGGGTTTGGATACCAGTGTTTCAAATATTTTCATCCTTGGTCAGTAGGACTCATACTCTGTTATTGTATAATTTTGTACCTGATAGTTTGATCTTTAACCTGTAATGTTTAGAAATATTATTGAAATATGATATTGTTGTGTTACAGAGGGCTGTGCCAGACACAGCTGGTCCACCAGTACTACAGTCCTCCGGGCAGTGCCTCACAGAACTATGATCACTGGCTAAGTCTCAGACTTCGATGGTGGAGACAGGTAATGAAGCCTTCAGTGTTTCCTGGTTTACAGTTACTGAGGTGAACACTTATTAAGCTTGTATTCAGTGGAAGAGAAAACTAGTACTGTTTGGATTGGATTTGTGAGAATGATTCCCATGGTCATAGGGATGGTGGATCTGTAAACAAATCATGTTACGATAAAGTCTTAAAGTTTTCAGCTGAGTTAAGGACTGTTTAAAAACTGATTCACAGAAGAAAGCATGTGCATTTTTGTCATCATGAAGTATTGTCAACAAGCCGACACAGTATGGATGTGATATATGGGTTGATACCTCATCATTAGATGCCACTGTTATTGATCTGGACTGTGATATAGTGTGCTCCGAGCTGTGGATATACACACCTGGAATGGCACTGTGAAAATTAACTCAGTTATTAAGAAATAATTACAGTACAACCAGAAATTATTGAGAATTTAAAGATTGTAAATTTTTTATTTTTTTCACTCAATACTCATGTATTAAATGTGAATATTAGCAGAACATAACTCCAGATTCAAAGACATGCTGTCCCAATATCGGACCACCTCTTCATTCATTTCAGCAATATTTGTCAGATTTTTCTTATTGACACTTTCCTTCATCAGTCCCCAAACATTTTCTATTGGATTTAGGTCAGGGCTATAGCTTGGCCAATCTAATAATGTCATATTTTGGGTCCAAAACCAGGCCTGTGAATGCTTTGAAAGATGTTTTGGGTTGTTGTCCTGCTGGAAAATCCAAAATTTTCCATAGAACACGTGAGCAGATGGAAGTAAATGTCCCTCGAGAATACCTGTGTACCCGCTCACTGTTCAAATTCCCTTCAAATACAAAGAGGGCATTGCCCCTAACACAGATATGCCATACCACACGTTAAATATCGGACTGTACTGTGGGCGCTGATATAAAGGTTTTTCAGGGTTTTTTGTCCAGAATTTTAGTGTATTAGGAAACAGCCATACAGAACTTTCATCTGAGAAAATCACATTGTCCCAGTTAAAATTTCTATGCTGTAAGCACCAGTTCAACCTTCGCTCCTTTTGTTCAGGTTTCATGATCGGTGATGGAATTCCTCGACTTTTCTGCCAACCCATTGCATGCAGCTCAGTTCTAATTGTCTCCTTACAGACAGCCGCAGTTCCTCTATCAATCATATCCAGCCTATAAGTTTTCTATACCCCCCTCGTTTGTTTTTAGAAACAAGAATACCAAGCCGCCTCCTGTCACCGACAGTCAATTTTCTGGGCCTACCTGCGTCTACCTGGTGCTCAATGCCATATCCATTTGCAATATTTTTCAAAACACGATAAACAGTGGACAAAGGGATGCCTGTTCTACTTGAAATCACTTTAGCTGATCTGATGTCCTTGTTATAATACTCTAAAATCAACTTCCTCTTCTCTAAATCATCCATACTGAGGATCACTGAAAATGTCGTCTGCTAGCAAGTAAACAAAGGGGGATAACTCTTCACAAACTAATGAAAAATGATTAATGGAGTTGTCTCTCTTGAATGAAACCAAGCACTTGATAGCTGGTCAAGGTTGTTTATACTAGAAATGCAATTAAACATATTCCTAAAATTCTCCATAATTTCTTGTCATTCTATACATCTTTGTTCTTAAAACACGTGATTGGTGGATTTCTTTCCAAACTGGTAATATATTATTATAATTTGCAATTTCACAAGGTATAATGTTTCAGAACTTGATTTTTTGTGATTATCTTCAGTTCTCCAGCAAGCCCTCGCAGTTTGTGACCAGCAACAATGATGTACCTGATGGGAAAACCTCTTCATCTATAGAGTATATGTTTCCATGGGGACAGAGTACAATAGAAACAGTCTGTAACCATGGTGATCATGATATCAAACAGTTGGAAGAGCAGTCAGGGCTAAACCATCAAGTAAGTAAAATATGAAGTACAAAAATGGCTGCAGCTAGTGTGGTCTGTGTAGAGTATGATGTAGAATAGGTTCCCAAGGCCAGATGCTTGCTGTAAAAATTGACATTGATGTGATATTACTTGAATATGGCTCACTGTGGTAATAAAAAATATTAGCAGGCAGCTTCTGAGACTCCACAATAGAGCATTTCTCCTCAATATCTTGTGTTTCACTGGCCCATAGAGGTAGTATATACTTATCTCCTATTATTCCAGACAGAACTTTATTACTTAGATATGTCATGAATTTTGCTGCACTGACCATTATCAACTTTTATTCACCTCATTCAAGAACAAAACAATTGAGTGATCCAGTGTGAGTGTGCATTATACAGTATGAGCGAGTGTGGTACCAATGTGAGCGTGATCAGGTTTGAGCTTGATCCAGCATGGATGTGATCCAGCGTGAAAGCGATCCAGCATATATATATGTGATCCAGTGTGAACATGATCCAGCATGAAGTGAGTGAGTGAGTTTAGTTTTACGCCGCACTCAGCAATATTCCAGCTATATGGCGGCGGTCTTTAAATAAACGAGTCTGGACCAGACAATCCAATGATCAACAGCATTATCATCAATCTACTCAAATGGGAACTGATGACATGTGTCAACCAAGATCCCGTTAGTTGCCTCTAAGATCCAGCATGGATGTGATCCAGAAGAGGTGTGATCCTGCATGAACATGCTCTCACATATGTGATCCAGAGTGAACATAATTCAGCATATGTGATCCAGTGTAAACATGATCCAGCATGGATGTGATCCTGTGTAAACATGATCCAGAATATGTGATCCAGTGTGAACATGATCCAGCATATGTGATCCTGTGTGGACATGATCCAGCATATGTGATCCTGTGTGGACATGATCCAGCATATGTGATCCAGTGTGAACATGATCCAGCATATGCGATCCAGTGTAAACATGATCCAGCATATGTGATCCTGTGTGGACATAATCCAGCATATGTGATCCTGTGTGGACATGATCCAGCATATGTGATCCTGTGTGGACATGATCCAGCATATGTGATCCTGTGTAAGCATGATCCAGAATATGTGATCCAGTGTGAACATGATCCAGCATATGTGATCCTGTGTGGACATGATCCAGCATATGTGATCCTGTGTGGACATGATCCAGCATATGTGATCCAGTGTAAACATGATCCAGCATATGTGATCCTGTGTGGACATGATCCAGCATATGTGATCCTGTGTGGACATGATCCAGCATATGTGATCCAGTGTAAACATGATCCAGCATATGTGATCCTGTGTCGACATGATCCAGCATATGTGATCCTGTGTCGACATGATCCAGCATATGTGATCCAGTGTAAACATGATCCAGAATATGTGATCCTGTGTAAACCTGATCCAGCATATGTGATCCCGTGTAAACATGATCCAGCATATGTGATCCAGTGTAAACATGATCCAGCATATGTGATCCTGTGTAAACATGATGCAGCATATGTGATCCAGTGTAAACATGATCCAGCATATGTGATCCAGTGTAAACCTGATCCAGCATGAATGTGATCCTGTGTAAACATGATCCAGAATATGTGATCCTGTGTAAACATGATCCAGCATATGTGATCCTGTGTAAACCTGATCCAGCATATGTGATCCTGTGTAGACGTCATCCAGTGTATACATGATCCAGCATATGTGATCCTGTGTAAACATGATCCAGCATATGTGATCCAGTGTAAACATAATCCAGCATATGTGATCCTATGTGGACATGATCCACCATATGTAATCCTGTGTGGACATGATCAAGCATATGTGATCCTGTGTAAACATGATCCAGCATATGTGATCCTGTGTAAACATTATCCAACATATGTGATGCAGTGTAAGCATTACCCAGCATATGTGATCCAGTGTAAACATGATCCAGCATGGATGTGATCCAGTGTAAACATGATCCAGAATATGTGATCCAGTGTGAACATGATCCAGCATATGTGATCCTGTGTGGACATGATCCAGCATATGTGATCCTGTGTGGACATGATCCAGCATATGTGATCCTGTGTAAGCATGATCCAGAATATGTGATCCAGTGTGAACATGATCCAGCATATCTGATCCTGTGTGGACATGATCCAGCATATGTGATCCTGTGTAAACCTGATCCAGCATATGTGATCCTGTGTCGACATGATCCAGCATATGTGATCCAGTGTAAACATGATCCAGAATATGTGATCCTGTGTAAACCTGATCCAGCATATGTGATCCCGTGTAAACATGATTCAGCATATGTGATCCAGTGTAAACCTGATCCAGAATATGTGATCCAGTGTGAACATGATCCAGCATATGTGATCCCGTGTAAACATGATCCAGAATATGTGATCCTGTGTGGACATGATCCAGCATATGTGATCCTGTGTAAGCATGATCCAGAATATGTGATCCAGTGTGAACATGATCCAGCATATGTGATCCCGTGTAAACATGATCCAGCATATGTGATCCAGTGTAAACATGATCCAGCATATGTGATCCAGTGTAAACCTGATCCAGCATGAATGTGATCCTGTGTAAACATGATCCAGCATATGTGATCCTGTGTAAACCTGATCCAGCATATGTGATCTTGTGTAGACGTGATCCAGTGTAAACATGATCCAGCATATGTGATCCTGTGTAAACATGATCCAGCATATGTGATCCAGTGTAAACATAATCCAGCATATGTGATCCTGTGTGGACATGATCCAGCATATGTAATCCTGTGTGGACATGATCAAGCATATGTGATCCTGTGTAAACATGATCCAGCATATGTGATCCTGTGTGAACATGATCCAGCAGGGTTGTGATCCAGTGTAAACATTATCCAACATATGTGATGCAGTGTAAGCATTACCCAGTATATAGGATCCAGTGTAAACATGATCCAGCAGGGTTGTGATCCAGTGTAAACATTATCCAACATATGTGATGCAGTGTAAGCATTACCCAGTATATATGATCCAGTGTGAACCTGACCCAGTGTCAACAAGATCCAGCATGAGTATGATGTATCATGGTTGTTGTGTCTGCTTCCAGGCTCGAGCCAGCAGGAAGATGGTGTATCCCCATGTCATTGAGTGCCAGACATCACTAGAAGATGCTATGGCAGCTTTTCTTGCTGATGCTTTCCAGGAGAAACAGATCTTTTCTACAAACAAAACCACAAAGCAGAATGGTGCCAGAATGGTAATAGTGAAGCTATTTTACTGAGTTTTTTTCACCTATTATAGTTAAAGCACAAGGACGCTTGCGTCCGAGTGCTTTAACGTTATAATAGTTCAGGACGAAAGTATGCTTTATTTACACTATACATGGTGGTAGAGCGAACTGTATTTCTTTTCTAAGATGCCAAATTTAATACATTCTAAGGATAATTACGATTAATCTAAGGCAGAAAACAAACGATGGTGTCTGTGATCTAAATTAAAAATCCTCGCACAGGGCTGACTGGCGCACTGTTCTATTGATGTGTCTGCCCCCTACGTTAAGACAAACTTTACCAGAAAAAACAAATGATAAACAGTTTGATGACGGTTTATGTTCGTATTAAATATCTTCTCTAAATTATTTTAATTACATCTGTGATTAACGTAAACCATATGGGGCAATATGAACGTCGCATTTCTACTACCAACGTAAGTTCAGATCAGAACATCCAGATGAAGCTGAGTAGTCAAGCGACATTCCACGATTGCATTGTGGGAATGTAAACATTGCAAACGTTAACTTGTGAGTCGAATTGAGGCATTTTAAACGTCGGAAAACATAAACTTAACGTTTCCACCAGTGATGTTAGCTGCTTGAAGCAACTGAAACCAAGATAAGGGATGCAACGGAGTAGTTAACTGTAGGAGGCTGTATGAGGCGATGACAAATGACATGCAACGTGACATCGTCACTAGAATAGCGCAGTGACGCCAATACATTGTGACGTAATTAAAAAAAGTGCACATTATCGTCTGATAAAGTACTGTCGGCGCCTTTGATCTTTCACCGAAGCATCTTAGAATATCTAATACATCTAAAAATATTTATGGCTCCCCACGAAGGATCTGGAGACATATTTTTTTTGGTTGAGTTTCTGTCAGCATTGGTGTCGGTGTTCCTATTGTTTCCGGAACATAACTCTAAAACTACTCGAACAATCTTCACCAAATTTGCTATACTGCCCCTCCATATCATGTAGATGTGCCTTTTGGGGTTTGGACTTTTCTTTCAATTTTATTATCCCCCGCAACAACAAAGTTGCGTGTATATACAAACGAGTTCCATCCGTGGCGTCCGTCACACTTTGTCCGAAGCATATCTTCTAAACTATTCGTGATAGCTTAACCAAACTTAGTACACATGTCAGCCATGATCCGTAGATGTGCCTTTTGGGGGTAAGACCCAGATATGAATTTTATTTTTTGTGGTTTCCATGGAAACGTGACTGAGGCTGTGGCTATGAGGATCTCCTAAACTATACATGCTAGCTTCATCAAACTTGGTACACATATCAAGCATGATCCATAGATATGCCATTTGATGGTTAGACCCAGATACAAATTTACTTTTTGTGGTTTCTGTGGAAGTGTGACTTAGGCTGTGACTATGAGGATGTCATCTTGTTGCATTTCCATGGCAACAAGTTAGGCTTCAACTGAATTTGGTGGTAGTGCTCCTTTCTGGAGCAGATCTTAAAACCTTTCAATACTCTCTTTCCACTTTGCTATATACACTCCAAAACATCTGACATAATCGTAACTAGTATTCATAGACATATTCATAAATAGTATTTTGCCGTTTGCGGGATATTGATGACTTTCTCTTCTTATTTTTTTGTCTTTTTCACTTATTGATCATATTTATGTATTATTCTCTTATGAGAGAGATACAGCATACTGAAGATCTGGTGTTGTTCCATGCTACTACAGTTTCCATGATATCACCTATCTTGTTCTTGATTAGATTCCAGTGAAAAAGTTACATCCATAACTGAATGTGATAAAATTTGATTTTGATTTCAGGATTTGTTGAAATTTTTATTGACGAGAGACAACTCTGTGACTGAAAAACAACAGATTCATTCATGCATTTCGAAATAGAATCATTTACAATTCTGAATGTTTTGTAAAATATAACTGTGGAGTTGTTGATTTGTTGATAAGCAATTAGGTTCAATTGAATATAAAAATATTAAATGAAGACTTTACAAACATAATAACATACTATCCATAATATGTATTTTCATACTTAGAGATTTTGAAATTGAAGGAATCCAATGATTTGTTTGAGGTCTCAACGTTGAATTGGGGGAAGGGGGAGACATCTGTTTTTACAAGTGAAAACACTTTATAGTTTTATGTTTAACCGTAAAAAGCATAATAATTTATGAGTGAAATCGGGATGACCATTGTCTCAATTTCATATTTTCCCAGGTTTTACAATTTCATCCACATTTAGCTCCATACAATGTCTCCATGGTGAACACGGGCTCCAAGTCAAGGGAGCTACGACTCATAACAACACACTGGTGCCAGGAGCTGCGAGAGGCAGGCTTGAGGGTGCTAGACACAGCTGATGTCAGTCTGACACAGGAAGCTCAGTTCAAGCGGTATGACAAACTGCTGTCAAAATAACTTGATTTATAGAAATCAATGGCTATAGTAGATGGTGTTGGATCAGTCTGACAACTAATCATTGAAACCACATTTTATAGGTTTCATAACAAAGCACATGGGCAACTAAATATTCAATAATCTTGCCAATGTGGTGTCTTCTTTTAGTCCATATTTCAATGTTGCAGGCATATGTCTCAACACACATAACAAATTGTCTGATTTTTTTACCTTTTCTGCACCATTTACAGACACCTCACCATTATTCATACTTCTATAATACATACATATTAACCAGAGATGTATAGCCATTTAACTGCCACAGGTCCTTCTATGGATTTTATTGTTAACCACCTTGCATTGATGGTTTGGGCAAGGCGGGTAATAGTGCCCCTGTCTCATAGTACCTCTAGTTGCATTACCCTCAGTTGCTGTGGTCGTATAATTTCTACTGCATTGTTGTTGTATGATCAATTTGAACAGCATGATGACATTCCCTATCTCAGTGTGTTTATAGATCTAATATGGAGCAAACCTGACTTCTATTCACCATATGATTAGCCAATTAATATTTGTTGGCAACAGGTGCAGATTTTTTTAAATGACACAAGTGTTCAGTTCACTACATTTGATCAAATATATTAAATAGTAGAATAGCTCTGATTGAACTTGACTAGAATAAAGAAAAGCATTTAACCAAAGGCAACACAGGTGATACCAAACTAGGTCCCTGGCACCCCTTGCTTGTCGCTATGTCGACCAGTGTATATCCAGGCAACACAGGTCATTCCAGACTAGGTCCTTGGCACCGGTTGCTTGTCGCCATGTCAACCAGTGTGTATCCAGGCAACAGAGGTGATTTTAGACTAGGTCCCTGGTACCCCTTACTTGTCGCCATGTCAACCAGTGTGTATCCAGGCAACACAGGTGATTCAAGACTAGGTCCTTGGTACCCCTTGCTTGTCACCGTGTCAACCAGTTTGTATCCAGGCAACATAAGTGGTTCTAGATTTGATCCCTGACCAGTAAACATTAACCCTTTCAATACTTTGTCCAACTGGCTTCATAAATAAAATAAATGCTACTTAAAGAAACAATGAAGTATTTGTGACTACTTATCAGTTCCAAGACTAATGTTATTTATGACTTGTACATAATAAAATAAAGGTTTTAGATGTATTGGTCTACCTACAATATTGGCTTGATTTCTTGATTTTAGCATGGGCTAGTTTGAAAAAAGTATTTGTTGCCATATGCCCACTTGGTTATAAAATATACTTATAGGCCTGTGAAGCATATTTCACTCTTGGTTGACCAATACTCTTTCACTACTTCGACTTTGTTTGAGAAGTGATGTCACATCTGTATCTCTGCAGGGGATAGAAATGCAATTTTTTCAAAGGGTGCCATTGGGCACGAGATAATTTAGGTGTGCCTTTGTGAAAATAAGTGTGCCCATCCCTTTTGATGATCCAGGCTTGAAACATCACAACAATTATGTTATTTCATTTTATTGTTTAATAAATCAGAAGACATCAACAGGTCACAATGTTCGACCTGGCTGATTTCGTGTCACTTTGCCCTGACAGCGAGTATTGCTGCTCCTGCTGTCAACCACTGGTTCACCTGACTGAGATATTATTGTTTCTAGGATGTCATGTTAAAACTGGATATGGGTCATTCCACAAATAGAGGCCCAAACAACTTTTAGCAATGTTGAAAATTAAACATTCAGTTGTGGAATCTTTTTGGCAATATTATCATTTGTAAGTGTTTAATATTATCAGAACAAGTAGTGGTCGTATTCTTGACGCATTTTTATACTCTGTATCTTCAATTAAAAAATGTATGTTTTTGTCCCCTATATAATGTGTCATTACCGTCACACAACCCTTTTGTCCATTAACAACAAAAATACTTCAATTAAACCAAATCCTTCTTATTAAGGTCATAGGTCTTCAATGACAAAAGTGTGTCAACAAAAGAATACATTACCATTTTCTTTTATAGGTCCAAGTCTATGAAATTCATTTGTGACATTGACTTCGTCCATAAAATGTGACTTTCAGTAATTATGAAGTTAATAGCACAATCATTAAAACAAAGTGTATTTGAAAGTTAATTATGTTAACTAATAAAACTGTTACCTTTCTTTTAGTACATTTAAGGTCTTTTCAATAACCTGATAATCTATCATATTTTTTTAACAATATCTTGGCATGTTACGGTAATGACGGACTGTTATGGTAATGACAGACTGTTATGGTAGTGACAATTTGTTATGACATCTTTATCATTTTAGCGTTATTATTACACTTTCATGTTTCTGAACAAACTATAAAGAAACGTCAGTCATCAATCTTAATCATTTAATCAAAGGTTGATGGCTATCTCCCTAAACATCGTTCAAACCATATTTACCAGGTACTATGAACCCTGAAACCTATAACATTTATTCTAACAGATAAACACAATGTGTGAAAAATGCAACTATGAATTGAACAGTTAAAGTCAAACCAACTTCAAATATATACCGTCCAAACACGCAAACTCTCAAAATAAAGCCTGAAGGAAGTTGATATGTATTCACTACAGACTTGAAACAATTCAACACAGTCTCTCACGGATAGGTTAAACAGTAACATCTAACTCATTAGTAGCTAACAGGAAATGTCACGGATTAAAGTTTTGTGGATGTGTAAGGATCCTTAGAGATCCAGTTTCTCAGTGATAGCTTTCCAAATAAGTTTGTCAATCTGGTGATGACGCTTGGTTACTGGTTCTGGTGGTGAGATGAGGGTTATTTTATCATCCAAAACTGTGTTCCACAGGAGATATCGCTTATGTGAGATCAAACGATATCTCCTAGGAGATATCGTTTTGACAGTAGATTTTGTACAATGCCCTGACAATGCTATGACGTCATGTACTTGATGACGTCACAATGCTATGACATCGCTGCACTGCAAGTCTCTTGGCAGTACCATGTTCAGAGATGTACATTTTTCATTGAAAATTAAAGAAGAGTGATTTTGGATGATAAATAGAATCTCACCCTCGTGTCTTCTGATATCAAATATATCAACACTCGTTGATAAAGTAAAAATATCCTCGGCAAGCCTCGGATATTTGTAACTTTATCAACTCGTGTTGATATAATTGATATCAGAAGACACTTGGGTGAGATTCTCTATATATCATCACGTCTGTACCAGAGGATATCATCCATCAAAGATGGCCAGAAGAAACGATTGTCTCCCACTCTGTGCATAACCATGACTTCGATTTCATTTTCGCCTGTATCCTGGATAATTCCTGGGTACGGCAACCCATCATAAGTAACTACACACCACTTTCCATGTAGATCAGCAGTAATATCCCCAATGTCCATGAGACCTGACCGTGTGTTCTTGTCACGAGAAGTACTGTCTAAAGCTTGAACACTAAAGTTTGGATCTTGATACTGCACCTGCACTGTTAATGGGCTGTGGCATACACATTGATCAGGATAGGAACAGAAACAGCTGAGGACTCTGTAGCTTAATGTTCCCTTCTCATTGGTAGATATTTGATGGATCTTCATTGTCCCAGGTATGACTGTTATGTCTGGAGGAATATATTTGTCTTCCTCCTCAATATCTGTGGGTGACATGAAGAACATACAAACTGAGGTCTCTCCATGCAAGGTGTCAAATAGAGTTTTGGCATCTGGAATATCCTCACCATGAGCTACCAGTCTGTCAGCTGTCCTTTTCACAACAGCACCTATGCCATCAGCTGGTCCTTTGCCGTGTCCGGCAGCCAGAAAGTTCCATGTTGATTTTACAAATCCATATGCATACAGTCTGTTCACAAACATAGAGAAATTTTTCTTCTGTTTATACTGAGTAGTAGGCCCATCACTTACAAAGTGGACAGTGTCAATGTCTGGGTATTTGCCCTTGATATGCATGAAGATTGGCCTCATGTGAGCCCATATAGCAGGAGGATCATGTCTGAATGATGGCGAAATGGTACAGAAAGGCAGATTGTCATACTTTTCATGGGTGTAGACAAGACCTGTGTGAAGAGAAGCTTGTTGATGCGATGCACCAAAGTGAACACTTTGAATTTCACTGGCATATTTACAGGCATAATTTTCTGAGAAGTCCAAGTGAATGATGCACTCATTCATGTTTAGGTTCTTTTTCAATTTGTGGATGGCAAGGTACTGGTGCGATACAGTATAAAGATGTCTGCAAGACACTTTCAGACTCTCCTCAAAGTCATCCACTAAGGTTGCCACAGTTCCCATTACTTTTTCTTTTCTTGTGAGTTGAACATTTATGGTCCCTTGCTTGCCAGCAGTTACCTTCTCTCTTGTCTCAACCCTTCTCTGCCACTCATACCAAAAGATCTGACTTCCCTCATCAAAACTGTGTTTCTGGATGTTCTTTCTGCAGCATTCATCGCATTCCCTAAACATACATTTCCTATCTTCAACTGAACAACAGATTTCTGCAGCAATCTTCATAAGATCACATGTTCCTAAAACGCCAAGCTGACACAGTTTATCTGCCTTCAATTGCAGGTTATCATGTGTTTTACAAATGCATGTTTCCCTGTCTGATGCTGTAGGTATTAGCACATAAAATGGTCTTAGGTTGGCAAAGAGTGAATAGGATACCTTTACTTCAGGGTTTTCTGACAGGAATTTTGAGTGAAGGTTTTTGAGAGTATCATTCAGGTATCTCTTTTGACGTTTCACTTTGAGCTTGGTTATCGTGTCCTTCTTCCCGGATGTTGGCCTGCTGTTGTCATCCCGCACAAAGAACTGTAAGATGGTGGCTTTCAGGGCTCCAGCAAAAGAGTTTGCGTTTCTTTCGTTTGTATTTTATTGGTCCTTTTGTCCTATTGTTTTGAAGCGTTTTCTTGAGAATGAAAGAGATGCAGCAGCATTTGATTTGAACCTGTATTTATTGAGAATTGCTTCAGAAAACATTTGTGAAAACAATTGCTTCTGCTTTTCAGGACTTGTACTCTGATATTTAGTCCGTATGGCCTTGATGACGACATTATGGAATAGCAAGGTCTTTCTGACCTTACTTGAAACTTTCTGGCCTTTAAGGAGTTCTTGTGTTTTCTTCTGTGGCGAGTCCTTAAGTTTTGCTGCTGTTTTAAGCCTGTAAATCTGTTTCCTGTATTTTTCCTTTTGTCTCCTGGTATTTGATAACTGTACTTTCAGTTTCAAAATCTCTCTGTAAGCTGCACTCCTCATTCTATGCACCTTCTTACCACCCGTGTGTCGTTCTTCCATCCTGATCACCTCCAGCTCTCCTACAGCTTCATCCACGGAGACCCAGGCGGTGTCAACAGGTTCTGTGTGAGTCTCTCCTGTTTCCGCTGTTTTTTCTCTCACTTTTTGTTGATTTTTCCTCCATCTCCTTCTTTGATTCACGTTGACTCCGTGATGAATGTTCAGAAATTGGTTTGATTATGCCATTTTCCTTCTTTTTTATTTCTTAACTTTTCTTTGTTTAGATAGGCTGCTCTCTTTCTTGGGGTCACCATTTATCCTTTCTCTATACTTCCTCGCCCTTTCTGCTGCATTCATAGCCATTTTCTCTGTCCTTCCTTTGTTCTTTCATAATCTGATGAATGTTTTCCTTAGTAATTTGTATTTTTTCATACAAATCTACAATTCTTTTAGCCCATGCTGCACGCACAGCACTATCTCTTGGATGGAAATGTAGGAAATAGTCAAACCTCTCTGTAGTTTCAGTCAGGTCTTTTTCTAGGACTAATAAAAGTCTTTTTTCATGATTCAGTTCTGGCATCTGAAGATCAATAAAGAAACAAATATGACCTAGAACCATATAGACTTTACAACACATCATTGTAGTAAAGACAATGTTATTATCATTATTGGTTTTATCATACATAATATGAAAATGTTTATTGAATGTGGATTTAAAACTTCCTTGTAAAGAAATGTCACTACCGTCACAGCGTGTCATTACCATCACTTTTTCATGTGACAGTAATGACCTGTGACGGTAGTGACATTTCAATATTTGAAAAGAAGCTACAGTAAAATATAAATTCAAAATTGGTGTGTCTCATGAGCACATGGCAAATGAAGATGTGGTTTTGGTGACATATACTATTATTTTTGCAAAATAGTAGTTACTTTTGTCAATAAGTAGCGTTTGGTAATGACATGGAATAAAAATACTCGCCATATATGTGCAATGCATTTAATATTTGTTGCTATTTAGACAAAACCTTACCTTCTAAGATTGTCTTGTCATGATGGTAGCCATGTTGCTTTTCCAGAGGATGAGGAGGCTAGTGAGAATGACCTCCCTTGTGTCATGAATTTCTATTTTTAGATGCTGTGACGGTAGTGACAGGGTTTCTCAGGACATTAAGTTTTAAATTGTGAAAATGTAAATTCTTTAATCAAATTTGTTTTTCTAAACCTAAAAACCAGTCAGTGCATAAACGGGGTATACAGAAATGTCCATATATCACTTTTTAAATTCTTTAACTTGATATGTTGATTTTATGGACTTGTGAAAATGCTTGAGCTGTGCTTGGGACATGAGAAATTATACATACTTCAATCAATAATTTTCAAAATATATCATTTTAAAACTTATTCTCAATTAACTTTTGTATATACTATACTGAAGGATGTATAAACATCTTTCATTTCAGCAAAAACATAATTTTTTTATAAATTATTAAATTTTTACATAGTGCTTAACACCATGGACTGTGTTTGGGCCTCTATTTGTGGAATGACCCATATATAGTATGACAAGAAATTATTGAGAATTTTAGGAATATGTTTAATTGGATTTCTAGTATAAACAACCTTGACCAGCTATCAAGTGCTTGGTTTCATTCAAGAGAGACAACTCCATTAATCATTTTTCATTAGTTTGTGAAGAGTTATCCCCCTTTGTTAACTTGCTAGCAGCTGACATTTTCAGTGATCCTCAGTATGGATGATTTAGAGAAGAGGAAGTTGATTTTAGAGTATTATAACAAGGACATCAGATCAGCTAAAGTGATTTCAAGTAGAACAGGCATCCCTTTGTCCACTGTTTATCGTGTTTTGAAAAATATTGCAAATGGATATGGCATTGAGCACCAGGTAGGCGCAGGTAGGCCCAGAAAATTGACTGTCGGTGACAGGAGGCGGCTTGGTATTCTTGTTTCTAAAAACAAACGAAGGGGTTTAGAAAACTTAAGGCTGGATATGATTGATAGAGGAACTACGGCTGTCTGTAAGGAGACAATTAGAACTGAGCTGCATGCAATGGGTTGGCAGAAAAGTCGAGGAATTCCATCACCAATCATGAAACCTGAACAAAAGGAGCGAAGGTTGAACTGGTGCTTACAGCATAGAAATTTTAACTGGGACAATGTGATTTTCTCAGATGAAAGTTCTGTGTGGCTGTTTCCTAATACACTGAAATTCTAGACCAAACAAACTGAAAAACCTTTGTATCAGCGCCCAAAGTACAGTCCGAAATTTAACGTGTGGTATGGCATATCTGTGTTAGGGGCAACGCCCCTCTGTGTATTTGAAGGGAATATGAACAGTCAGCGGTACACAGATATTCTCGAGGGACATTTACTTCCATCTGCTCACGTGTTCTATGGAAAATTTTGGATTTTCCAGCAGGACAACGACCCAACACATCGTTCAAAGCATTCACAGGCCTGGTTTTGGACCCAAAATATGACATTATTAGATTGGCCAAGCTATAGCCCTGAACTAAATCCAATAGAAAATGTTTGGGGACTTATGAAGGAAAGTGTCAATAAGAAAAATCTGACAAATATTGCTGAAATGAATGAAGAGGTGGTCCGATATTGGGACAGCATGGACCACGACTTTCTAACTTCTTTGATCAGTAGTATGCCCTGATGCATTGAAGCCTGCATTGCTGCCCATGGTGACTTGACAAAATACTAACTGTTCACCTGTCTTTGAGTCTGGAGTTATGTTCTGCTAATGTTCACTTTTAATACGTGAGTAATGAGTGAAAAAAAAAAAATTACAATCTTAACTTCTCAATAATTTCTGGTTGTACTGTAGCTTACTGCTCCATACAATCTTTAGTCGCTCTCCATATCCCAATCACCATGTCCTCATGTTACAGAAATGATGAGCTGGGTGTACCATATACTGTAGTGCTAAATGATCAAACTCTCGACACTGGAGTCATCACCATACGTCATCGAGACACCATGTTGAAGGTAGGTGGAATCAGTGACCATATGATCTATTATATGGTCTCATGTGGAATGCAGTTCCTGCACTAACCTTTACAAAATATTTTTTTATATTGAAATGGGTTTTTAATCAATCATAGTAATTGAACATTTAAATCTAAAAAAAATGTCACAAACATCATTTAATATGATTGTTCTGAACATACAGACCCAAGGTTACCCAAATTACACATTCATGAAATATGAACTAGTCTACTCAACTTTTGACAGGGATAATCTGATTTGTCCTTCTGTTTAAACATCCACTTGACATGTTATGAGTTCTGAGTATCATGGAATGTTAAAATATCCTTATGAAGCATAGAGTGGTACACTGGAACAAGATGTTGCAGGCTTATCATTGTACCTCATTTATGGAGTTAATAGTACACCACATCCTGTAAATAACTCTGTGTGACAATGAATATCTGAATAGTACCACATGAAATTAGACTCTATTGATCTGGGAGACATGTGGGGCCCACAATTGTCCCACCATGTGTTGCATTCCACGATACAATGGATGCTTGGCTGGCTAACCAAACCTTAAATATGTACACGTCATGAAACAAGGTTTATTGTCAGGGTTAAAAGAGGGAACATCACAAAACAGCTGTTATGTTTATAATTGGTGTTATCTCTTATGGTATAATCTGTGAAGCCCATTTCTGGTGTCCCTTGGCATGATATTGCTATTATATTGCTAAAAGTGGTGTAAAACCAAACTGACTCACTCACTCACTGTATCTCTCTCAAGGTAGTTTCTCTTGTTATTTGAACTGGTGGGACCAGTATAGTTTTAGTTATGTATTTGAAGTCTGCAGGTATTCCAGGTCATATCTGGTTCCTGTCACCTGTACACCTAGTACATGTAGTTGTTTGTTACTGTACCTCAACAGCATGGGACATTGCTCATGTCAGTCAGTGTAGGAAACTTAACAGATAATTCTACCAGACACCATAACTGGTAACTCTGAAAATTTACCAGCCCTTCCCAAAAGTTGACAGACCAACTTCAATTTCACATTTCAGCTCAGCAATAATAAAAAAAAAACCTATTAAGTATCTTTGCTTTCATATATATTGAAATGCCCAACAAAAGAAACAGTGTCATTACAGATGAGATTCTCTTGATCACACGTAAAATTTGAGCCTGGCCGTCGGGCTGGTAAGATTTATTTTTTGCCAGCCCTCCACAGAATTAACGGGCAGTAGTTTCCTACACAGCCCTCCACAGAAAAATGAGCAGGCAGTAGTTTCCTACAGTGATGTCAGTCAGTGGTAAAGCTGGCCCACATTATTTTACTAGTCCATCCACCTTAACAATTTAGCGCTAATTAACTACTGGCATCCCTTGTTTTCTTAACACTGTTGTTGTTTCACATTACATATATAACTATTGTTTCCTAGTCTTTCATTCACCAGATGAAGGAGTAAATATATACACCGAAATGTCAGGTTCCTCAAATAGAGAAGCTGACATCCATAAATGTTCGCCTATATGTGTATCACTTCTAAATGCCATTCAAAGACTGTTTAGGGTCGGCATTATTACTTTGAGCCACTACAGTTATGTTTACAGGCTGGACTGTCACTTCTGGGTCCTTTCAACAGTGAAGCTAGAACATGTGTAGAAGCAGCTAAATGAACTACAAGCCCTCTGAATGAGTAGTCAGGGCCTTGAAATAGGGAATAACTTCAGATTTGTGTGAGTGAGCGGTTTTATCCGGTTTTTAGCAATATCACGGCGGGGACACCTGATATGGGTTTCACACATTTTACCAATGTGAGGAATCGAACCCGGGTCTTCAGAGTGCTATTGACGAGCGAACACTGTAACCACTAGATTGCCCCCGAGTGAGTGAGTTGTTACACTGCTTTTAGCAATATTCCAGCAATATCATGGCAGCCTACAGTGTGACAAACTAGGGATCACTTTGTGTGAAGAATGAATGTCTGATGCCTCAAGATACTGCCTTTGTTTCAGGAGCAAGTTCACATTGCCAAATTTAAGGAGCGCTTGGTTCGCTACACAAGTCCGGTCTGATGACAAGAAGTGTGAAGGGTGACAGTGCATATATATAAAGATCTTTCACCACAAAAGGCTCCTTGTTCAAGAACTTATATTGGATAATCAATATCTTTGTGGTGCTTCAGTTGAACTTGAGTGGTACTTCAGAGTACTTGTTTTGTCTTCTATCCCACTGATTGTAGACATAAGATTAAAGAGTGAATGTGTAATGGGCGAGATATGTACTGAAATACAAATGGATAACAACTGCTTTTGTAAATTACCCCCTACATGTCTGCCATTACACAAATATTTCATCAGTTGAAAAACATCATACAATAAAAATGTGGACTGTTATGTGTATGGAGAAACTATTTATTGAATATAACAAAACACTGTCTGCATAGTGCTATTTATGCAAGGGCTCTTGGTATCTGTAATAATTTCCTGAATTTTCAATAGACATTGATCTCAATTTACAGAGGTCAAAATTAAACAAGACCCCATTGGTAAAGCACATCCATGAATAAAATGAAAAGTGAAAACAATTCAGTTAAGTGTTTGTCTTTATTTATACAATTCATTTGTTGCTTACAGCAAGTTGGTGAAAGGTTTTTGACAAGATGTCGCATATCATATCATTTTAACAACAAAACCAAGAATAACTACTCTATTTGCATGCAACAGTCTACACATGGTTTAATATGGTAGAATACAGCTGTTACGAAGAATCAAATCCAGGCACCATTATGAAATAATGAATAAATAGTCTGTACAAATGAATGAAATGGCAATAACAGGAGACGACGACAGGGGTCCATGGTATCCAGTGGTTAGAGTGCAGATAACTAGAACTTCTGATATGGAGAGTACCTGAATAACCCAAGTCTTGTTGAGTACATCAGCAGTAAACAAAGCAGTGAAAATTATTAGTTTCATGGATGCAGAAAAAGAAACACCACACCTCTTGACCTAACAAGGTTTAAAAAACTAACAGAAGATAATAATAATTGTGAAACATCTTGATGGATTCTGGCTAGGCTGAATACTGTACATGCTGCAGGACCCCTGCCTCGACAGTTAAGACGGATGCTTGTACAGTACAGACTAGTGGTAGCGCTGTTTCTATCATCATTGGGGTACCAGTCATCTACTTGATGCCCCAACATGGATTCCCACTCTTACAAACCATGGAAAACAAATTCAAAAGAATTCACTAGCATTACATAATGACTGGCAGTACGTTAATCATATCAGTGATCGAAAAATCAAGGCCCGTTAATACAGGTTGACATTATCTTAACATATTGCTGAATTTACATACTTATTTTTGCATGATTCCTTAGTCTCTCGTATGGAATCCCAGAAGGGACATTGTCGCATTTACGCCCTTACAAAAACGCAGCAAGCAAACCTAACAGAACCTTATGCAACAAGTCCTGCATGCTTGTAAGAGTGAGATTAGATAACAAGAAACAGTGACTTGATCACCAACATAATATTTTCCACCATCATCATCCCTGGTCCCCTTAGAGACACCAAACACAGACAATATGGCATCAGTAGACATGACATATGTACAAAATGCACCTATTAAGAAAATAGTACTATCTTATATCCCTCATGGAAGTCAGATATGCTTCATACAATCCTACTGCTGGTTGAAGTTTTGATGTTAACATGACTCACAAAACAAGTGTTGAACAACTTTACATTCACACAGACCATTCTAGACTACAGTATGCTGCTCCCTTAAGTCCAGAATTATTTGCTTGTTCACGGAACATCCTCAACTTGAATCACTGGTAGTCAAATACATGCAATTTTGTATTTCTTCATCTGTCAAAATTTGAACATGGGAGTCTGATACAAGGTCTTATCTTGTACCTCTAGTGTGTATACTAGCAAACAATGGAACCAACAAAAGCATATCCTATAAAATAATTGTAACAAAACTAAAACTATTGATAATGATAATATAGAACAATAGAATTGATAGTATCTGTTCACATCACATACCTGAGGGGCACATATCTAACTTGGAAGCAGCAAGATATTTAATCTAGTGGTGAACCAGGCCTAGGTTTCTGTAAGTAGGCTTTTGTAGTTCAGAACAATTCGGACAAAACAAATCAGACATGTGCCCATCACATCAACATACCAATAAGAATTTCAGAACAGAAAGTCCAACGCCCAACTGGCCAGTTAGAAAAAAAGCCCAAAGTCCTTTTATAAAATACTTTTCATTACCTTGCAGGCAAACATACACAACATACATTCTGATGGCTATATTAAAATACCGCAGCATGATCAACTTCATAGCAACTGACCAATCAAGTAAAGCATGCTCCTTTGTTGATACAACGACCAGGGAAGTGTACAGATCTGTCACTTGTCTTGTGATTAGAGACCTTTCATGATTAGTGTTAGTAGGTACATGATCATGTACACAATCGCTGGAGTGTCCTAGTCATGTCAAGACCAAAATCACTGGTTACTTGTAAATACACAAAAACAAAAACTGAGCAGCAAATGTTAAAGCCATTTACAGATATCATTTCACTTCTCTGATAGAATAATTGTTCCAACTACCTTACACAAGAATGCTAACAATCATTATTTATAGTCCTTGTTCATGAAAATATCTTATATAGGATATACTTTGCAGCTATGGTCAATAACTGGAAGCAGGTTGATATCCAATTTCTGTTCTGAACTTCCTGGAGGCTTCTTGAAGCATGCCTTACTTTTTCAGTCCACAAACTTTGACCCTTTTCCAGCCCTCAGTATTCACATGAGGAAAGTTTCTAGACAATATCTATCCTCAAGCTGGTAGGCTTAGTTTCTTCCCCTTCAAAACTGAAACAAAAAGAAATAAAATGAAAATTGCATGATAAAGAACATATATAACAAGTGATTATCATTTGTTGATTACTCAAGCTCAATAGATTTCTGAAAATGCTCCAATATAACTACCGGTAAGCTACTGACATCCGTGTTTCAGAACACAAGTGTACTCCATTCTGATACTTGCACGGTCAAACCATGCTAACTTCCAACAGTATGAAGTTGGTGTAACTTGGCAAAAAAATTATTAGCACTTGTCCTGATACCAACACTGAAAAAACAGACAATTGATAAATTTGACATATACTACACAAATGAAGTTTAAGGACACTGACTAGTAATTGTTTGATAGTACTGGGTACTTTGAGGTGCAGTGAGCTCACTGAGCGCATAGTCACATGCCATTTATACATGTCGAGAAACACACATTATTTTGAACCCTATAATGTCATCATACTTCATTTTCCTAGGTGACAATACCATTTTGTAAACAGAAAACTGTGGCAAATGCACACAAACAGATACACGTATCAACATGTACACATTATTTACATTCCCAAACACATACAAAAGCAACACTAAGTCAGCAATATAAATACATACAATGTCCACAGGGAAAGAACTCCAACCATGGGTGTGGTTACAATGAATGACAGAAACTTATGAAATCATAAGCAAAAGAAAAAAAATGAAATAAAGCAACCCACATGATTGGCATGTAAATATCCAATGCATTGTTTATGTTTGTTTAACATTATGACTACTCGTATGAGCATCTCTCTCTTGGGACACGAAGACATGTGTCAACCAAGTCAGTGATCACCTGATTTCATTAGTCACCTCTTACATATTGTTTATGTAGATCTCAGAATATAAAAATTAAGGAGCAATGTGGAATTCTTTTTGATCGATCATGAAGAAAATTTGGAATAACCACATGGAGATTCATATGCAGTTTGCATCCTAAAAAATGTTGACGCATAAAGCATTTGTCTCTGAATCATGGGTTAGTATACACTACAGCACATTTAGAATGGAAGTCCATCATGCATGTGGGTGGGTAGTTAAGGGGGAAACCATCTGTAGTCCAGGACTGTGTCTTACAGTTAATGACATAAATATGGGAAATATGCAAACTAGAATAACCATGCTTATTATAATTATAAGATCTTTGACAAGGTGGATGCCTTGAATGTAATTCTATAAGCAGCAGGTATGTACAGCACCACTATCCAATTTGTTGTATCATTTCGTGTACAATGATGTATTACAAGGTTAAGATGTGAGTACATTGTGCAAAAAGCTGAGAAGTGTACAGGAATGCTCAGTTATCATGAAAGACATGATTAAAGGATGTTACAAAAATACCATCAAATATTAAGTGTTATATTCACAATGATGTGGGTGGATATGGCAAGGTTTCAATCTAGCTCATTGGTCCATATTATAGAAATTTGAAAGTGGTAACAGGATAAAGACAAATTTGTTATTACAAGTAACAAACATTGTGGAAAAGCTCCCAAACAATTTGCCTCCAGTAAAACTTTGGAGTGCTTTTGGAGAGTAAAAAATAAATAAACGGAAATTATTTCCCATGGAAGTTCCAGGTTCTAAAATGCAGGTGGGAAAACTAGAAGGTTAAACCAATGGAAGAGAGACCCAAAGCCACTTGTCTCCTAGACTCTCAATGATGCTACTCTAGCCATGCAAACCAAGAAGGCAGCAACATGTATCATTCCCACGATTTTCGTACCTCATATCCTTTAATGCTTTGAACTGACCTGAAAATGATTAATTTGAATACTTTCATGTCATCTGTTAGAAGAATTTTGTTTGGGATGGCATCAAAATATATAAACATTCAATTTCCCCTGACCAGTTTTATAATTTTTTCCAAAGAATTGTGATGCGTTTTAATGTAATTAAATGAACAGGTTGATGTACATCTTTCTTTGCCTCTTCAAATATATGTACAGAGATCCCAAATCTTCACAAACATCCAAAATAAAGGCACAAAGGGGAAATGGGCCAAAAATTTGGAAAGTATTTTCCCTTTCTGTTGTGTCATCTTATCAGCAAATGATGCCAAGTAATTTGTCATAGCAGCTTACATACTCAAACAGTTAGATTCCTTGATGGTATATTGATATTAATAACTCAAATCAGCCTTTTTTTCTGAACTAAAGAGGCTGATTTCTGGCAAAGGACAACTTTCCCATGATTTTGGCAAAATCAACATGAAACAACAGAATACCTGTCTTTATCACATCAATCATACACTCATGAAAATGTTATCAATGGGTGTTCTACACGTAAACTGGTTTAGAAGTATCTTCTACATACCATAAACATTTACAGAAACAACCAATAACCATAGGAACAGAATTATAAATTGTACATGCCACAAGATAGATTTGGCAACATGTTGATTTAACATACTTTTCCTCAGCACCGGTCATGAACACATACTGAATGACCCATATTACAGGATACAATACAGTTTACTCAGGATGTGTGAAACATGAATTAAGTACACGCATCAACATGCCTGTTACATATCACAACAATCAGGACATTTATTCCCAATGAGTTTAAACTATCCCCCACAAAACATAACTGCAGAGAAAAAGAAGATAAGGCCTTTTTAAAGAAGATAAAACAATTGGAGTCGGTTTTACAACTTTTTCAACAGTCTAAACTGTCTTAATCTTTCAATACAACACAGAATTCATAATATGTTAGTGTAACAATGCAACAAATTAATGCAGTGCTGTTGACACTGCCAATTCAACACAAAGCCAATGACCATTTGCCAAATCAGTAAAGTGACTAGAACACTAACATCAAGTTCATTTCAGGCACACTGTCATTCATGCTAGGGTAGGATGCCAACTACATGTACTTGCCTAATCATGGGGTTATATTGGAGCACTTTCAGAACAACAGAGCACAGAAGACAGCACCGAACAGTTACTAAACCAAAATAAAAAATATTGCTAAAATACCCACCTTTCGTGATGTACAAGTAGAAGAAATCACAATACAATATTGTCTGTACACATCCAGCGACCACAGCTATCAAGTCAAAGAATCCCTCAAAGTAGTAACGGTACAGCCAGTTGAAGATGTACAGAGCTCTGTAGGATCCCAAGGCAAACAGGTAATGGCTGGTGATGGTCTCGGCCTCACCGGTCTTGCTGACCATGAACAACTGTGGCAGGATGGCCACCGACTCCAGGTAGATGGAGAAGGTCCACAGAATCTGTACAATCAATGACATTATCAAAATTATAGCCAAAAACAACAGATTTGAACATAATAAGCATGTAACTAAGTATACAAGAATAAATAATGAACAATAAATTATACTTGTTCCAAACGTATAAAGCCATTTCAGAAGCTTGACGATGCAACACCACGAAACTATTACCACGTTATGAAAAATCACACTGCTGTGATTCTATGAATTGACATTTCATCTCTCACAAAAAAAGTGTGCTTGCTTGAATAATAATGATTAATAGAATGATATCCCCCCCTAGCTCTTTTCCCTTTAAGAGAACGCAAAAAAGCTGACTACCAAAATCAACAACAAAACCACAAACCTCAAGGGGAGAGAACTCATGATTGACAAGGAAGGCCAAGCCACCGACTGGTACCACCAAAAATTCCATTCTGAATGTATCGTGGTTACTGTCATAAGTGGCCCTGAACTTCATGAACATAAGGTAGACTGTGAAGAATGATGATGAAAGGAAGAAGATTTTCATGGCTGTGTTGTAGATAGAGATGAATGATGTGAACAGATCCAGGTATCGCGAGGTGAAGACCAGGGCGAAAAGAATCTGACTCTTGCCAGAGATACCTGAAAATATATTAATTATCAGTTGGTCAAAATTATTAATGATGGTTAAACTCTTAACCACCGAGCAGGTATTGTGTGTAATTATTTGTCGTAATTATCTTATAAAATTACACACAAACAAAAATAACGCGTTATTTGGATCAACATTATTCATAAAAGGGTTTATGACAACAATCAACACTTCACTAAATATTGTGCTGTCAAAACCTATTACCGTAGATAAGCCAATCTCATAGATAAGCAGACACCCCCCCCCCCCCCAACTTGACCCTTAAAATCAGTATCAAAAAGGCATGTTTCGTACATAAGCCGACACCCCTCACCAATATATCATTTCCAATAAATTCCTATTGTAAAGTTTGCCATCCTTAGAAACCATTTGGCTGAGATACTCTCTGTTGCATGCTAACCTACTGACATAATAGAACAAAACGCACAACATTATATAAGCCATAGGGCAGGTGCTTTGCACTGCTTTCATCACAATCGACTGAAGAAACTTGGTAAAAGTTAAGCATCATTAGCAGGGAGGCTCTGTTCCACATATTTCGTATTGTTGAATAAACAGTTAAATATTTTGAACATACTGACCATTACTGTCACAACATTCCTGGTAATAATAAAAAAGCCTCAACCTGACATGCAGTTAAACCCAACTAATCAAGGATACTTGTCATAAACTCATATTCGTTTCACCATCTAAAGAGTAGTAAATATGGTAAAGCTCAGCCCTCAAAATTCAAATTCTGCATCTAAAGAGACTACTGTCCAAATTAACAACGTTTTAAAGGCTATAATCCCTGCTGTGGAAAAACACATTTTGGAATATTACAGCATTTGCATGATAAGATTAAATGTATCTGTTCTGGTGATATAGGCAACATGCAAAAAAGAATGAAGAAACATTATCAGTTTAATTTGCCTTACAGATTTCATCAATATCTGGCTCATTAAATAATAGGTTGTGGTATAATATGATCATTATTGGAGTGTTGGTAACAAAAGTAATGACACAAACTGCTGTGAATTGTTGATCAAAAGACAATCAACATGGGCAAGGGTTGGAATGTGACTGTTTGTAATTTACATTGGTATTGTTGGTAAACTGATTTAGTTCAAGCATCTTAAGGGAAAAAAAGATAAATGAATATCTTTACACTACATAAATAATCACGAACACCTCAAGCAACACAATCATAAAGTCTTACATTTGGGGCCAAAGAAACCTGTACAGCCCTTTATCTACATGTACCTTGATTATGCTGGTGTGAATAAAACTACCATATATAGCAATGTACATACATTGGGTACTCAATCAAAACAGACCAACAAGTCATATCACTCATAACAATGATATGAAATATACCATAAAGGTACAATTCTAAATGGAGAGGGACTTATATTCAAAATTGATGGATCATGTTGGGGGGAAACTAACTATTTAAGTTGAGGTAAAACAAACATTCTCTCAGGCAAAATGTCATGCCCATACTGTTCATTACTTCATGGCTTCTCAGATGCTAACGCTTCTATTAATTAAACGATCGTGTGTTGTTGTTTTTAAAAAAAATGGTAAATGACGGTGCCACGTCAGTGCCACTTGCCAATGGGCAAAGGGTTGCTACGTGTACACTGGAACTTCTCAGGATTTGACTCGGCCTGGGGGATCAAATTACACTTCGTTAACGAAAGATGTATCCTGCAATTTATTTCACCAAGCACCAACAAATGGAATTGTAAAATTATACTTTACAATAACACAAAAAACATACAATATAACAATATATACTGATGTTTAAAGTTCTCCAGTATCTTATTTACAAACACCTATTGGGACCAAGCAACTTTGGCAGCTAACGTGTCACCGGTGTATTCGCCGGTTGTCCTGTCGCTATTTAAATCACCCAAACCACGTACAAAATAAAAGAATACCTCACCTGCACATGATCTTGTCTTCCACATCTTTAGCAATAACAATATTATTGCTAAAAGATGGGACATGTCACCGCAAAGTCTGAAGATATTCATGTTGGATGCGTCTGCTAGCTCTCACACGTTCCACTATGGCGGCTGCGGACGTGGCTCGAACTGTATTATGGGAAAGGAAGTTATCAAGGGAAATAATTCACAACGAATAATCAAACTGACCTGTAAATAATAAACGTCGTGTCAAAAATTGTTCCACGTTCATGGGAAGGTGGTGCATCATAGACAGTTTAAGGCATTTCGACAAACGTATGCATCGTCCGGATATATATTTTGAAGGGATATAATAATAATGGAGATTTATAGATTGGTTTCCCTACTCTTAGAAGAGTGTGGGGCAATGATGAGTATGCCACTTACAAGTGTACACGTCGGCAATCAGTGATTCGAAAGGAAGTACTCGACAGTTTTAGCTGGGTCTGATTACAATGACATGTGGCAAGTCTTCAAACGATAGGGGTTGTGCCATGTTAACATTAGGTGTGAGATCAAACACACGCACACACACAAGTACGTGATCTCATACTTAATGTTCTCATGTTTAAATGGCACAACAGCTATCGTGTGATGCCATGTGTAAGTACACACACACATACACACAGAAATGTTTGAGTTTATAGTGTGTGTGTGTGCGCGCGCTTCAAGTGATAAGGGTTATGTTGTGCCATAGTGTCTGACTGTCTTAGTGACATTAAATGGCAAAATATCTCTCAACGTCAACATAAACATAGATACGTATTTCATCAAAATATAGTTATTTGGCTCAAAACAGAACAGTATTAAGTGCATACTTATGTATGAACATTCGAATAAAAAGCAAAAGACCAATTCTCACAGAGAATGCCCAATTTGAAAGACACAAATCGTAAAAAAACTAAAGACAATATTTCTGTCACTTGTTGCTATTTTATTGAAGAAAGTGTCATGAACGAAAATCAGTGTAGCACTCAAGGGTAGCTTGTCAAAATTCCACCTCATCTCATTCAATACCACCCTACACGATTGTTGTAATCTACATGACTTCTTTACGATGGCTTCATAACACATTGAAGGGAGATATCGTTCACAAAGTTCAGTCGTTAATCCCAAAGTTGTGTTTCGTTAAGGAAACAACATTACATGTAACATCCTCTCCACTCAGATGAGGTTGTTAGCATTATAACAATAAAGTTGATCAAGTCAAAGCTCTTGAAAATATAACATTATGTTATACTGTTAAATGCAGTTCTTTACGCAAAAGAAGTCGACAAAAAGAATCTCATCTGAGAGGTAATATCATGAACTTCACTGACAATACAACAGCATTTATAAAAGGTAATATTAATGATCAGGTTGTGAATGAATGCCTTTGTAACGTAGATAACAGATTTGCAGAAAAACACCTGTTCACATGAATAACATTCATTCTTTCTTTCTCCCTATTCCCTTGTCCGTAATCCCGCTGGATCTCGGCATGAGCCTTGCCCATTCTGTCAGAATTCAACAATTATATTGTTGTAATCTACGTTACCTTACAAACTAATTCATTGGACGTAATAATCGTCCTCATATAGACTGATTTTACAGCAACTTACCATATATGAAAGTCATTATTGCTACTTGGTTAGCAATAAATAAAATATTCGTAACAGCTACCGGAACATGTGATAGTTATGAAGGTATTACTTCATTCATTGCAATCTACGTTACCATACTTTGAGGAGAGAGTACAAAATTGAGGTGAAAGATATGTTGTAGTTTTTTTAGGAGATCGAAATATCATACGTTTAGGGTCGATATCAATATGTATAAAAAATCTATGTGATGTTAACAGAATCGATACAAGCTTCACGAAATACAACTTTTGTCAATTGGTTTGAAATGATGGCTAACGACACCCAAATATAGTGATCATTTCCAAATGTTTGTACCGACGAACTTCTCAACAGTAGAACAATTGATGTCTTTCAGTGGCATTTAGAAGTTGTACATTGATGTCCAAGATATTTTTATGGATTAAACTTCTTTTTTAATTTCTCTCACAACGTTTCGAGACCATTCCAGGTCCCTTCATCAGGTGAACTGGCAGTTAGGACTATGACGTCGTCACTATTACGTCATAACTGAGTTATGACGTCACAATGCAAGTGACATCACAGTACACTAGGGAGAGGGCTGTGACGTCAGCTGATTGTTGACGTAGGTGTATGATGTCACCACTTTTTTTTTGGAGGGCACAATAGACTGTGACGTTGCAACATTGTTCCCTCACACATTCCTCTTTGGACAATTGTGCCACTGTCGTCAAGGCCGATGTAGGCACTTCTTCTATTTTGTAAGAGATGCTCTCCATTGCTCTAATTCATGAGACCGACTGGGTGTTCTATAGAAACCATTTCATTGCTGATAGGCATGAATTTAGAACAAGCAGCAACCGAACGACAGAGTGTGCTTCAGTAAACTACACAATCTCCTCCACTGTAAATCCAATGCTACAATAAGGAACAACAAATAATCTCCAGGAATGGAAGTCAATCTTCAAGTCATATATCAAAGCGACCATCAGTGCCATCATATATATTTCTGTGTGTGGCGATGAGATCCTTCAAATTTGGTATGATTACTGAGGCTGAACGAAAGGCCTATCTTACCTGTGTCGATGACTCCCTTCTATTACACCCGACCTGTGATTATAACCCCTCCCTAAAGCAGGCCGTCGTCCGGCCGCGTACACTGCTGACACTCAAGTGGGCTGTGACGTCAGCTGATTGTTGACATAGTTTGTCTATGATGTCACAACTCTCGGGGACACAATAAGCTGTGACGTTCCACCATTGTTCCCTCACACATTCCTCTTTGGACAATCGAAAAAATGTCGTCAAGGCCGATGTAGGCACTTCTTCTATTTTGTAAGAGATGCTCTCCATTGCTCTAATTCATGAGACCGACTGGGTGTTCTATAGAAACCATTTCATTGCTGATAGGCATGAATTTAGAACAAGCAGCAACCGAACGCTAGAGTGTGCTTCAGTAAACTACACAATCTCCTCCACTGTAAATCCAATGCTACAATAAAGAACAACAAATAATCTCCAGGAATGGAAGTCAATCTTCAAGTCATATATCAAAGCGACCATCAGTGCCATCATATATATTTCTGTGTGTGGTGATGAGATCCTTCAAATTTGGTATTTTTACTGAGGCTGAACAAAAGGCCTATCTTACCTGTGTCAATGACTCCCTTCTAGTACACCCGACCTGTGATTATAACCCCTCCCTAAAGCAGGCCCTTGTCCGGCCGCGTACACTGCTGATACTCAAGTGGGCTGTGACGTCAGCTGATTGTTGACGTAGTTTGTCTATGATGTCACCACTTTGGAGGGCACAATAGGCTGTGACGTTCCACCATTGTTCCCTCACACATTCCTCTTTGGACAATCGAAAAAAATGTCGTCAAGGCCGATGTAGGCACTTCTTCTATTTTGTAAGAGATGCTCTCCATTGCTCTAATTCATGAGACCGACTGGGTGTTCTATAGAAACCATTTCATTGCTGATAGGCATGAATTTAGAACAAGCAGCAACCGAACGCTAGAGTGTGCTTCAGTAAACTACACAATCTCCTCCACTGTAAATCCAATGCTACATTACGGAACAACAAATAATCTCCAGGAATGGAAGTCAATCTTCAAGTCATATATCAAAGCGACCATCAGTGCCATCATATATATTTCTGTGTGGTGATGAGATCCTTCAAATTTGGTATTTTTACTGAGGCTGAATGAAAAAGGCCTATCTTACCTGTGTCAATGACTCCCTTCTAGTACATCCGACCTGTGATTATAACCCCTCCCTAAAGCAGGCCCTTGTCCGGCCGCGTACACTGCTGATACTCAAGTGGGCTGTGACGTCAGCTGATTGTTGACGTAGTTTGTCTATGATGTCACCACTTTGGAGGGCACAATAGGCTGTGACGTTCCACCATTGTTCCCTCACACATTCCTCTTTGGACAATCGAAAAAATGTCGTCAAGGCCGATGTAGGCACTTCTTCTATTTTGTAAGAGATGCTCTCCATTGCTCTAATTCATGAGACCGACTGGGGTTTCTATAGAAACCATTCCATTGCTGATAGGCATGAATTTAGAAAAAGCAGCAACCGAACGCTAGAGTGTGCTTCAGTAAACTACACAATCTCCTCCACTGTAAATCCAATGCTACATTACGGAACAACAAATAATCTCCAGGAATGGAAGTCAATCTTCAAGTCATATATCAAAGCGACCATCAGTGCCATCATATATATTTCTGTGTGTGGTGATGAGATCCTTCAAATTTGGTATTTTTACTGAGGCTGAACAAAAGGCCTATCTTACCTGTGTCAATGACTCCCTTCTAGTACATCCGACCTGTGATTATAACCCCTCCCTAAAGCAGGCCCTTGTCCGGCCGCGTACACTGCTGATACTCAAGTGGGCTGTGACGTCAGCTGATTGTTGACGTAGTTTGTCTATGATGTCACCACTTTGGAGGGCACAATAGGCTGTGACGTTCCACCATTGTTCCCTCACACATTCCTCTTTGGACAATCGAAAAAATGTCGTCAAGGCCGATGTAGGCACTTCTTCTATTTTGTAAGAGATGCTCTCCATTGCTCTAATTCATGAGACCGACTGGGGTTTCTATAGAAACCATTCCATTGCTGATAGGCATGAATTTAGAAAAAGCAGCAACCGAACGCTAGAGTGTGCTTCAGTAAACTACACAATCTCCTCCACTGTAAATCCAATGCTACATTACGGAACAACAAATAATCTCCAGGAATGGAAGTCAATCTTCAAGTCATATATCAAAGCGACCATCAGTGCCATCATATATATTTCTGTGTGTGGTGATGAGATCCTTCAAATTTGGTATTTTTACTGAGGCTGAACAAAAGGCCTATCTTACCTGTGTCGATGACTCCTTCTACTACATCCGACCTGTGATTATAACCCCTCCCTAAAGGAGCCCGTCGTCCGGCCGCGTACACTGCTGACACTCAAGTGGGCTGTGACGTCAGCTGATTGTTGACGTAGTTTGTCTATGATGTCACCACTTTGGAGGGCACAATAGGCTGTGACGTTCCACCATTGTTCCCTCACACATTCCTCTTTGGACAATCGAAAAATGTCGTCAAGGCCGATGTAGGCACTTCTTCTATTTTGTAAGAGATGCTCTCCATTGCTCTAATTCATGAGACCGACTGGGTGTTCTATAGAAACCATTTCATTGCTGATAGGCATGAATTTAGAACAAGCAGCAACCGAACGCTAGAGTGTGCTTCAGTAAACTACACAATCTCCTCCACTGTAAATCCAATGCTACAATAAGGAACAACAAATAATCTCCAGGAATGGAAGTCAATCTTCAAGTCATATATCAAAGCGACCATCAGTACCATCACACATCTTCCTCTGTGTAGCGATCGTATCTTACCCCTTTGGTACGATTACTGAGTCTGAATGAAATAAGACCTGTACTACCTGTGCCGAATACTCGCTTCTACAACACCCGACCTGTGATTATAACCCCTCCCTAAAGCAGGCCCGTCGTCCGGCCGCGTACACTGCTGACACTCAAGTGGGCTGTGACGTCAGCTGATTGTTGACGTAGTTTGTCTATGATGTCACCGCTTTGGAGGGCACAATAGGCTGTGACGTTCCACCATTGTTCCCTCACACATTCCTCTTTGGACAATCGAAAAAATGTCGTCAAGGCCGATGTAGGCACTTCTTCTATTTTGTAAGAGATGCTCTCCATTGCTCTAATTCATGAGACCGACTGGGTGTTCTATAGAAACCATTTCATTTCTTATAGGCATGAATTTAGAACAAGCAGCAACCGAACGCTAGAGTGTGCTTCAGTAAACTACACAATCTCCTCCACTGTAAATCCAATGCTACAATAAAGAACAACAAATAATCTCCAGGAATGGAAGTCAATCTTCAAGTCATATATCAAAGCGACCATCAGTGCCATCATATATATTTCTGTGTGTGGCGATGAGATCCTTCAAATTTGGTATGATTACTGAGGCTGAACAAAAGGCCTATCTTACCTGTGTCGATGACTCCCTTCTATTACACCCGACCTGTGATTATAACCCCTCCCTAAAGCAGGCCCGTTGTCCGGCCGCGTACACTGCTGACACTCAAGTGGGCTGTGACGTCAGCTGATTGTTGACGTAGTTTGTCTATGATGTCGATTTCTAGAGCTATATATTATAATACCAACCGACAGTTGATTATTGTGTAAGATTTTGTATTCAAGTTCAAACAGTTTTAATCAAATCATATACCCAAAAATATAACCATGTTTTTGAGTGCCGAATAAGCGCTAGTACAGTTCATCATTTCGGTATGGTTCTCATACGACTGTTGTAGCACATACGTCAATGGATTTTGTTAAAAAAATGGGAGTATGTGCGCGATTCGGTTTCAATCATTTGTGTATGTATAAAATGTTACAACTCGTTCATATATCACGAGACAGAGTTTCTGTTTCGCCATTGTAGATGACGGATATATATTCTTATCATCCAAATCTGTGTTCCACAGGAGATATCGCTTGTGTGAGATCAAACGATATCTCCTAGGAGATATCGTTTTGACAGTAGATTTTGTACAATGCCCTGACAATGCTATGACGTCATGTACTTGATGACGTCACAATGCTATGACATCGCTGCACTGCAAGTCTAATGGCAGTACTGTGTTCAGATATGTACATTTTACATTGAAAATTAATGAAGAGGGATTTTGGATGATAAATAGAATCTCACCCTCGTATCTTCTGATATCAAATATATCAACACTCGTTGATAAAAGTTAAAATATCCTCGGCAAGCCTTGGATATTTGTAACTTTATCAACTCGTGTTGATATAATTGATATCAGAAGACACTTGGGTGAGATTCTCTATTTGCAAAATCTTTAGGGGGGTGGGGTGACGCATCCTAACAATTTAAAACCCTTTCGTGCGCCATGTCAGTTTAAAATAAACGTTATGGCGTATAATAATCAGACATTACAGCATGACCCTAAAGATAAGAATAAATATGTTCACTCATAATATTTCACTAATTACAGTGTCTTGACCAAAACTAGAAACTGGGATCAGGTGGAGATACCGCAGCTGTTTAAATGAATCACGGACCAAGATATAGTCCGGTTATTATTTAATTTGTTGTGGCCTCGCTTTCATGTGACCTGAAATAACAAGAACGTCTTGTTACTTTGTCATGTTCCCCAACAACAGGGAGAACTGACGGGATAGATCCACGTACACAAAGATGACACATTTTGGAATCTGAGCTCAACCATGCGTGTATGTGTGTGTTCATGTCTATTTTTAGCCACATACTTATCGTCTTACGCATGCGCGAATAATGTAAACACCAACATGGCGGCTGCCGAGGACGGAGCCTACTATGGAACATGGAGGGTATTAATTCTTAATTACATGTTCACCGTTAGTTGTGATTTCATGAGGTATGTGATTCTTTTACTGAATAGTATGTTTCATCTATTTGTTTTATTTTTCAGATTGTGGAATGCGTGTCTTTAACGGGAACAGTGGAAACCACAGGAATCGAAGGGTGGGTTTTGTTCTTCATTCAATCTCATGTCTGATTGATATAATTTCTGGGGAGTTTGACAGTTTCCAATATTTTCCGTGTCTGTCTTTCGAAATCACATAATTTGACGAAAAGGGTTGGCCAAGCACCACGATGCACTTTCAAATATATTTATTTTTGATAAAGGTGAGGGTCTTAACTTGGCCTAGACTAGTGCACGAGTTCATTTCCTTGTTTCGTAGTCCAGTAGGTATGTTAACATTTACGTAGGCGATACAGGTAGACAGCTGAATATTTCATTTGTGAAGTTGGCTGTTTCTTGATTTGTTCGTCGCAGGGCATGAGATTCTTTCCTGATCCGATTATAAATTAAAATATGATTCACTCATGGCCCTTGGTGTCTGATGTGACCCGTGAAGATCCGGGGTAGAATACGTCTTCAGCAACCCATGTGCTTGCCATAAAAAGGCGACTATCTTGTCGTAAGAGGCGACTAACGGGATCGGGTGGTCAGACTCGCTGACTTGGTTGACACATGTCATCGGTTCCCAATTGCGCAGATCGATGCTCATGCTGTTGATCACTGGATTGTCTGGTCCAGACTCGATTATTTACAGACCGCCGCCATATAGCTGGAATATTGCTGAGTGCGGCGTAAAACTAAACTCACTCACTCACTCACTGATGTGGTGTCTGAAGACTGGATACAGTCTAGTTTTATTTGAGACATTATCTTGTGGCATTACAGGACAGAATTCCAGCTGGATGAAAGTGGGGATGTTTCGTGGAAGGTGTCTGAGGATGCAGAACCCATGCCTTTCTTTAACTGTGAAACATATGAGGTATAGTAGCCCAAGTGAATACATGTCTGGTATTTTGAATATTATGAGCATTATAAACCATTATACTAATTGTTATACGATATGATAACTTTACAATTATAACATAGAGATGAATGTCTAGTTCAAGAATTGTTCTATAAGTACATGTAATACCATGATATCCATGCTGGCTGTTTAACACTGAATCTTTTCCAAGTATGATCACAATCATGCACTTACACGGGGCAATTAACACCAAGCAAAGCTGCTAATGTAGCTGGACTCAACAGACAAAAGATGATAAGTGACATGTCAGCTGGCAATGACAGAATTAGCAAGGTGATAGAGTATGACTGAGGCCGTTCTTCTGTGCCGCAGTGTGTGAAAGAATATGCTTTTTACAGTAATTCTTCTTTGTCTTCACTCAGCATGCCATGGTGCAAATTCCTTGCATCAACCAACTTTATTTCTGTATATTCATGTACTGATAAGCAGAGTAAATATTTTTAAACCCAAACTGGCATCTAGATGTTGTGCAAAGTAGCCAATGTTATAAGAGACAAATAGAATGATTTGGGTGGTCTGATGTACAATGAGGAGGTTCATTGTAAATGACCTGGGTCATGGCATTCTACTTATGAAACCAATGGTTATTTGAGTCAACATTGTTGATTAGTGAATACCACAGAATTGCTTGTAATGTATTCATTTTGATGTAAACATTTGATATCTTCATGGAATATTTCATGTCTAACTCTTCATGTCATGTCCTAACATCCGTCTAAACTGAGAATTGTGTTGTTCAGCATGATATCATGTATGTCATGTCCTAACATCTGTCTAAACTGAGAAATGTGATGTTCAGCATGATATCATGTATGTCATGTCCTAATATCTGTTTAAACTGAGAAATGTGATGTTCAGCATGATATCATGTATGTCATGTCCTAACATCCGTTTAAACTGAGAAATGTGATGTTCAGCATGATATCATGTATGTCATGTCCTAACATCCGTCTAAACTGAGAAATGTGATGTTCAGCATGATATCATGTATGTCATGTCCTAACATCCGTCTAAACTGAGAAATGTGATGTTCAGCATCATATCATGTATGTCATGTCCTAACATCCGTCTAAACTGAGAAATGTGATGTTCAGCATGATATCATGTATGTCATGTCCTAACATCCGTCTAAATCCTGAGAAATGTGATGTTCAGCATGATATCATTTATGTCATGTCCTAACATCCGCCTAAACTGAGAAATGTGATGTTCAGCATGATATCATGTATGTCATGTCCTAACATCCGCCTAAACTGAGAAATGTGATGTTCAGCATGATATCATTTATGTCATGTCCTAACATCTGTTTAAACTGGAGAGAAATGTGATGTTCAGCATGAAATCATGTATGTCATGTCCTAACATCCGCCTAAACTGAGAAATGTGATGTTCAGCATGAAATCATGTATGTCATGTCCTAACATCCGTCTAAACTGAGAAATGTGATGTTCAGCATGATATCATGTATGTCATGTCCTAACATCTGTCTAAACTGAGAAATGTGATGTTCAGCATGATATCATGTATGTCATGTCCTAACATCCGCCTAAACTGAGAAATGTGATGTTCAGCATGAAATCATGTATGTCATGTCCTAACATCCGTCTAAACTGAGAAATGTGATGTTCAGCATGAAATCATGTATGTCATGTCCTAACATCCGTCTAAACTGAGAAATGTGATGTTCAGCATGATATCATGTATGTCATGTCCTAACATCTGTCTAAACTGAGAAATGTGATGTTCAGCATGATATCATGTATGTCATGTCCTAACATCCGTCTAAACTGAGAAATGTGATGTTCAGCATGAAATCATGTATGTCATGTCCTAACATCCGTCTAAACTGAGAAATGTGATGTTCAGCATGAAATCATGTATGTCATGTCCTAACATCCGTCTAAACTGAGAAATGTGATGTTCAGCATGATATCATGTATGTCATGTCCTAACATCCGTCTAAACTGAGAAATGTGATGTTCAGCATGATATCATGTATGTCATGTCCTAACATCCGTCTAAACTGAGAAATGTGATGTTCAGCATGATATCATGTATGTCATGTCCTAACATCCGTCTAAACTGAGAAATGTGATGTTCAGCATGATATCATGTATGTCATGTCCTAACATCCGTCTAAACTGAGAAATGTGATGTTCAGCATGATATCATTTATGTCATGTCCTAACATCTGTTTAAACTGAGAAATGTGATGTTCAGCATGAAATCATGTATGTCATGTCCTAACATCCGTCTAAACTGAGAAATGTGATGTTCAGCATGAAATCATGTATGTCATGTCCTAACATCCGTCTAAACTGAGAAATGTGATGTTCAGCATGATATCATGTATGTCATGTCCTAACATCCGCCTAAACTGAGAAATGTGATGTTCAGCATGATATCATGTATGTCATGTCCTAACATCCGCCTAAACTGAGAAATGTGATGTTCAGCATCATATCATGTATGTCATGTCCTAACATCCGCCTAAACTGAGAAATGTGATGTTCAGCATGATATCATGTATGTCATGTCCTAACATCCGCCTAAACTGAGAAATGTGATGTTCAGCATGATATCATTTATGTCATGTCCTAACATCCGTCTAAACTGAGAAATGTGATGTTCAGCATGAAATCATGTATGTCATGTCCTAACATCCGTCTAAACTGAGAAATGTGATGTTCAGCATGATATCATGTATGTCATGTCCTAACATCCGTCTAAACTGAGAAATGTGATGTTCAGCATGACATCATGTATGTCATGTCCTAACATCCGTCTAAACTGAGAAATGTGATGTTCAGCATGATATCATTTATGTCATGTCCTAACATCTGTTTAAACTGAGAAATGTGATGTTCAGCATGAAATCATGTATGTCATGTCCTAACATCCGTCTAAACTGAGAAATGTGATGTTCAGCATGAAATCATGTATGTCATGTCCTAACATCCGTCTAAACTGAGAAATGTGATGTTCAGCATGATATCATGTATGTCATGTCCTAACATCCGTCTAAACTGAGAAATGTGATGTTCAGCATGATATCATGTATGTCATGTCCTAACATCCGTCTAAACTGAGAAATGTGATGTTCAGCATGATATCATGTATGTCATGTCCTAACATCCGTCTAAACTGAGAAATGTGATGTTCAGCATGATATCATTTATGTCATGTCCTAACATCTGTTTAAACTGAGAAATGTGATGTTCAGCATGAAATCATGTATGTCATGTCCTAACATCCGTCTAAACTGAGAAATGTGATGTTCAGCATGAAATCATGTATGTCATGTCCTAACATCCGTCTAAACTGAGAAATGTGATGTTCAGCATGATATCATGTATGTCATGTGTCCTAACATCCGCCTAAACTGAGAAATGTGATGTTCAGCATGATATCATGTATGTCATGTCCTAACATCCGCCTAAACTGAGAAATGTGATGTTCAGCATCATATCATGTATGTCATGTCCTAACATCCGCCTAAACCGAGAAATGTGATGTTCAGCATGATATCATGTATGTCATGTCCTAACATCCGCCTAAACTGAGAAATGTGATGTTCAGCATGATATCATTTATGTCATGTCCTAACATCCGCCTAAACTGAGAAATGTGATGTTCAGCATGAAATCATGTATGTCATGTCCTAACATCCGCCTAAACTGAGAAATGTGATGTTCAGCATGATATCATGTATGTCATGTCCTAACATCCGCCTAAACTGAGAAATGTGATGTTCAGCATGACATCATGTATGTCATGTCCTAACATCCGTCTAAACTGAGAAATGTGATGTTCAGCATGATATCATTTATGTCATGTCCTAACATCTGTTTAAACTGAGAAATGTGATGTTCAGCATGAAATCATGTATGTCATGTCCTAACATCCGTCTAAACTGAGAAATGTGATGTTCAGCATGATATCATGTATGTCATGTCCTAACATCCGTCTAAACTGAGAAATGTGATGTTCAGCATGATATCATTTATGTCATGTCCTAACATCCGCCTAAACTGAGAAATGTGATGTTCAGCATGATATCATGTATGTCATGTCCTAACATCCGTCTAAACTGAGAAATGTGATGTTCAGCATGATATCATGTATGTCATGTCCTAACATCCGTCTAAACTGAGAAATGTGATGTTCAGCATGATATCATGTATGTCATGTCCTAACATCCGTCTAAACTGAGAAATGTGATGTTCAGCATGATATCATTTATGTCATGTCCTAACATCCGCTTAAACTGAGAAATGTGATGTTCAGCATGATATCATGTATGTCATGTCCTAACATCCGCCTAAACTGAGAAATGTGATGTTCAGCATGATATCATGTATGTCATGTCCTAACATCCGCCTAAACTGAGAAATGTGATGTTCAGCATGATATCATGTATGTCATGTCCTAACATCCGTCTTAACTGAGAAATGTGATGTTCAGCATGATATCATGTATGTCATGTCCTAACATCCGCCTAAACTGAGAAATGTGATGTTCAGCATGATATCATGTATGTCATGTCCTAACATCCGTCTAAATCCGAGAAATGTGATGTTCAGCATGATATCATGTATGTCATGTCCCTAACATCCGTCTAAACTGAGAAATGTGATGTTCAGCATGATATCATGTATGTCATGTCCTAACATCCGCCTAAACTGAGAAATGTGATGTTCAGCATGATATCATGTATGTCATGTCCTAACATCCGCCTAAACTGAGAAATGTGATGTTCAGCATGATATCATGTATGTCATGTCCTAACATCCGCCTAAACTGAGAAATGTGATGTTCAGCATGATATCATTTATGTCATGTCCTAACATCCGCCTAAACTGAGAAATGTGATGTTCAGCATGATATCATGTATGTCATGTCCTAACATCCGCCTAAACTGAGAAATGTGATGTTCAGCATGATATCATGTATGTCATGTCCTAACATCCGCCTAAACTGAGAAATGTGATGTTCAGCATGATATCATTTATGTCATGTCCTAACATCCGTTTAAACTGAGAAATGTGATGTTCAGCATGATATCATGTATGTCATGTCCTAACATCCGTCTAAACTGAGAAATGTGATGTTCAGCATGATATCATGTATGTCATGTCCTAACATCCGTCTAAACTGAGAAATGTGATGTTCAGCATGATATCATGTATGTCATGTCCTAACATCCGTCTAAACTGAGAAATGTGATGTTCAGCATGATATCATTTATGTCATGTCCTAACATCCGTTTAAACTGAGAAATGTGATGTTCAGCATGATATCATGTATGTCATGTCCTAACATCCGTCTAAACTGAGAAATGTGATGTTCAGCATGATATCATGTATGTCATGTCCTAACATCCGTCTAAACTGAGAAATGTGATGTTCAGCATGATATCATGTATGTCATGTCCTAACATCCGTCTAAACTGAGAAATGTGATGTTCAGCATGATATCATGTATGTCATGTCCTAACATCCGTCTAAACTGAGAAATGTGATGTTCAGCATGATATCATGTATGTCATGTCCTAACATCCGTCTAAACTGAGAAATGTGATGTTCAGCATGATATCATTTATGTCATGTCCTAACATCCGCCTAAACTGAGAAATGTGATGTTCAGCATGATATCATTTATGTCATGTCCCTAACATCCGTCTAAACTGAGAAATGTGATGTTCAGCATGATATCATTTATGTCATGTCCTAACATCCGTCTAAACTGAGAAATGTGATGTTCAGCATGATATCATGTATGTCATGTCCTAACATCCGTCTAAACTGAGAAATGTGATGTTCAGCATGATATCATTTATGTCATGTCCTAACATCCGTTTAAACTGAGAAATGTGATGTTCAGCATGATATCATGTATGTCATGTCCTAACATCCGTCTAAACTGAGAAATGTGATGTTCAGCATGATATCATTTATGTCATGTCCTAACATCCGTCTAAACTGAGAAATGTGATGTTCAGCATGATATCATTTATGTCATGTCCTAACATCCGTTTAAACTGAGAAATGTGATGTTCAGCATGATATCATTTATGTCATGTCCTAACATCCGTCTAAACTGAGAAATGTGATGTTCAGCATGATATCATGTATGTCATGTCCTAACATCTGTCTAAACTGAGAAATGTGATGTTCAGCATGATATCATGTATGTCATGTCCTAACATCTGTCTAAACTGAGAAATGTGATGTTCAGCATGATATCATGTATGTCATGTCCTAACATCCGTCTAAACTGAGAAATGTGATGTTCAGCATGAAATCATGTATGTCATGTCCTAACATCCGTTTAAACTGAGAAATGTGATGTTCAGCATGATATCATGTATGTCATGTCCTAACATCCGTCTAAACTGAGAAATGTGATGTTCAGCATGATATCATGTATGTCATGTCCTAACATCCGTCTAAACTGAGAAATGTGATGTTCAGCATGATATCATTTATGTCATGTCCTAACATCCGTTTAAACTGAGAAATGTCATGTTCAGCATGATATCATGTATGTCATGTCCTAACATCCGTCTAAACTGAGAAATGTGATGTTCAGCATGAAATCATGTATGTCACAAGATGTGTTTTCATTGTGTATCCATCAGATTTGAAAGAAAACCATTCTGTCCTTTCTGCTAATCTGGTGGTAAGGTTAGTAGCTTTGAATCTAATGAATGTTCATTGACCATGCCATTGCATTCATGGACAAATACGACAAGTAGCATTATTGGTTTCCCAGTAATGTACAGGGAATGCAAGCCTGTGTCTGTGTTCTCAGGGTTTTGCTAGAAATGCAAGGCTGTGTCTGTAATACCATTGTTTGTAATGGAATGCAAGGTTTCTGTGTTCCGGTTCTTGTAATAGAACTTCAAGGCTATGTGGTCCTTGTTCTAGGTGACTCCTGGGGCAGGTACTGATCCTGCTGTGCTCAAGTTCATATGGACGTTTGAAGGACATGTCATTGAGTTCAGGGTATGTGCACATTGTTAGCCATGTTTCACTGGTCAATTCTGATGTTATTGTTGTATTCTTAATCATGTGTGAACTCAGTTCAATTTCTAGACAAATTGTTCAAATTGATAATTCATAGCTTGAAAACTGATGTTATCTGGAAACATAATCTTTAACGTTTGTTTGTCCTGTTCATATCAGCACATGTGTACATTAACTCAACACACTTCGTCAGTTCTCAACTGATGACAGGCCAAGAATTAGCCCTGAAACATTGTTACACAAAAGAACAATCAGATATGTTAAAGAACATGACAACAACAGATAGTGATAAAGAACATGGCAGGAACAGATAGTGATAAAGAACATGACAGTATCAAAAAGGGATAAAGAACATGCCAGCAACAGGTATTGATAAGGAACATGACAGCAACAAAAATGATAAAGAACATGCCAGCAACAGGTATTGATAAAGAACATGACAACAACAGAAAGTGATAAAGAACATGCCAGCAACAGATAGTGATAAAGAACATGACAGCAACATATAGTGATAAAGAACATGACAGCAACAGATAGTGATAAAGAACATGACAGCAACAGAAAGTGATAAAGAGCATGACAGCAACATATAGTGATAAAGAACATGCCAGCAACAGAAAGAGATAAAGAACATGACAGCAACAGAAAGTGATAGAGAACATGACAGTAACAGAAAGTGATAAAGAACATGACAGCAACAGAAAGTGATAAAGAACATGACAGCAACATATAGTGATTAAGAACATGACAGCAACAGAAAGTGATAAAGAACATGCCTGCAACATATAGTGATAAAGAACATGACAGCAACAGATAGTGATAAAGAACATGACAGCAACATATAGTGATAAAGAACATGACAGCAACATATAGTGATTAAGAACATGACAGCAACAGAAAGTGATAGAGAACATGACAGTAACAGAAAGTGATAAAGAACATGACAGCAACAGATAGTGATAAAGAACATGCCAGCAACAAAAAAGAGATAAAGAACATGACAGCAACAGAAAGTGATAAAGAACATGACAGCAACAGAAAGTGATAAAGAACATGCCTGCAACAGATAGTGATAAAGAACATGACAGCAACATATAGTGATAAAGAACATGACAGCAACATATAGTGATTAAGAACATGACAGCAACAGAAAGTGATAAAGAACATGCCTGCAACAGATAGTGATAAAGAACATGCCAGCAACATATAGTGATAAAGAACATGCCAGCAACAGAAAGTGATAAAGAGCAAGGCAGCAACAGATATTGATAAAGAACATGACAGTAACAGAAAGTGATAAAGAACATGACAGCAATATATAGTGATAAAGAGCATGACAGCAACATATAGTGATAAAGAACATGACAGCAACAGATATTGATAAAGAACATGACAGTAACAGAAAGTGATAAAGAGCATGACAGCAACAGATATTGATAAAGAACATGACAGTAACAGAAAGTGATAAAGAACATGACAGCAATATAAAGTGATAAAGAGCATGACAGCAACATATAGTGATAAAGAACATGACAGCAACAGATATTGATAAAGAACATGACAGTAACAGAAAGTGATAAAGAGCATGACAGCAACAGATATTGATAAAGAACATGACAGCAACAGATAGTGATAAAGAACATGCCAGCAACAGAAAGTGATAAGGAACATGCCAGCAACAGAAAGTGATAAAGAACATGACAACAACAGATAGTGATGATGAATTTTGTGTAACTGCATATATATATATGACTATCACTTGATGTGACTTGTCTAGATGAGAGGATGAAGTAGTTTTTGTTGTGATGCCAGGTGGAGGTGGCTGATGACTTGATGCTGTTGACATATGAGAGGTGTTGTATGCTGCAGTGCCAGAAGGTGAGGTTTGGGTTCACTAAACTACCACCCGTGAAGATCCGGGTTAGAATTGATCTCCAGTAACCCATGCTTATTGTAAGAGGCTACTAACGGGATCTAGTGGTCAGGTTCGCTATCTTGGTTGATACATGTCATCGGTTCCCAATTGCGTAAATTGGTGCTCATGCTGTTGATCACTGGATTGTCTGTTCCAGACTCGATTGTTTACAGACTGCCACCATATGGCTGGAATATTACCGAGTGCGTGTAAAACTAAACTCACTCACTAACTAAATTACCTATTTTTACACAATCCGTAACTCCCAGCAGAATGTTTACATAATTTCAGCAACTCTGTTTGTGTGGTTAAATATATTACCTAAAGACTATATGGATTTAATTTATGATGCTCTATTATTTATGCCATGACTTACTGAAATATCTAGTTTGATAGAGAACCACGGAGTCCCTAGCTACATGACCGCCTCCGTGGTGTAGTGGTTAGAGCGTCCGCCCGGAGAGCGGAAGGTCGCGGATTCAATCCCCGACCGCGTCATATCAAAAGATGTTAAAATGTGGTACTTGTTGGTCCCTGCCTGGCGTTCGGCATTAATGGGTACAACAAGGACTGGTCAGTATAATGTGTCTGAGTGGGGTATTCATGCTTCACTGCAGCATGGTATCTCAGTGGGCTAGCACTATAAAACCAGCTTCAGTCTGGGCTAGTACAAGCAGCCGCACATACACATTCACACGCGTCATATGAGCGAAATATTCTCAAGCACGACGTTAAACCCCTTTTAACCTCACCACCTCACCCCTAGCTACATGGGTATGTAGGGAGATTTAAAACTGTGGGTAAATCACAATAAAGGTCTTTAAGAAATAAAATCTGGATTCTTTTGTATATGTCACAAATCGAAATGAAATTCCATCATGTCGTCAGTGTTACAGATGCAGGAGAAACTCATTTCCTGAGACTATGATAAATGTAGAAGTTATTTATATTTTATTATTTCATGTATCATCCAAATTTGGCTATATTCGGCAATATGTGTACTGGTTGAACTACTTGTCAATCAGTCAAGGATCCGTACATCTGTAACCATGTGTACAATGTGGTGGTGACTGTTGTTTCTCATTTCAGGTGTCATCCAATGACCCTAAAGATGATGTGCCGTTCTCATTCCTCAGTGCAATGGAGGAAGGTTACTTCTCAGAACTCAGCATAAGAGCTGATTCTGGAAGAGAGGTGTGTCTAGGCTCCAGTTCAAACTATATACTTACACAGTTTGGTTGCGTATGTATATTAAAAAAGTGGAGATATCAAACAAATTTTTTGATGATGCATCCTGGTGTGCACAAATGATGTGCCGTTGAAATTCTTCCCTCTTGTCTTAGGGGAGACCCATGAAGATCCAGGTTAGAATTGGTCTTCAGCGAACCATGCTTGTCGTAAGAGGTGACTAACTGGATCTGGTGGTCAGACTCGCTGACTTGGTTGACACATGTCATCGTATCTCAACTGCATAGATCGATGCTCATACTGTTGACCACTGGATTATGTGGTCCAGAATCGATTATTTACGGACCGCTGACGTATAGCTGGAATATTGCTGAGTGGGGCGTTAAACAACAACCAGCCAGACAACCCTCTCTTTGGTTGTTCTGATTCTGAATGAGACTGTATTTACTTTGTAGACATATTGATCACCCATGGAACATTACAACTTATCTCTTTGTGAATAGTGTTAAGACAATAATGACACTGGTCATGCTTGGTGTCAATAAATCAGCATTACTCCTGGTTTCTTCCCTTGAAGTGTTGATCATTTATTATACAGTTGCTGGTTTAAATGCTGTTATAATATCATAATGTAATTATTACTAATATTAAATCTCAACACATAATACAAGCATCACTGAGAAAGACTTTGTTACATTGTTACATATATTTTACATCTGTAGAGAGTGTATTGTTTTTTTGAAGATTACTGAATGCATACATATAAACAATTCCTGTTGAAAAATTTCATATATGGAATATAATTATTTGTCAAAACAAAGGTGCCTTCAGTTCTGTGTGAGCATTGTTGAACAGGCTGATAGATAGTGTTTGTCCCATCAGTTCAAGGTCCACCAGGTCTTGCTGCAACTGAGTGCCCCCGAGATGGACTGGCTGCGGTCCCCTCCCCCACTGACTGGACTGCGGGAGGACGTCCTCCAGGCCACCCTACACTACCTGTACTCGGAGTGTCTACCCAGGGGGCTGTCCGAGGACACGGCCAAGGCCTGCATCAAATCTGTTGGAAAACTGCCGGGCTTCTCCAGATTCTCAGATCTCTGTGATACGTTTCTAAAAAATACAGCACTTAAAGAACGTAAGTATGGGTGGTCTCCCTTGACTTGATGTAATTACGTCAGTGAATGAATAGAACATGTTGGACAAATGTAGCCAGTGATGATGGGCAGGAGTACTGTAGATGAGTGAGGCAATGTAAGAGTTTTGTAGTCTGTTTGATTAGTTTCAAATGTTTCTTAGCAAGGTTCTCATGTTTTTTTATGTATAAAAGGGAAGTTTTACAATAATTCAACATTTGTACTTTAACAGATATATATTGAGTCACTAGCATCACAGTAGTACTTGATGGGGCTGTGCAGAAAAGATTTTATTTGGGGGCGTGGTGGGCAAGCTGTCTAAGGTGCCAGGGTAGTGATCCAACAAGCTTGAGGTGTCAGGATCGAGCCCACCTGTGACTGGGTGAAAAAACTTTGGAGTCAACTTTGTGTACAGACTCTTTCAGTGTTGTCACAACCCCTAGTGTACAGTACACAACTCTGTGCACTTAAAAGAACCCACGAATCCGTTGGTAAATGACCAGATGGTAGCCTCATGAATACGTGCAAACACCTAGTTGCTGGTACAGCAATGTGCAGTGAACTTGGACAAAGTACTGTGACTATGTATCCAAGTCCACCCAGCTGTGAATGGGTACCTTGTAAGGATTTGGTGCGCCTAAATGACTGCAAGAGTTGTATGTTCCCCAGGGAGTTGAGATTGAAAATACGATGTGCCGTTAGTATGTATATTCAAAGCGGATTTCTTTACACGTAAGTCTGTATTCAGTTCGGTTGTGTATGTTGGTCGGTGGTGTTGACGTTGGGTACCTCGTAAGGATGGGAAAGCCACATTAACTCAGTGTGCCTTATGGCGGGCACGAGTTGTATGATCCCCAGGGAGTTGAGATTGATAATACAATGTGCCGAGGGAAAAACAACTTGTGAAGCACCTTAGAGTGATCTAGAAGTAGTTCAAATAGGGCACTGTAGAAATGTGACGTATGCTAATAATAATAATTATTTGGTTTTGTGAAATAATAAAATTGCTCACCATAACATGATTCAAGTGCAGATTGTCAAGCTTGTCTTTAGAGGTGACTTAAATATGGATCAAATAGTTGTAGTGGTCAGACTTGACATGGGATTTGCTACCTCAACTCTGACCTGGTTCATTGTGTCACCATGCTTCACTGGCATGGATTATTTCTCACACTCACAACCACCAGCAATAAACACTGTTTCTATCTACCGTGTATGTACCCAGATCACCTGTCTGCTAGTGTACCTACCAAGTCATTCATACCTATGTCATTCTCTATTACAGAAATCACCAACCTCATATCAGATATGCATGGGTGTGCTGACAAGATCATAGAACTGTTCAGTGTTAAAGGAGGTGTGGGCGAGGGGCACCTGTCAGTGGACTCCAGTCTCATGTCCAACCCAGCCAAGCTGTGTTATACTGTCAGACAGGGCCTGAAGGAGGCAGCAGTTGGTAAGTTACTTTAGTTAGACTCTGAGTGGGGGTGGGAATCAGGTGTGGTCGGAGTCAGGGGAGTCAGTAGGGGATGGTAGTCGGCCAGTCAATAAGGGGAAGGAAACGGTGAAGGTAGGATGCGATTAAGGGAAACTGTGAGGTGATTGTGGAGTTAAGTGAGCAAGGTGACATGCTAGGAATGTGTCTGTACCAAGTGTTTCCCAAGTTTCACTTTCAAATTGCAGTTAAACTTACACACCATGCCAAATTGAAAACTCATGCAATAAAATTAAACTTGATCTGTCTGTATAAAATGACTGACAGAAACAAATTCCTCAGTCTTAGCACCATGCTCAGTCATAATAATAAATAATTAAGAGATACTGCAAGGTGATTGTGGGATTAAATGGGCAAGGTGACATCCTAAAAATGTGTCAAACTCTGAACCAAGTGTTATCCAAGTATTGCAGCTGGACTCTGCCAAATTGAAAAATCATGCTATAACATTAAGCTTGATACGCTCTGTATAAAATGAATCTAACAGAAACAAAATATTTAGCACGACGTGTAGTCATAATACATTTTTAAACTTTACCTATCTCACTGTACGCACCTCTCTTCTTCTACGACCATGTGTGGAAACGTGCTGTAGGCTAAGTTGAATCAAACATTACCTGGCCTCTGACCACCTGACCTCTGCCCCCACTCCGATAGCAGCACCTGTCAATCATCTCAATAAGTGTTGCAGATTGCTCAGATGATCACGTGATGGTCTGTGCCTGTCATTCTCTTTCTTGTTGCTACGTCGTGTGGACATGTGTTGATCTTAGTGAGATTTTGATTGTGTTCAAAATAAGGAAATCTCATCACAGTACTTCTACAAAACAAAGTGCAATTGTAACTTTTCTGCAGCGGACCCACATATGTTGTGTGTGGATTGCTTGGGATGTTGTGATTGAGCGCACCGGTGTACCTACTGTGCTCAACTTGATGATGATGCGTCGTACAAAGACATTTGTTCGCCGGTCTAAGTCCCCGGCGCCGAATGAAGAATTTCTATGTGAAGCTTCAGATTCCTATCTAAGTGAGGATCTCCAGCATTTTTTTTCGAGACCGCAAGAGTCCAGTCTGATTGTAATTCAAGACTAGAGTTGTAGTTTTAACTACTTCGTCTGGCCAGTCCTTTCCGTCTACTCTGGTGATGATTTCTCAGAATCCTGGTGATCCTACACCGACTGTTTCCAGTGCAGTGCTTGGTTTGATGGCCAATCTTCACTCTCAAGGGGAGGATACGTTCGGTTCGGCGCTCTCCAGCTCAGTGATTGGTTCTACGCTTTCTACCAATGCACCGCTTGTCTCCAGTTCGGCGCTTTGTCCCGGTTTGGCACTTTCATACACTCCTGTGATGTTTACAAGTATCACGTTGAGTTCCAGTGCGGCGCTTTTTACATCTGCTTCGTATGCTGTCCCACCTGTTTATAGTTCACTGCCAATTTCAAGTACACCGCTTACCTCTGAAGCGACGAATACATTCAATGCGCCACTTGCTCCCGGTTCGGTGCTTACTGTCAGAGCGCCACTTGCTACCAAGGTGCCCTTTGCTCCCGGTTTGGCGCTTGATACCAGAGCGCCGCTTACTCCCTATTCAGCGCTTACTGTCAAAGCGCCGCTTGCTCCCGATTCAGCGCTTACTGTCAGAGCGCCGCTTGCTCCCGGTTCAACGCTTGCTGGCAGAGCGCCACTTGCTCCCGGTCGACGCTTACTGTCGAAGCGCCGCTTGCTTTCAATGCGCCACTTGTTCCCAGTTCGACGCTTACTGTCGGACTGCCATTTGTTTCCAATGCACCGCTTGCTTCCGACTCTGCATTTACTGTCGGAGCGCCTCCTCCTTCCAATATGTCACTTGGTCCAGGTTCGGCGCTTCCTGTCAGAGCGTCAGTTGCTGCCAGTGTGACGCTTACTTCCAGTGTACCACAGTCTGCCAGTGTGCCGATCTCTATTGGTTCAACGTTGCCGCCTTTGCCAGGTCATCCACCCATGCCAGCCTCTTGCTCTACATTGCCTCCTACTTCGAGTACTACGTCGATCACCTCGGGCCAGACCTATTTTACCAGTTTCTTGGGATCAATCATCTGAGAGTTCTGCGTCTCGGCCTTTTGACTTTGGTGCCATCGTTCAGGCTGTGGCCTCAGCTTTAGGCCGGCAAGTCCCAGCTCCAGCTTCAACTGTTCAGCCAACTGCCCCGCGACCGTTCCATTGCAGTCCATGGATGAAGTTACTCAATCAGCTACACCCCCTCCTACTTCAGATGGCACTTCGGCTTCAGATGTCAGCGTTGATGCAGTCGACACACCTCAGTTATTAGTTTGGATTGCTGATAGCCTTCGACTACGTCATAGTAGTTTACCCTACGGACTTGTTGACTAGTTTTGATATGAAACCAGGTGACTTCAGGTCTATCACTGTTCCACCTCATCCCTGCATTACTCAACTGGCGGCTTCTCTTGGCTTTAACTTGGCGTCTTCCCATGTTCAAGGGTATTCTATGTTGATTACCTCGCCTCTTGTGGATGATGACATCGCACTTTTGGGTTCTAAACAGAGAACTTATTCTCCATTTTTGGTTGAAGACCGTGAGTTGTCGCACCTTGATGGTGCCATTCGGAGGATCCTAGCTCCCCTCAACTTGGTTTTGACAGCGACTGAAGCTGTGGCTATGTCTGTCTCGCATACGCGGCTACCCCTCAACAGGTTTATATTCGGGCTTCGATGGTGTTGCTACAGGAACAGTTCCAGCCCATCTTGGATCAGCTGGCCCTTTTTTTCTCCTACCTCACGGCAGTTCGGCACAGGGGCCCGCTTCACTTATCTTCGTGGGAGGAAAGATTTCGGACAGATCTTTTCCGTCAACCTTGGTCAGGCAGATCTCTCTTTAACAGGGTTATAAGAGACATAGCTGCAAAGGTTGGGCAGGATGCTCATTTGCAGGTCTCTGTGGAGTTGTTGAAATTCCAGCGGTTACAAGTAGAGGATTCGTTGCGTCAACGGTGGCCAGCTACCTATGTGCCGTCCAACCCAGATCTCATTCAGGATCTTCTACTTCCTTTCGAGGAAGAGGGATCAACAGAGGGCGTTCCAACCATCAGCAGCAGGCGTTCAGTGCTCCTCGACCAACTTTTGGTTCCGAGCAGTCCTCCACGCAGAGAACCCCGAAGCAGTGACTTGCAGACATCAGAGCACGATTGGGTCCTTCTGCCTCCAATCGTACCCATCACAGCTTCCCAAGTAGGCGGAAGACTTGGGATTTATGCCCGCAATTGGACCATCTTGGACGACTCTTACGTTCTCTCCACTCTGTCCAAGGGGTTTCAACTTCCGGTCATCGGCAACCCCCCTCTCACACTATCTCCGGAGCACAGGACGTATCCTCCTCGTCAAACGACTGTGCTACGATCCACCATAGCCATGCTTCTTCAGAAACTTGCGATCAAATCCCTGGGCCCGAATCCTGTCGACCCGGGGGTTTATTCTCCAATCTTTCTGGTTCCCAAGAAGGATTCCAACAAACTGAGACTCATCTTCAACATGAAGGTCTTCAACAAGATGTTCCTACAACCTCCGCCTCATTTCTGTATAGTGTCGGTGGCTTTGCTCAAGACTATCATCAAACCGGGGGATTACATGGTCAGACCTACAGAATGCGTACCTCCACATCTCGATCTTCCCGGACCATCGCAAGTTTCTTTCTTTCATCTTCGCGGGCACCCACTGTCAATGGCGGGTGCTCCTGTTTGGAATTTCTTCGGCCACGTGTCTTTTTACACGAGTGACGAAGCCTATCACCAGCTTCCTACATCGCAAGGGGATATTGTTCGAAACTTACATCGACAACTGCATCCTATGTCGCATGGGGTTCACGATGCAGCTACTTCCCCAGTTAGGCTGGCTGGTCAACATGGAGAAATCAGAGCTAGTCCCTTCACGCCGCCTGCAGTTCATCGGGGCGGTGTTCGACACTGAGCGCAACAGACTGTTTGTGCCGAGGGATCGTTTCTGCAAGATCCGGTGGTTAGCTTCCCTTGCATTGTCTCAAAACAGGACTCTTCGTCAATGACAGGAGCTCCTGGGTCTCTTGACGTCGGCCCAGGCGTTGACCCTCAGGGGTCAATTGCAACTTTGACCCTTGCAGTTGTTCCTGGCTCCACACATCAGGGTGGGCAACCAGCTCTCTCTGATCACGTTACCTCCGGCGCTCCATCCCCATATCCTATGGTGGATGGATGAGTCGAACGTTTGCGACGGAGTTTGCTTGAGGCCGTTCGTCCCGACTCACCACCTGTACGTGGACACATCTCTACTCAGGTGGGGGCTCACCTTCTCGATCAACGAGTGGCAGGCCAGTGGTCTCCCGCAGATCGTGCTTACCTCATCAATATTCTAGAGCTCAGGGCGGTGATACTTTCCATCACTCTCTGGCAAGAGACTCTACAATCGACCTCTCTCATGATCCGGTCAGACAATGCAGCAGTGGTGTGGCACATCAATCGGATGGGATCGACTCCTCAACTCCTACAGCGTTTCTTCCAGTTGGTGGACAATCTCAGCATCTCAGTTTGAGCCAACCATATTCCAGGAGTGAAGAACGTGATTGCGGACTCCCTGTCCCGTCCACTTCGTCCCTCCCCGACAGAGTGGAAACTTCATCCACAGGTGTTCCAGACCATTTGCCTTCTGCTGATGACTCCGACAGTGGATATGTTCGCCACTCGTTTCAACCACCAGCTGCCTCTGTTCGTGTCTCCGATTCCGGATCCGCTTGCCTGGGGTCTCGACGCTCTAGTCATTCCTTGGGATGACCTAGACGCGTACGCGTTTCCTCCAGTGGCCCTTCTTCCACACATACTACTGAGACTATGCACGACTCAGCGGATGACACTGCTTTTGGTTGCGCCCTACTGGCCGGCCAGAGGGTGACTCGTCGATCTACAAGAACTGGCCGATCCAGATCCCGTGCCACTTCCCGAACTGCGTCGATCTTCTGGTTCATCGCTAACTGCATTGGGATATCGCTAACTGCAAAGGGATATTCTAAGCATGTCGCTACTGCCATCACGACAGCACATCGCTCCTCTACTAGGTCACTCTATGATGACAAGTGGAAGAGTTTTGAGGCGTACTGCAGGGTCATAGGTATAGCTTCTCCCACTACTGTTTCACCACAGTTGGTGGCAGAGTACCTCCAACATCTTCGAACCTCCAAGAAGCTTAAGGGTTCTACATTGTCTACCTACCTGGCTGCTCTTAACACCGTTATTGCACCAGCCACAGGAGTGAAAGTGTCAACTGTTCCTGAGCTCCAGTCTCTCCTCAGATCTTATAGACTTGCTGACCTCCCGAAATTCACCACCATCTTATAGACTTGCTGACCAATAACCCTTGAGGAAAAGATTCAGATAACTTTTAAGAACCACCATCTTGGGACCTTTCCGCCTTGTGCGGTTTGAGAGGTCAAGACATGCTGAAGTCTTTCTTAGTTTACGGTGGAATTTCGTCACCTAGAACTTACAACCTGGACAGCTGGACTGCATGTTCATGATTCCACCGCTGTCCACTATCTTGGGTCCCTGTGCCCAGTTGGACACAGCGGATCTCTTAGCTGCCTCAAAGATCGACTGTTCATCCTGTTCTACTTAGCTGCCTCCAAAGATCAGAGTGTTCATCCTGTTGTCATTCTGGATGAAATCCACCAGTCTGCATGCCTATGATGCCTATGCCGACCTTCCTCCACCTTCGACAGCAAATCCTCATGAAACTCGGGCCCTAGCTTCCACCATGGCGCTTCATAGGAACTGCTCCCTCCAGGCAATCATGGCGGGATGCTTTTGGAGGTCGGATACCATTTTTGCCTAACACAATCTTCGGGATCTCTCGGTCACGGATGTGGAGGGCCTACATCAGTTCGGCCCTCTGGTCCTAGCTCAGCAGCTGCCATCGACCCGTGCTCACAGATGAAAGCAGTCCTTCCGCGTGTCGGTTTTGCTTCTGTACATTAATAAAAGATCTCGATGTTATCTTGTCTTTTGTACCTTTTTCACTTTGGGCTTAGACCACCTCACCTAGGGAACTAGGGTGTGTTTGCACTGTCATAGATTTGACTCAATAGACTGAGGGGCCAGTCTTGTGTTACATGCAGAGGGGTCGACATTCCGCTTACTGACCTCGACTCTCTGAGCAATTACGTCAGTGAAGCGTTGATTCGACACCTGCATGGTTTTGAAGCGTTCCATTCCTCATTACTCACCTTTGGGGGATTGGTACTGAAGAGTTGAGCATCCGGAACTAGTCCTTTCACCACTTTCCAGTGTGTGTCTGTGGAAAGTTTAGGGACTGGTCCAGAGCGTTAAACTTTAATTCATCACTTGATAAATCCAGGGAGGTGGGGTCCACTTGCCAAACTCGCGCCTTTTGCCTGTCAAAAATTGTGGTTGAAAACCACATTAATTCGGGATCGAGTTTTTTGTGCTATGTAAGCATCTGAAGCAACCCATCACAAGTTAGTTAGCATATCGGGAGTTTGATGTCTCCTGGTGTTATGAGACCTCATGGTTGTAGAGTTGATATGGGATAATCTATCTGTGAGATAATGCATAAGTGAGATAGGATAAGTTTAAAAATTTGGACATTTTACTATAAATTGTCACATCCTATCTCACCCGATTCGACCTGCCACTGGAAGCTCCAACGAGAATGACAGGCACAGACCGTTTGATCATCTGAGTAATCTGCACGCTTGAGATGCCTACAGTGCTATCGGATTGGGGGCAGAGGTCAGGTGGTCAGAGGCCAGGTAACTTTTGATTCTACAGGCCGTTTCCACACATGGTCGTAGAAGAAGAAGAGAGGTGCATACCGTGAGATAGGATAAGTATATAAATATACAATTTATAGTAAAAGTTCCAATACCTCAATCCTGGGTAACCCTGTACTATGAGTAGACATTTTCACTTCATTATTACTTGCTGATTTTAAGCTAGTATGCTGTAAACATGTTATACAACTTACAAATGATCATGAACAACTCTAATGAACGCTGAATAGTATATGCATATGTATTTATCTTTGTCCAGCCTGTGCCAAACTGCTGATCCTTTGTGACCTCTTCTCAAAGAGGAAAGGAGAGCTGTCGAGAGAAGAGAGACATGAAATAATGAAGTATGCCAAGTCAAGGTGAGCTGGACTGCTGGTCCTACTGTTATATTCAGAACAAGTTATTAAGGCACCTCCGTTAGTTACACAAGTGTTACTTAGGCACCTCTGTTAGTTACACCGTTGTTACTTAGGCACCTCCGTTACACGCAGGTGTTACTTAGGCACCTCCGTTAGTTACACAGGTGTTACTTAGGCACCTACACCGTTGTTAGTTAGAGCACCTCCGTTAGTTACACAGGTGTTACTTAGGCACCTCTGTTAGTTACACGTTACTTAGTTACACAGGTGTTACTTAGGCACCTCCGTTAGTTACACAAGTTAGTTACACAGGTGTTACTTAGGCACCTCTGTTAGTTACACAAGTGTTGCTTAAGCACCTCCGTTAGTTACACCGTTGCTACTTGGCACAACCTGTTAGTTACGCAGGTGTTACTTAGGCACCTCCTGTTAGTTACACAGGGTAGTTACAGGTGTTGCTTAGGCACCTCACCTCAGTTGTTACTTAGGCACCTCCGTTAGTTACACAGGTGTTACTTACAGGTGGCAGGCACCTCTGTTAGTTACACAGGTGTTATTTAGACACCGTTCTGTTAGGCACCGTTACAAAGGTGTTTATTAAAGAACCTCTAGTTACACAGGTGTTACTTAGGCACCTCTGTTAGTTACAAAGGTTTGTTATTGGGAACCTCCTATCAATTCACAGAGGATATTATTTGGGCACCTCTTTTCATTACATAGAGCATATTTTGTTAATGCGCCACGAGTGAACATATCAACTTTGTCAGACCACTCGATGAAATATTCATGTTATTTGACAACATTAACAAAATATTCTATTTGTTATATTTTGATCATTGTTTATAAATGATCAAGACATCGATCATTTCGTTAATGGCAGAAACGTAGTTCATGGCATTTTGTTAATGGCATTTCGTAGTTCCAGGCAAAAGTGATATTCTACTCAGTGAAATTACATGTTATTCTACTCAGTGAAAATACCATTTTTATTTTCACCAATATTTACAGTATTTCACCCTTAAGAATATGATAAACAGAGGATAATATTTTGGCACCTCTTTTAATTACACAGATCATATTATTTGGGCACCACTTTTAATTACACAGAGAATATTTAGGCACTTGTGTTAATTTTGACAAAGACGATGTCACTCCTGATACACTGTCAGGACGTGGAACAGTCAGTGAACAAAACCTCTATATAAACCACTTGCATGGCCACATTTAGATTATCGTGTGAGTCTATGGGGTTGATGTTTGCAGGTTACCAGTATTTATGAACCAGCTCCACAAGTTCCTGGAGGTCATCAAGCAACACACATCCAGTCTCAGTGCTCCCCAGAGGAACGAGATCGCCACCTACCTTGTGCCTGAGGTCAGGCCTGTCCACAGTTTCTACTTTATTTAATAATTGAATGATACAGCTATTCTTGATGTTTATGTGCATTTAGTCAAGTGCAAAATAGGAGGAATATTTCAAAGTATGATGATTTGATATGAATAAGTCTGCTCGTTTGATCTGAGTATGATGCATGCAATTTGTGTAATTTTGTTTATAATGGTTAATGTGCTATGTGTCGCTTTTATGTCCGGTCTCATTGAGGTAGCCACAGTTAAGACATTCAGATATTTATGATGCTGAAAATAAGTATGAATACCCTTTTGCACCTGGTAGATATTTAACTGCAAGTCTTGTAAACTATTATGCCGAATTCAACAAATCATCAATGGTGACTTGTGTGTCATACCCTATTCGTAACAATATTGATTCCTGGCTCAGCTTGAGACAACACTGGACCTGATCTTCCGCTTCGCTGTGGAGACCAAGGATGCCCTTGACAAGGTCATCACCTCCAGCAACACGTCCGAGAAGTCAGAAAAATCAGACAAACATAAAAAGGGGCATGTTGGAGACGTGTTAGGAAAGGCACTAAAAAATGTGAGTCTGTGACAGAAGGGTACAGTGCATGAAAAATCTATCAGGGCACTTCTCAGTCAAGTGCTTATCAACTCCAAGGGAAAACAGGAAAACATGTGCTCTCTTGTATCGTGTATTACCCATATTTCACAGTACAAAAAAAGAAATCCGGAAAAAACAACACAGTCCTCAGTTAACCGGACGAGTCGCGGATAAATTGAAATCCGGGCATAGGGATACTTCTCGACAGTGCAAGTGATCGGTGCTTCAGTCTAGATAAGGTAGTTTGGGTGGCTCAGTTATCTTGGTACTGCAGTTAGCTGGGCAGAGTTAACTCCCTTAGTCATGCCAGAAACCTATGATTGTGTGTTCAAATCCCAGTTCACCCTGCTTATTTTTCTTGGTTTGCAAGTACCATACACATAATCATAGTTTACATCTGGAACCTGCATCACACCAGGCTGTCCCCTATCATGATGCTGAAATACTGGTTAAAGCCGGAGAGACCCAACTGACTCAATCACTACTGGATCAGGGCTCTTTGATCCTAGGCTGTAAAACCAGTGCAATGGTCTTGAATTAGAAGACTAAGCTACTCTGTTTTCAATTTTGCTGTCCTTTATTGTTGATTTAAGACCACTAAATGTAATTTAACAACCGAACGCGTTAGCGTAAATTAAACATTTAGCAGTCTTAAATCAACGATAAAGGACCACAAAATTGTAAACAGAGCAGCTTTATCTTCATTCTAGCACGACTCATAAGTCTTTTAAAACCGAAGTGTTTGGCGTGCAAGAACACAAGGCATGAAGGGGCCTTTTTCCTGGAAATCGCTTGGAATCGTCCCGTTGAGGGACAGGTTGTGTAATGAACAAGATAAGACATTTTCAACAACATAAATGCTTTATTTCAGGAACCAGTATGCTTGTATTTGTAACAAGTAGCATACATAAATAAGAAAAATACAGTTTATACTGTGAGCAAGTACAATTATTTGATTTTTCTCAAGTGAATTATTGATCTCCCCTACTGTATGACAATCGACTTGCGCCAATTCAAGCCGTGAACTCTGTATGTTTAGTCGCCGCTAAGTTTATTCACGGAAATAATTGTTGATAACCACCCCAACTATTCCCAATTTGGAAAAGACCTGACATGCCACGTTTTATGTGGGTTACATGGACAGTGGAAGTGGAAGGACTGGGCATTACGGCTGAAGCGGTCAGGTTAGGACGCATGGGCCGACGTGTGTTGTCGACGTCATGCCTGGTCTAGACCCGGTTTGAATACTGCTGCTTTTGCGCTGCTGACAAATTTTCCTGCTTCGTAGTTTCTTCACTGGGATTAGGATGAAGAAATTCTTCTTCAAACTATTCGCATTTTACTTCAAAAACATCAAAAATGCCGCCGAGGTAGAAATTGCCGATGTCCGACATGTTTGTTTGCAAACAAAAGGGTCAACGAGTTCATTGTATTCATACTTAACATTATGATAGGGCTATTAGAGGATAACAGTTGTGTTGGGTTTACTGTATCAATTACATGTTTTAATTTTAAAAATGCTATTATTCCATCCATATGTTTATGGAGTTTTTAATAATGGAATTTCCAGGCATTGCACATGAAAGAGCTCAAGAAACTGAAGAACTTCCATGACAGGACATCAGCCAGCTTCACACATCTAATGCAGAAGAAGTAAGTTATGTCTGATTGAAGGCAATGCTCTTGCCATGATGAGTGTGCTAGTTAATTTGGGATATCTGAAGGTTAAAATCCCCCTGTACTGACCTTGGTATAACCAGAGTTGCGTAACCTAATTGAAATTTTTTGAATGACTGGCAAATTTGAAAGACTGCCACATAGAGAATACTACACTCGGTCTCATTGCATACCAAACTCGTGACCTTCTTATGGTATTTGACGTCGCTTTCGCTTGGTCAGATACCATAGGAAGGTCACGAGTTTCGTATAACTCGTATGTAATGAGACCGAGTGTGGTATTTTATTTATTACCCACGTCCTACATGCATTAAATTGACAAATAGCGTATTTTTTGTTATTTTTCTGGTTTCAAACCGAAACCAGTTTCATAAAGAGGTTGCGGAAGAGTTTTGTACTGTAGTACAATATTTGCATGACGTCACACTGTATTGATGTCACTACCTTGGTAACCGACATCACGATGCATGCATGTTGTCATTGCCTCGTACAGCCTCCTACAGTAAACTACTCCGTAGCACCCCATTTCTTGGTTTGCAGTTGCTTCACTCGGCTAACATCACTGGTGAAAACATAGCTTTTATGTTTTTCGATGGATATAATGTCTCAGTTCGACTCACAATTAAACAGCGACACGGCAACGTTCGCAATGTTTACATTCCCACAATGCATATAAGTTGTAGAATGAATGAATTCACGTGTTTGTTATGAATGAAAAAATAGTTACGTCAGAACATGACCTAACTGAGAGGTCATCGGTAATCCAATCCAATCGCTAGCTCAGGTCAAGTCGTTACGACACAGGTCAACGCAATATGACACTCGTGTGACGTACGAGATAAGTATGCAACTACCCATACGTTGACCACGTGGGTTTAAAAGTCCAATATGTTTTTAGGGTGAAAGGTATGGCATGACATGACAGTGTATATTTTGTTCACACCTCTTGCTGGAGTTCAGTATGAAGAACAAATATGAATATAAAATGAAGATGTGATGAGGATTGATGAAAAGAATTTTAAGGGTGATAGGAATAAATAAAAAGCCAGAATAACACAACTGCAACACGTCCTCATGGCAGGGCTATAGGGGGAGAAAACAGGATCCTTGCACTGTGACTTATATGACTGCATGTTTCTATTTGTAGTGCCACCCCATGAGTATAAAGTTGGCAGACAGAGATACATGCATTGTGATGGACTGATCACTGTCTGTAACAACTAGGAATACTGTGTTTATGTTAATTATGTTAAAGATGTCAGAAGATTAGCCTTGGTTTGCTGTCTCACATGGGTACAATTTGTGAAGCCCATTTTTGTTGCCGTGATGTTGCTGGAATCTGTCAGTCAGTCAGTCAGAAGATTCTTGTTGCTGTCTTTCTTATGTTTTCTGTGTTCAGAGAAAACTTTGGTATGATGACACATGGAGAGAAAGTGAGGTCAGTCTCAAAAAACCTGGAACAAGTAATTGATGAGGTGAGTGAAGGTCCAGGCAACTGAATAACAGCTCATAGTTATCTTTCACTATCTCCAGTATTAGCTTAAACATGTTTTTTGCAGTTTTTAGTGCAATTAACAGGGTTTATTCCTCAGGACCTGTGCCCCATTTGCCTCAGAGGTGTTGATGTAGTTAGGACTGACATAAATCAATGTTGTGCTAGGGAAATGTGAGGATCAATAATTTGTCAGCGCATGTATTACATCCTGGTGTGTGGAGTTGTCTCCCCTGAACACTAGTGACACTGACTGTTCCAGGTGCCCTTCTTCCTGGTGCGTCTTGAGGAGCTAATGGCGGCCTTGGATGAAAAGGTCACATGGAGAGAGTGGAAATATCTGTTCAAACTTGGCACATCAAAAGTTGTAAGTTAATCTTATATCATAGTTATATCCACAGTTGTGTGACCGCCTCTGTGGTGTAGTGGTTAGAGTGTTCGCCCGGAGAGCGGAAGGTCGCGGGTTCGATCCCTGACCGCGTCATACCGAAAGACATTAAAATATGGTACTTGTTGGTCCCTGCCTGGCGCTCTGCATTAATGGGTACAACAAGGACTGGTCGGCTCGGAGTCAGTATAATGTGTCTGAGTGGGGTATTCATGCTTCACTGTGGCATGGTATCTCAGTGGGCTAGCACTATAAAACCAGCTTCAGTCTGGGCTAGTACAAGCAGCCACACATACACATCCACAAGCATGCACGTCGTCATGTGAGCGAAATATTCTCAAGCACGACGTTAAACCCAATTTCACCTCACCTCACCTCCACAGTTGTGTATTGCATCATTCAAGGAATATTTTCCTGGGGCCTATGTGTTAAACTTCATCATCATTAAACTGATGCTGTCATGTTGGTTAAATTGTTAATCAGACTGTGACGTAGGTGTGTCAGAACTCTTCTTCAGTAGGATAAAGAGAAACCACATGTGGCACTTATAATCTCTGATGTTGATAATGTTGATGTAAGTAACAAAATCATGACCAATAATAATAGTCAAATCTTCATGCTGTGCTTTTCCGTGCTGGATGTTCTGCTTAAAGCGATAAATTATTACCTCAGTCTGTGGATCGGTTGTACAGTTCTGCTCAACTCACTGGGGCGGTTGGGTAGCCTAGTGGTTAAAGTGTTTGCTCGTCATGGCGAAGACCCGGGTTCGATTCCCCACATGTGTGAAGCCCATTTCTGGAGTATTGCTAAAAGTGGTGTAAAACTAAACTCACTCACTCACTTTCTACTCCCTGGGTATCATACAAACCAAGCTGCCCTGAAGGTCATTGGTCACATGATCAGCTCATTCTATTGGATACCTACATGGAGTTTAAAAGTGCAAATATCATGAAGATAAAATTGTTTGAATGATTATGGTAGAAGTATGTATGCAAGCAATGAAACTGAATAGTCAGGCCTCCATTAGCTGGGAACCCCAACTTCAGCTGATGGCTGTTGGTCATGTTGTATCTATATAATGAGACATTATACCGGACTAACAAAGATCAATGGTACCTGTTTCTTGTGTATAGGCCTGGGGTCTCGGCAAAGTGTTGGCCAACAAGTCCACTCTGCAGCATCTCATCGACCAAGCCTGTGACATTGCCAACCGGGACCAGTTCACAGCGTCACTGGCATCCCTGGGTTTGACGTCACCGGATGCCAGTCAGGACAGCAGCGGGGCAGGGGGAGGTAGACAGAGTCACGGACCCACAAAGTATGCTCAGGTCAGTCTCCATGGGAACGCAGCACATTGTCTGATTGGTTACTGTGTCTCCATAGTAACACATGACATTGTTTGGTTGGTTACTGTGTCTCCATAGTAACACAGCACATTGTCTGGTTGTTTACAGTGTCTCCATAGGAACACAGCACATTGTCTGGTTGTTTACAGTGTGAGGTTTAATTATGTGCAAGTGTCATGGTTTCAACCACATGTTTGTCTAGAATCCCGTCTGTGCTAGATTTCAGCCAACTATCTAGACTGAATGACCCTGGCACACTTATATTGGATGTATATGAACAATAAAATAAAGATAAATGGAACTGATGTGTAAGGTTCCTTGGAGTTTTCCTCTTTCCTTCGCCATGCTGGTAGTTAACCCTGCAACCTGGTATCAGATCAATCAAGTAATGAGGTGTTTCCAACCTTGCAGCTCAGCTCAATAGAATCCCTATGCATCCCCCCGTATGCCCGAGACAGCCGGACAGCCAAGAGGGCGCTGGAACTGCTACGTAAAGGAGAAAAGACCGATATGACCTTTGAAATAGAGGTTGTGCATGGTAAGGTTTATGGCGTAGACGTTCTAGTTCAACAGTCCTTACCTCTTGCCATTTACATGCCACTGATGTATACTCTGATTTATGTAGACTTGATCAGAGGCTGATATTTTCCCTGAATCTGCAGTGCATATCAGTTAACATTCCCTGTTGGAATAGCTCATATTCCCAACTCATTATACTCTATCTGTGTGTAGGTACTGATAACAGGACCAATACTGGTATTTGCCAATTTTGCTTACTTTTATGTCATTCAAGTTAGACCCATGAAGATCTGGGTTAGAATTGATCTTCAGTAACCCATGCTTGTTGTAAGAGGCAACTAACAGGATTGGGTGGTCAGGCTCTCTTACTTGGTTGGCACATGTCATTGTATCCTAATTGTGTAGATCAATGCTCATGCTGTTTATCACTGGATTGTCTGGTCCAGACTCGTTTATTTACAAACCTTCGCCATAAAACTGGAATATTGAGTGCGGCGTAAAATTTAACTCACTCATTTATGTTACAGAGTTTGAGAAAATAAGAATCTGTGACAATACAAATCTCAGTTTTGCCTGACATGTGTTGACATTACTATGCGAAATATCCCAAATGAAGCTATTCTATCTAAACTAATGCCATTGCTTCTATTGTATGCATCAGAGGGTGGAGACATTGTGATTGACCACACACATGGGGGGGAGCCAGTGGAGAGGACAGATGAGGGGGAGGTGGAAGTGAAGGAGGTGCGAGCTCACTGCGTCATCATCGCAGCACGGTGCGACTGGTTCCGTCGAGCACTTCTTAGTGGCATGAAGGAGTCTATACACAAGTAAGGAAACTGTAGATCTGGTTGAGAATGAACACTGATGTTATACTCAAACCTGATGTCATAATACAGTACCCAGGAACTCACATGGACATTGGCAGCTGTTATGCCAAGGGCAAAGGGAAGTAACTCTGTTAGTACTGATTTGCAAAAGTACTAGCCTGAGAATAGACCTCAAATTCTACTTTGAAAATATGGAAGATGCCAAACCTGTTTTATAGTTTTTCAGAAGGGGTGAACATTCACTGGGATTTAAATAACAAATATCTATTGAATAATTTTCTCCTTTGCAGAAAAATTACAGTTCATGATACAAATCCTGTGCTATTCCAACTGTTCTTGGAGTATTTATATAGCGGCCAGTTGGAGACAAACGAGTTGTCAACAGAAGAGCTGGCTGATATGACCACCCTCTGTGATAGATATGAGGTAAGAACATCACCATCCATTGTATATAAGAATATGTTCCATACCAGTGGATGATTGATACAAGCTACGTACATCCTTATATTCCACTCAGCTGTACATAATCCTCAAAGCTATTTGAGTGCTATGAAACCAGCATTATTGACTGTTATTGTAGATTATCCTACCAATTGTGTCCTCCAAAACTACTAGCAGCCATTAGTGGCTGCGCAACTTTGTTTTAACAGCTGTTAGAGTATGCTGATGAGTATGTAAACATGCTAAACTGTTTTGTAATTGTTTTTACTATTATGTTGAAATGGAGCGCAGTACTCATCTGAATGAGAGTGTCATGTGGTGCTAGATGCTAGGCTTCTCATGTGCTGTTATTGCAGATGGACAGCCTCAAGTCAGTGTGTGAACATGCTCTGAAACACCACATTGATGATGAGACAGCCCTATACCTGCTCAGCCTGGCTGACCAACTGCACTGTAAATACCTCAGAGTGAGTACTCATCTATTAACTCTTATCATCTATGACCTCACAACCACATGTTTTCCTCACGTGTGCATTTCCTTATGCATAAGATGCATGTAATAAAAATGAAGTGTTGCTGGAAGTCTTGAAATATATAATTTTTCCTTATCCTGACTCATGATCTTTGCTTATCTCCCTTTCCCTTTCGAATGGTAGTGGAACACTTGAATCCCTTGAAGTTCCCGAAGCGGACATACAATACTCACCCACGAGTTACCTCCCTTTGCCCTTTCCCGCGCAAACCAGTCATGTGACGCGCCTTACTTGTCACTCTCTCCCTTTTCGCCCAAGCGGATGGTTGGGCGAGCACCGAGTCCCGTATACGGCAATCTATCATTTATATTTAGGCCTATTCTTCTTAATTAAGCTGTGTATGGTTTTGTTTATAATTACGATGTCGTATCTGTACAAATTTGTTGAAATTTATTGACTTTGAGTCATGTTTTCATCGTGTTCTGATCTGATGATCTACCTCCAGCATCTCAACGCAGTGAACCAGGGGTACTCAAGACTTCAGCGTTTGCGAACGCTACGTCTTCAGACAACCTAGAACTTCGACCCTGACGAGTTTATGACGCAGTTCACCAACCAGATGATGTCCATGATGGAGCGGAGGTTCGCGGAAGAAACACATGCTCGGCGAAGCCTCTTAGCTGCAGGAAGATACAGGCCTCAGTCAACCCTCTACGTAGACATCGGCAGTGAGAGATAACGTTCGCGAACGTACACCTCTGCAAACGTTCACTCAACAATCTACTTCTGCGAACCCGCAGTCATCTGCAGAGAGATCGTCAAACTCCAGACGCAGCAGAGCAACGAGTCTGGACGTCATCATCTTCAAGTCGCTCCAGATCTAGATCTCGCAGACGTTCGCGAAGCTATTCACCACATCATAGAGGTTCGCAAAGCTCACACCACAGATCATCGCATGAGCATAGATCATCCTACAGTGGCAGCCTGCAGAGCAGACGTTCGCGAAAGCACAGCTCTCATTATTCGAAGTCACGAAGTAATGAATCGGCGGTAGAAGGTTCGCGAAGGCACAGCTCTCCTTACAAGGGTTCGCGAATGTACAGCTGTCATTACAAGGGTTCGCGAAAGGATGATGAGTCATCTAGAGGTTCGCTAACTCATCTTTCCAAAGATAAAGGTTCACAAAGAGGGGAATCATCTGAGAAGGGTTCGCAAAAGGACAGCACACGAGGGAATGCAGATTCACAGGCAGATGAACAGCGCAGTATCAGCTCTATTCAACAACCACTACAGGAACAACAAGAAGACCTTGTGTTTCCTGATCCAGAGATTACAGCTGGATAGCTAACGGCCTGAATCTGCTGTCACCATCTAAAGATACAGACGACATCCTCTCTTATCAGATGCATGATGACAAACGAACGCAGACATCTACAGGGTTTGTGAACTCTCAGATCTACAAGACATCTACAGGGTTCGCGAATCCAAGGTTTAAGAACCTTAGGTCAACAGGCAGAATGTTTACGTCAACTCAACAAAAAGATCTACAACATGTGCGATCTCTACAGTTTGCAGCCTGCTCAACTCTACAACCGGTATGAACCTTACACCTATATAGGTTCAGGTTTAAACGACAACCTACTTGATGAAAGAATCCCTTCATCTACACGGATGCGGAGATATATACCGGGTAGCAGATGGCCTCGCGGAAATTGTCGTTCACTCACTCACTCCAACCCATCTGAGACGTACTGCATATATGCTGATGACTGTGACTTCAAGATGATATCACCTATCAAGCTGATATATCAAGTTTTGCAGATATAAGTCTTGACAGCCTACTTCATCATGCTGGCTTATATTATCTACAGTGGGAAGAGGTGATTTATATCACTGAACAAGAATTTACGCCTGGATCAACCCTTATTCAAGAGGTTTATATGAGCGGCGTAGAGGTACGCGCGCTTTTACTCAACCAAGACTGGTGATGTCACGCTCGGAAGCTGATTGGTCCACGTCAGACGACGCCTCCCACTGACGGAGCAAGCAGCAGAAAGTTTACTGACTTGTAAACAAAGACGAGGTACAGGGGATTACTTCATCGACAGCCATGTAAACAGTATACAACTATGGCCTGTTATCATCTGGGGAATCTGATAGATGTCTACCCTTCACAGCAGCATAAACAAGATTTATTTTGGAAGTTGTTGCTGAGGAAAGTCGGCATGAGTGCCTGTCCCCGGCGAGGCTACACTGCACCCAGCTGTGCTATAAATAGACAACGCTTCGAAGTATGCTGATCAACACAGATTGCCTCTGTATAGAGGGGAAGAATGATGTATCATCACTGCAATCAGAGGTTAGCACTTCCGATGGAAGATCCTACGGTTTGGAATATTGTCGGCTTTATGATTATTATTCATAGAAATAATCAAGACTATCGGCACCGATCAATGACATCGAGGTCTATGCAGTGTCGGGTATCTGGACGACGGCATGCAGTTTTCTTCAAAGTGCCAATCAACTTTAACAGCAGCTGAACCTCACAATTAAGTTGCTCACGAAACTAGGATGGCTAATTAACCTGATGAAGTTGCAGTTAGAATCAACAAGATCTTCTATTGCTGGGAATCATCACAACAGAGAACCGTATTGTCATCCCAGAAGGTCGTTGGGTTAAGATACAAGCCATGATACCACAAGCATTCATCTCTCCGTTTACACTACGATCATGGCAAGTTCTACTGGGTCTACTAACCTCAGCACAAGACTTAACCCGTACAGGAAGATTACAACTGAGGCCGTTGCAGCGATTCCTGACAAAACATCTAGACAGCGTCGATCCCATCTCGCTACCAGACAACCTCAAGAGGTATCTACTCTGGTGGACTACCAGAGTGACCGAACCTCCTAGTACATCCGCACACCAAGCAAGCACATGGGAACCCAGCAGTGTTCCAGTTACACGTATGGACCGTATCAAAGCATGCTTGACGAAGAGAGGATACTCTGCCAGAGCAGCCAAGCAGTATCGCTATGCCACGCAGATCAACTCGCAGTCTATACGACGACAAGTGGCTGAAGTTTGAACCTTATGCAAGGCGGAAGAACTTCACTGCGATAAAAACGACTCATCCTCAAGTGGCGGAATACCTGTGTCATCTGAGACAGACGAGACACCTTAAAGGTTCGACATTATCTACATACCTCGCTGCCATCAGTTCAGTGATCACCATGATAACAGGCATCAAACTGACAAAAGTTCCAGAGCTAGACCAGAAGAGGAAGCAGAGGAAGTCTCACCAGGGATGCCTACGAACACTCTACATCACAACTCACCAGGGATGACACAAAAGACTTTGAACCTGTTTTACATCAACACTAGACCTTCGAAATGAGGCAGTACATCTAAGACTTAGATGGGACTTCATCACCAGTGATGCCTACAAACCTTTACATCAACAACCTTCGAGTTGATGACACAAAAGACTCTGTTCCTGCTAGCGTTAGCCATAGCAGCAAGAATATCAGAGATACATGCACTGGACTTCAGCGGAACTAGATTCAACGCAGAGCGAAATGAGGCAGTACATCTAAGACTTAGATGGGACTTCATCGCCAAGAACCAACTACCTGGCCAACCAGATAGACAGTTCCAGGTACCAGTGCTATCTACAATCCTCGGCCCAGAGGATGTAGTGATTTATCCTTGTGTCCAGTCAGAGCTCTGAAGATATATCTTCAAAGGACTAAGACAAGGAGGCAAAAAGTTCAAGCGCCTATTCATCTCGTTATCTACAGAGACGATGACAGAGGTCTCGAGAATGATATCGTTTTGGATGAGAGCCGTCATACTGAGAGCCTATAAAGCAGCAGGACTAGAACCTCCTAGAACTTCCAACCCACACGAAGTTAGAGCACTGGCGTCAACACTAGCTCTACATGGAAATTGCTCTATACCGACAATAATGGAGGGCTGCTTCTGGAAGTCGGACACAGTGTTTGCCAACCACTACCTCCGAGACATAGCCACTGAAGACGTCTCAGGCATTCACCAATTTGGGCCTCTCATTTGTAGCACAGCTACTAACGGTTCCTCAAAGGCTGAGTTGAAATCTCACCCTTTATCACGTTGACTTGTAGATGACTTTTACTAGGAAAAGTATTAGTTTGAAAGTCCATGCTACAGTCTAGGACAGACTAGCATGAGTGATTAAGATCCAAAAGGGTAATGACCTTACCTGCACATAAAGGATCGCGAACTCATTTATGATAAAGACCTTATCATAATCCATGGGTTGTTATAAGATATCTAGTACAGGAGAATACTAGTTTATCTATAACCACACGAATTAGCATGATTCAACTTGTCTGAGATTGAAGTAAGACAAGGAGTGGTCCCCCCGAGTTACTACACAAGTTGGAAGAATAGGACCACGGAAATGCCGTTTGCAGTTCCCATGGGGGGGATACAGGACGTATCTAAGGACAGCTGTTGAATCCAGTGGCTTGACCCACCACCAACTCCGACGGATTCTATAAGCAAAGATCATGAATCAGGATAAGGAAAAATATGTAATTTTTTAAGTAAAATTGATATTTTATACTTATCCTGACTCATGACGAACAAGCCCTCCCAGCCTCCCCGTTGAAGACACTTGAGATTTCACAGCAGATCCAAGTGCATGGGCAGAAAATCAGGAGAGAGTGACAAGTAAGGCGCGTCACATGACTGGTTTGCGCGGGAAAGGGCAAAGGGAGGTAACTCGTGGGTGAGTATTGTACGTCCGCTTGGGGAACTTCAAGGGATTCAAGTGTTCCACTACCATGCGAAAGGGAAAGGGAGATAAGCAAAGATCATGAGTCAGGATAAGTATAAAATATCAATTTTACTTAAAAAATTACATTTTGAAACTGCCACTGTAGATTGAAGTTATCTTCCCCTGTCATACACATTTCTTACATTTGGAAAACAATTCTGCCATTTGGATTAGAGAAGAAACAAGAGAAACAAACTGCTTCTGTAGTATGGCAAGAGTTACCTGCCTTTGTCTTATAACATTCTGACAACAATTCTGGCATTTGGAGATGAGTGAGTGAGTATGGTTTTACGCCGCTTTTAGCAATATTCCACCAACACCAGAAATGGGCTTCCCTAATTGTACCCATGTGGGGAATCGAACCCGATTCTTCAGTGTGTCAAGCTTACGCTTTACCCACTAGGCTACCCCACCGCCCCCATATTTCGAGATGAAATGAGAGAACAGAAAATTAAGCCAAATATCTTTTTTAACAGATAAAAATGCATGTTTTATTTGTGCATTATCTTTTATCAAAACATTATTACAACAGTCACAGGACATTTTCAGCAGCAGAAAATGCATGTATGTTCCCCAATGAAGACTTTCTTCAAACAATTGAAAACCCCTCCTTTTTGCATTAAAAGCATACTAAGCATTTAATTTGTAGCTGTTGAAGAAACTGTTTATGATAGTCACAAGAAAAGATAAATGTGATTGTGATTATGTTTTGTGTTTTGCAGGAGACGTCCTTGCATTACATCAGTGAGCACCAAGGCCTAGCGGACAGCGAGGTCTCTTCGAGGATCTGCCTGAACATCTTCAGGCTGAGGTTGAGGACGCCATTGCCTGGCATGGGTCAGTACATGGAACTTTGTGGATGCAGGGCCAGTTATGTCAATCACTAAGCATCAGTTGGGTGTCAAACACAGCCAAATCTGAGCAGAGTGTTTCCAACTAACTGAAGTGGGGAGCAGTTGGTCCTTGGCAGGATCAGTTGTCATGTGTTTAACCACTGGTCTAATACTGACTGAGATGTAGAAGACATTTTGTACTTGATAATAGGGGAAGTGCCATTACACATGTAGTTGAGATGTCCTGTGTCTCAACTCACTATAGCTATAATACTAAGGTTTTCCCATGCACATTTTGTATGCTTCTGTACTGACAATCAGAGTCAGTTATGTCAGTATCTTTGTAACTGACATCTGGGAGTGGTCAACCCTTGTTTGTTGTTCAGGGAACTTACATGTCTTCATACACTTACCCCAATGACTGTTACTCATAATGAAATTCTTCAAAGGCATTTAGAAGTTGGTGTAGTAATACAAGACAAATCTTATGGATAACAACTTCTTGATTAATTTTTCACAACGTTTCTGGGCTAGTTCTTGCCCCCTTCTTCAGGCGGATAATGGTGATAGTGAACAGTACAGTATATATATAGATGTACAGGAAGCCAGATATGTAAATTGAGTATATACAAGCGCAAGGGGGGGGAAGGAGATATAAATAAGTATGTACAACGATGCAGTGAGATCAAAGAGCAGAATACAATGATAGGGTATGTTATTACAATAAGGGCAAGGGTGTGTTTACATAGCAGAGTGGTAAAAGCAGATAAAGTTTGAGAGTCTATGATTTCTGGGTGATGAACCAGTCGCTGGGGAGGTAAACCCCTTGATCTCTGTTGATCTCAGGCACTAATCTTCTTATGGTGATTGACTCACACAGTTTTCTTTTGCGCCAATTGCTGATGTTGGAAGCCAGGATTTCATAATATTCATTACTAGCTTGGCTGGACCAGATTCAGTTATCTAAAGGCTGCCATCAACATTGTATTATCGCTGATACTATGTGTTGTATGAAGATATGAAAACCAAACCCGGTAAATCATGATTTTACTTTGTCTTAGACAGAAAGACACTGTATTAACCAGTGTAATTCTCGGGACAGTTTGAAGTATACAGTAAGTCAGTTCAGTCGATATAAGTATGTTATATTCCTTGTGTTTTGTGTTTCTGGCAGCCTGGAGCCGCGGACAGCTCGGTTACGTGCCGGACCCATGGTGGACACACCCAGCTCTATGTCCAGTGTGAGTGAGGTGGATGAGCTGATGACCAACATAGATCTCATGGACAGGGTGAGGAGAACAGCTTATGGTTTTAACAACACAAAACCACCAAAATATAAAACAAGTAATTCAAAAGCTGTGACTTTAGAATAATTGTTTTGAACTTTTTACCTTTTTGGTGATATTTGGTGTTAAAATGTGTATGCTGTGTTTGTATCTAATAGTTTTTCCTGAGAAAGAGATAAATGTACAGTGTTATTGTAAGGTACAGTTTGTCCAGTTGTTGTTAATGGTATTCTTGTACAGCCAAACTCGTCTCATGCACTGACTCACTTACAGTTTACTAATAAATAGTAATAGTCCGCTTATATGGCGCTCATATCGAGGCACATTGCCTGCTCATGGTACTACGTACATTACTATCCCCGGTCATGGGACACTATCGTACTTTCCGATACTTTTTCAACTCCATGGGGAGCATACAGCCATGCTGCCTGTCAGGCGCAGTGAACTAAACACTCACATTGCCAGCACATCCTCACGGGCACCAATTTTACAGCTGGGTGAACCGAGACAATGTGGATCTAAGTGTCTTGTCCAAGGATACTACGCAAATGTGCCAACCTCGGGACCCGGACCTAGGTGCCTCCCCCGGGGATCGAACCCGGGCCTTCAGCATGATAGGCAGACACCTTACCACTGCACTCCACAAATAAAGAATCTTTTTACTGACGAAAGCTGATATGTTTGATATCAACATACACAAGGGTGAAATTAACAACATTTTTAGTTTATAAACAGTAGTAACCGCGGTTTCAAGTAAAAACAGTACACCTATCTAGCTTCAGTGAGATCAGTGGTGTCATTTGATTGTATCATACACAAAAAGAAATACGATCCTTCTCTACACGTTCACTCATATTATGACATGATCAACAGTGGGTTAAATATATATAGTATCAAGGATGGTCAGTTCCTGGTCATGATGTTAAAAGAAGGGACTTGTTGTTACTCTGCCTGGTGCTCAGCACTAAGGGGATAGAACAAAGGCTGGTACACTCAAGGGTCAGTGTACTGTATCTGAGTGAAATATCCATTTTATACTTAAACATGCATGCTATAGAAGTGTAATAATCTTAAACACGGCGGGGCTGTTGGGTAGCCTAGTGGTTAAAGTGTTGGCTCATCCCGCCGAAGAACCAAGTTTGAATCCCCACATGGGTACAATGTGTGAAGCCCATTTCTGGTGTCCCCAGCCGTGATATTGCTTGAATATTGCTAAAAGCGGCATAAAACCACACTTACTCACTCACTCACTTAAACATGGCACTCACCTCCCTAATTAACTTACGTGTATCATTTCAGCCCCATGACTTATCCACCTCAAGTTCCTCTGAAGATTTACCATTTATGGAGGATCCATCACGCCTAGAGTCCTGCCTGGATGCTCTACGTGACATCGTTGGTGACACAGTGCCACAAGATGAACTCGTCCGCATAGCAATGGCTGCCGACTATGATACAAACCGAGCACTTAATTTCTTCTTCTCTTCATAGCACAGGGAGTCTTTTAGTATATTGTGTAATATAGGTTAATTTATATGAAATATTTGACTGAGATGTAAAGTCAAAGTATCTCTACTGCAGTTCAAGTGGTGCTTTCCAATTGGTGAGACGTCCTGACATCTTGGACATTGTTCTTCCTCTAGGATATCTTGACACATAACTGTTATAGCTTGTAAAATCAGCCAGTCTCTGTGGGCCTCTGTACAATCCTATACAACATGATATACAACACCTTACAGCATGATACCACATTATACAACCTGATATAATTATGTACAACATAATACATCCTACATGTTATACCACTATGCAAACTCATACGACACTGTACAACATGCTTGTAACATTGTATAACATTGTACAGCATGTTACAATATGTGCTGTAACACTGTGTAACATTGTATAACATTGTACAGCATGTAACATCGTACAGTGTGTCACAACTATACAACATTCTGTAACAGTGTACACTGTTACAACTATACAACATTCTGTAACAGTGTACAGTGTTACAACTATACAACATTCTGTAACACAATACAACTTGAATCAACTCTGTACTGCATGCTACAAGACTACACATACACTGAGTCACTAGCATCATGGCCAGATACACTGACCAGTATACAGTACATTTATAGGAGTTTCTCTGTGTGATATATCTAAATGCTTTGCCAGATATCGGCTTAATTTGTTCTAAGACTGATTCCTGGTTCCCAGGTTTTCTGTTACGCCCATGCAAATTAAGCAAAGGGGCTATCCAAAATTGTTAAAATTCTTTTTTAAACACTGAAAAAATAATATCCACCCTGCTTATGAAAGAATATTGAAAGCTGTATTATATATGTCAGTATATGACTAATGCAAGTGTACCAATGTCAGAAGTACCATGCGGTGCAGAGTTGTGTCCCTTCCCTATACCATACTTGGAAATGTAACAGTAAAGTGACATGGAATGGTGACTCATGTCTCAGATCTAAAGTTACTTCTATAAAAACACTTACATCTACAACTTGCAGTGCAGCAGAAGTGAGGCAATTTACAACACTAGGCAAACAAAATATGACGACAATACATGCCCACTGAGGCGTTATTTAGCAGATCTTGTTAATCGGAAGAGGTAATTACCTAATTACCAAGCTTTTTTCTTTGTTACATGAGTGCCCTTAAAAATATTAGGGCAAAGAAATTGCCTTGATCATTAAGGTTAATTAACAATTCCCTTCTTTTATTGAAATATTCCATTGGTTTGAAACATGGTACTTCAGGATCTAGGAATTTGTTTGTGTGACCTGTAGATAATTGTTGTAGACAAGTTATGAAAACATGTAAATTTTGTGGCAGTGTTTGTTCAATTTTGGGCTCCTGTTTTGTGAAACTTTTTCAAAAACAACAATGGTCTTTAGTTAACAGATTACTGAAACAATACAGGAACAATATCCATATCATTGCTGTGTTTCAATGTTGACCTAGGAATCATTCATTATGCATTTTCGTGTATCTTATGTTGCGTTCAACCAGTACCCATGGCTGTTTCTATGGTACTAGCTGTCTAAAGTCTTGCCTAAGTATTAAAGAACCTTGCTATACAAATATTATTTATCGATTTATCTTTCAAATGTTCTTCAAGTTAGTATTTTCTTGTCATTATTTTCTGAAGAATTTCATATTTCTTTTAGAGGTGTTGAATGTAATTTATGTGATAAAATGGTGATATTTATTACTACAAAAGAAAAGCTATTTATTATTGAATGAATGTGGTTAGTCTTCGTTTACCAGTGTACTGTTGACTATCAAACGTGATAGTTGTGAGAGAATGTTTCTCTTTTTCATATATGTATTAAATGCATGGCTTGAAAAGCAAAAAATCTTTTTCCGTTTTTTCATATAATCTACATTTATATCAATATTGAGTATTTTATTTTGGATTAAACAAGTACTTTTATGTCATACTTGCATTTATTTGTATTTAAAACGTAAATGATTTTCAGCATCGGTCATGCTTCCTCACTTCTTTTATTTATTGTTATAACATTTTCAGCTTATCATTACTGCTGAATACTACCTGTCAACAGGTACAAAATATATTTAAAAGTTACAATTCTAAATATTAAAAAATTTTGACCAGGAAGTGAAATTTTGTTGAATATTTTGTTTAAAACGTTCTTTAGAAATAGAATTAATACTCACACACTCTTTTGACTCAAGGTTCACTTGAGGTATATTTTGGAATATACAACAGCAGTGGGTTTTTTCCCCTTTCATTGGGTATTATGGATATTCTTTTATTCTAATATTCTCAAACTGATTTATGGACGATATACGTGTCCAAGGTGTATTTTGTAATGGATAGATGTTGTAACAAAGGTTTCCCTTCACTGAGTGTCCTGCATTTGTTTTAATTGTATTAATAACAAAATGTTTTTATTAGTTTTGATTTTATTCAGTGGCAAGCATAAAGCAAGTTCTCTTGGTATATTTAGAGGCTTGAGAGTCATTTGTTTCATTTGTTTGCTTATAACCTGATTACAATAAGATTTACACAGCAATCGGTTCTTGAATGCGTACCATCATGAGATCTCAGCCATAAGTAAGGTCTAAGGTCTCAAATGTGATGAAAATAGTTTCATAATAACAGTGTACCATATTTCCCCAGTTAAACATGGGGCTTGAATAACGGGGGGGTTCAATTAATTGCTTCATAGTTTTTTGCTTGGAATTCTCTGTTACTATCTTTCTGACTAAAGGGATTGAGAGTGTCCCAAAGTAGTATAGGTCTGACCCTTAATCAGGGAAATATGATATGTTGAGGTAAAGTTATCCAGTGGTTTTGAATCTGGGAAAGGAAATCCTGTGAACAGATTTGTCTAAAGGTCAACACATAATTACTGTACTGGGTTCCCAAATCTGCATTGATTGACGAGACTTCATCATGTCTTTCAGTGGCATTTAGAAGTTGTACATTGATGTCCAAGATATTTTTTTATGGATTAAACTTCTTTTTAAATTTCTCTCTAGCGTTTGAGACCATTCCAGGTCCCTTCATCAGTTCACCTGATGAAGGGACCTGAATGGTCTCAAACGCTGTGAGAGAAATTTAAAAAGAAGTTTAATCCATAAAAAATATCTTGGAGACTTCATCAGTTCTAGCGGAAGTCTAATAACAGTCTCCTGGAAACTAATCCATAAAGCGAAGTCATAGTTTCCTAGCAAATTGCCCGATGATAGAAAAATATCCTGAACATTATCCTTCTTGTGCTTGATACACATCATTTGTGATTTTTCACTTATATGCTGGTGGTAGAACATTAAGCAACACCTAATATTATCAATATTTTCAGGTATATATCTTGTACACTTTGTGAAAGTGCCAAGGTTACTTACTTTTAGAACAGGGGCTGTGGGGTAGCCTAGTGGTTAAAGCGTTGGCTCGTCACGCCGAAGACCCGGGTTCGATTCCCCACATGGGCACAATGTGTTAAGCCCATTTCTGGTGTCCCCTGCCGTGATATTGCTGGAATATTGCTAAAAGCGGCGTAAAACTAAACTCAGTCAGTCAGTCAGTACTTTTAGAACATGTATTAATGAATTTCTTGAATGTTCATCTTTTGACTAATGAATGAACACAGATATCCCAAATCATACGAGTTTCTTAGCTTTAAGACAGTTATCAACCCATGGAAGCATTCCTGATGTTTGTGGCACATTGCAAGATTATATGTTGCTTAACATTTGACCATGAGTATAAATTAAACATTATGCTAATCATTCCACACTAACTGACTGTCTTATTAGCCTTGAAGTCATTAAACTCTTGATGGAAAAAAACTGTGATTATTTCAAGAACCTGAACAGGCATTACATAATTCAATATTGCTATTTAGGGATCATAAGTTAAGACATCTTTGTGTGTAGCATTAATATGATTCAGTCCTGAGGATTGATGTAAATCAAAAGTCTATGTAAGTAGAATTGTTGTTACAAAGCTTATTTCAGATTTGTTCAGGATCATATCCCTTGAACATATTTTAATCAAATCCCCAACATCCATTGGTATTGAAACATATTTCATATTACCAATAAATCCGCTGTTACAGCATATTTTTGGAACTCAGTTCATCCTGAAATCATTGCTAAAATCCATATTCTCCATTTGTTTGTACCACTTAATTTTGAATAAGGTTGTGTTATTCTCTGTTAGTTTCCATCTCCTCAAAGTGAATATGTACAATACGGAGAATTTCTGACAGTAGAAACAGTTGTCTCAACCTACTAAGCTCATCACAGCCTATGCCGCAGGTAGTCCTTGGGAGGATGAGGCCATTCACGGCAGTTCAAGGCAGTGATCACACAGGTTATGCACTTGCAATGCTATTTACACCTACTTCAAGTAACAGTGTAAATGTTTTTGTACATTACTGTACATAAGCAACATATTGTATATACTGCAGTTTTGTACAGATTTACTATTTCTAGAGAGAGTTTCAGTATGAAAGTGCACTTAGCACTGGGCAGAGAACTACATTCTAAAGATTGCTTGTTGACTACAAACACATGAAATAAGTACATCCGCTTGAAGCAGCAGCAGTAATGGTTGATACATCTGTGATGGTACTACTTGCCCAGTGTTATCGAGCATATCTTGACATGGATATGGTTCATTCCCTACAGCTGAGGCCAGAGAATGGTGGACAAGACTGATGTGCAATCATTGTATTAAATACTTAAGCAAAGTGCTTGTTGTGTTATTTGTTGCTGTGAACTAGCATTCTAGGTAAAACTATACTGAACACACTCAGTTGGTCTTTGAAGAGGACACTTAGGGCTCACTTGTCTAAGACATATCACACTCGATAGAGTTGCATCCCTTTGACTTGCAAGGATGATCTTTGGTTTGGATGCCTGACTTATGAAATTATGATCCTTGGTCTACTGGTACGTACACGGGCTTTCATCACATGTTCAGCTGACAAATGTCCTGAAATGGTTAGAGTATGTCCCAAGCAACCTATGCTGGTTATTAGATGGTTATTAGACTACTAAATGGATTTGGTGATCCAGCTTGGAGAGTGATACCACCGATAGTATGATGTCATACCCGACAGCAAGGGACAGTGCTCATAATATCAATCACTAGTCGTCATATTGGTGGAATAATTCTGAGTGTGATGTTCAACAACAAACAGCTTACAATACACTAGAGATAAACGTGGCATGAAATGTTTCCAGCAAAACGTCAAAACACAACAAACACAGACGTATTTGATAAGAGAAATGTATTTATTTACAACTATGTATCTGGCTGTTCCATTTATTGCACATGGCTACATTGATGTAATCACAAAGCTTTCTTATGTACAACTGCCAGTTCTTCATAACATTCCTAGTAACAGAAATAATCACATTGAAACTTGATAATGAGAAATGAGTACATCGTACAATATGCGTATAAGCCATTAGTTCTTGAACCACATTAGTCCATACAAAGATTAGTCTGAGGATACAGATTATCTACACAATGCTTAAGATTCATAGAAAAGTGATAATTCCTCAATGAAAGCCAATACCTTTCTAAACAATGTCATTTCATCAAGAACATTGAAAATAGTTTCCACCATTATCCTATTTTAATGTAATATCTGCATTGGATCGGCCTTTGAGAAAACAACTACATTTTTTGCATAAAGAAAAGCAAATGGGAGATAAGTGCCCTCATTTTATGAAAAATGAACTGTCATTCATATTTCTATTTTACTTGTTCAGAAAAAAAAAACGAACTTAAGGTTGACTCCAGCAACATGCCAACTTAAGTTATAAATTCTTTACTACAATGCAAGGAGGGCTACAAGTTGCATTAATGTTGAAATACCCACCCTAGTCTAACATGACAATTATTGCTTTTCCATCCTAACAACTCTTGCTGATCTGATTTTATGGAGTATGTACGCCAATCACAACATCACTAATAATGTTTGGCAGCCATATAATCGGATTTAATTACAACCTGATGGAACAACATGTACTCAGAAACCGATTCCCATCACACTGATAACCTATTATATTGTTTTCTATTGTTCTAAACATTTGTCTTTAGAAGCATTTTTCACATGGCAAGTATGTTTGATTACCTTCCTAGTCTCCCAGAGATTACCAGTCATCAACAGAAAGTGTAATATCGTCCGATCATACAGAAAGATTAGGTAACCCGTATGTAGGTGAATCTGTAGTATATATGTTAGTAGTTTTGTTCATGATGCTAGATGAATATAAGGAACGTCCAAACATGTCTGTACAATATTTACATCAGTAGCACTTTCATAGAAACAAATTACATCAAGGACCTTATGCATAATGATTAATGATTGTGGCACCATGTATAAGATGAGAAGAGCAGCACAAGCAACTTGACAGTACAGATGTGGGTCCTAAATCCACAAAGCATATGTAATGGTCCAACCTACTGGAACTACACAGTGTATCATAGGATCCTGAATAACAGAACACATGTCAACATTAACCATGTTCTCGAGCTGGTGGATGTACCTAAGGGCTGCCTCTGTCAACTATAATTTCTGTAACTCAACTAGTTTTATTTACTCTTATGAAACATTTGTAGGTCAATGTGCTGAGATGCAGGAACAAATGTAACAGGGCTGAACCAAAGTCCAATATATCTTAGTAACATTAACACTGAACTTTGACTCAGACTGTATATTTCTGAAGAAAGACCATGATGAATGGCAAATATCATCAGGACATCTTCATGATTTCATCAATGCTTGTTGGGACAATCTTTTGTATCGTTACCAAATTTGAATGAGATCTTCTACATTTCAGAAAAAGAATCAAAGTCCTTGAATATATATTGATCTGAACAGAATGGAAAGTGTTGCTTGCTCCTTTGCTTTCACAAGCAAACTATAATGCAGTTTCAAGAAAAATATTAACAATTTGTTAAATACATTTTATGCCATTTACTCAGTATTGACAGAGAGGTTTGTCCCTGTTAGTTCATATCAAATAATGCTGAGGCTGGGTCAGAAAGGAAAATAATTATTTCAGTGTTTTTCCAGCTTCATAAATAGATAAACCTCCCAAGTCAGAGAAAATTGCTGTATGGAAAACAACCAGGGATGTTACCTGGCCACCCCTCCAATACTGCCGACCTGTGTGACCGCAGGGGCATGGCACCAGCACAGAGAACAATGTCTTTAAATCACAGCAGACAAGGAAGCACTACACAGAAAGGTTCAACAAAACAAGGTACTATGGCCCTACAGATCAACATTACTATATCCCTTTGAAGCTAATGTCATTGTCGGTTAATGTAACCATGATAGCAATATAAACTGACTCAGTTTCTTCACAGCCTCTGGAATACAGATAACATTGTGGCTATCATGGCAGAAGTGATCCTTAGCACTCCATGCTTGTTGAAGAGAAGGCTATGATAAGGATCTGTTGGTCAGAGAGTCTGACCTGGCTGAATGTGTGTCATCGATGTTGATCATGCTCATGACAGCAATCATTGGTTTCCCTGGTTGCGACATGATTGATAACTGCGACAGAAACATCATCCCTTCAATCACTATAATGGCTCTAAGTTGGCATAGCACGAATAAGCGGCAGTTGTCCCCGGTGTGTCAGGTTAGTCGAATATATCACAGGATGCATTATGACAATCACAACACAGCTGACAGATGTCAGATCTACATTACAATACACTAGGCAATATGTCTCACATGGTGATGGGTCCCTGTATCATTGTGTTTAACATTACTGGAATATCTGTAAGCATAGGTCTCTATATTTGCTGTTCAGGACTACTTTGCATGAGGTAAAGATCACATTGAGTAAATGTGACAGAGTTGACGATGATCACAGTAACTGCAGGATGCTCCACACTGAAGCTGGACCAGCAGAGCAACCTATCACAGTCTCACAGAGTCTGTCAAACAAGTCATGTGTGTCTTTCTTTAGACTGAGACAGACAGATGTAAGAATGATATAATAAAGCTGAACAGTGTCCGATCTTTGTGAACATGTTCGGTGGGCAGATGCAACATCCTTCCAGTCTTGTCACTCCTGCAACCCCTGCGTACAGACACTCATGGATGCCTAGGTTTCTGCTGTAGAAAGGCTGAAGCATGAAGGTCACAGTTTTAACACTCCTTATTCCTGTTGAGATTAAAGCATGGACCCTGAGACTATGGACAAACACCTCAACACATCACAGATCTCTTTATACCATTCATTGTTACATGCAGAATACACATCACCTTTCATCTGAAACAGAAACCTTTACCATCCACATTTAGCTTAGCAAGGTAGTGGTATCACATCCTGAAACATGTACTTCCTGTGCAGTAGAGGTTGAAGCAGGAGAATGTGGCACTGACATATGAGCTGGACTGACAGGTGCAGGTGCTTGTGAAGAGATGCCAACTTGCACTCTCTACATAATAGTTTCTCAGTGTAGCTGGCTCTCCCTGTATCACAGACTATGTCCTCATCTTCTGTTTGGTATCACATGTTATATTGAAGGAGTAAGTTCCTTGAGTGTGGAAAGACACAAATGATGGCATGAACTTGCACACTTTGCAAGAAACTGTGTCCTATCAAGTACGCACAGTCCTCCGACGAGATGCATTTGGTGCTGCAAAGCAAGGAAACACACTTATAGATGTCTAGTCACAAATACACATATTATGCATATATATATATGTAATTTTTTGAGTAAAATTGATATTTTATACTTATCCTGACTCATGCTCCTTTTCTATGTCTTCTTCTTCTTGCGAACATAGTGGAACACTTGTATCTCCCTAATTGAAGTTCCCTTCAATGTAAAATCACTAATTAGTACACCATGAGTTACCTCCCTTCCACAAGCGAAGGAACGAGGGCGCCACCTCTACCCATGTGCCTCACTCTCTCCTCATATACTGAGCCCAACATTTGAATTTACAGGGAAATCCAAAGTGTTATTTAGGGAGGATGGGAGGGCTGACCTCATGAGTCAGGGTAAGTATAAAATATCAATTTTACTCTAAAAATTACATATTTTTCCTTATCCTGACTCATGCTCTTTTGCTTGTAGAATCCTGCGGAGCGGAGGTGGGAATATATAATACTTTGGATTTTAATAATTAGTGATTTGAAAAGTGATGATTGTAATAACCCTATGGGAACTTCATAAAGGCACTGAACTGATGAATTCCTGCTGCTAACTTATCAGCTGCCATATAAAGGTTATTACAATGTACTTATTATGATAAAGTATATATAACATTAATACAATGCTTAAGACTAATAGACTTAAGCTTGTTAATATGCTAGTATAAACTCCTTAGAGTTTGTTAGCTAAATTACTTTAAAATATAAACATAGTACTAAGCTTAAGATATGATTAAACTTAAGCTAATTATATAATAGCAAAACTCTTTTAGAGTTTGTTAGTTAATGTACTTATATGATATAGACTTAGTGCTGAGCTTAAGATATGAATAAGCTTTAGCTACATATATAATAGCAAAACTCTGTAGAGTTTGTTAGCTAATATATTTTTACAATATGAGTATAGTACTGTGCTTAAGATATAATTAACTTAAGCTACATATATAATAGCCAAAACTCTGTAGAGTTTATTAGCTTATAGATTTATAATGTAACCATAGTACTAAGCTTAAGATAAGATTAGACTTAAGCTAAATGTATATAGCAACAAAAAACTCCTTAGAGTTTATTAACTAATATACTTTTATGTTATAACCATAGTACTGAGCTTAAGATATAATTAAACTTAAGCTATATATATAATAGCAAAACTCCGTGAGAGTTTTGTTAGCTAATACATTTTATAATGTAACCATACTGCTTAAGATATGATGAAACTTAAGCTAATTGTATAATAGCAAAAACCCTTTAGAGTTTGTTAGCTAAAATACTTATATGATATAAACCTAGTATTGAGTTTATGAAGGAAACCTTAAGCTACATATATAATAGCAAAAAACTCCGTAGAGTTTGTTAGCTAATATACTTATATGATATAAACATAGTATTGAGCTTTGAAGGAAACCTTAAGCTACATATATAATAGCAAAAACTCCGTAGAGTTTGTTAGCTAATATACTTATATAATATAAACATAGTATTGAGCTTAAGATTTGAAGGAAAACTTAAGCTACATATATAATAGCAAAACTCCGTAGAGTTTGTTAGCTAATACAAGTTATAATGTAACCATAAAGCTTAAATTATGATGAAACTTAAGCCAAATATATAATAGCAAAAAACTCTTTTAGAGTTTTGATAGCTAATATACCTATATGATATAAACATAGTACTGCGCTTAAGATATGAATAAGCTTAAGTTACATATATAATAGCAAAACCCGTAGAGTTTGTTAGCTAATACATGTTATAATGTAACCATATTGCTTAAGATATGATGAGACTTAAGCCAAATAGCAAAAACTCTTTAGAGTTTGTTAGCTAATATACTTATATGATATAAACATAGTACTGAGCTTAAGATATGAATAAGCTTAAGCTACCTATATAATAGCCCAAACTCTGTAGAGTTTGTTAGCTTATATATTTTTTACAATCTGAGTATAGTACTATGCTTAAGATATAATTAACTTAAGGTAAATATATAATAACCAACTCTGTAGAGTTGTTAACTTATATATTGTATGATGTAATAATCATTGTACTGTGATGATAAAAAGAACTTAAGCAAATTATATATAGCATGTAGCTATTTAGTACTGTTATAAGATAAGTAGAAATCTGTAAGATTGACTTATCTTCTCCGAGGAACTGTCAACTGTTGTGCGAGGACCATGGGATCGAATTGGTGGATACCTGAGACGTCCTCGGTGATGATATCTCTCAGATAATGGTTGGCAACCACCATATCGGATCTCCAGAAAATAAACCCTCCATTATTTCAAATAACATTGTGTAGATCAATTGTAGAAATTAGCGCTCTAATATCATGAGTATTAAAAGCTCATGGAGGGTCGGATTGTGTCCATCCGTCTTGTATGCACGTAGTATGACAGTTCTGATCCAAACGGAGATATAGTACGTGAGATTTCATTCTGCGTAAGTTGATGATAGAGGAAATAATCTGTTGCATTTTTCCCTTCTGTTTGGTTCGGTGGAGATAATTTTACAGTGCTCTTGCTGGCCATCGTGATAGAATCATCGTATCATGGAGTCCAAGTATGTCATCCAGGCGTGTTCATAAACCTCACTTGTGAGGTGTTGGAGCACTATATTCAGATCCCCAAGTTGGAGGGTGAAACTTCCGTTTTAATTCTCCAATCAGAAAGTTTAAGTAGGTTTACTAACCATCTAGTTGTGTTAGTAGCTTGATTATGAAATTCAGCTGTAGTCTGAGACGCTGTGGATTTAGATCCACTTGTATCCCGTCGTCTACGTTATTAAGCTCGCGAAGTCCTTGACGATGTAGGTGCACACCCAGGTGTGTCTGTCCTCGTTGAACTTTATGTAAAATTGCCTGACTGCCGTGCCTCGTCCTAACTTGACAGGGGAGGTCTCTAACCTGAAGAAAGCAGCCCCATCATGAAAGTTCAGATTAACTGGACTGTAAGGAGGCTTGCTCGCGTTCACTGATATATAGTTGTCACTTGTAACGTAAGTCTTGAACTGTGAACTAAGATCGACCTATGCGTGGAGTCGCGTTGTCCAACGCGGTCCAATCAGAACAAGGCATTTTGATTCTGTAGAATACCCAGCTGTGATGTCACGGTGTAGCAGGAAAAACCTTGTATAAAATCTTGCCGCCGTTGATATTAGCATAATCGCCGGTCTTCACCGTAGCTTCGAAGTTACCCGAAAGTGACCACGTGTTTCGAGGGTTAAAGGTAAACGTATTGAAACCTCGGCGAAATACCTCGCTCTGTAATATTAATGCTGGGTAGATTATTTTCCTGGCTGTCGTGAAAGTAACTTCAGTTTTGAATATAATTCCAACTTCCTTATATAAAGGTACAACAAACTTGCAAGTTGTCAGCTTGTAGACTGTATACATGAATGTATCGTCATAATTGTAGAATTAAAGCTGAACTTGTTGTACATATTTCTTCTCAGACACTTTGACGATTATGAGTTATACTCGCTGTAACAAAGCTGCTGTTCAATTTCGATATTGAATTGTCTGCAGATCTGCGTAATGGTCACACATGTAGATAATCGTATCGTAGTCCGGGATTGCATATTCTAGCAATCTATAACGGAAAGGTTGATTCCTGTGAAGATCTATGAAACGCCGTTGACTAATTAATACAGCGACGTTCTGTGTTGTAAATAGCCTGTGCAATTGTCTTCGCGTAGGCTTATAGACGGCATATGGCATACAGTTGATAGACAACTTATGCGATGTCTTGAACGGACTGACGAGTAGCTATATATGACGAGTGGCTAATATATGGAGACCTTGGAGGAGATTTCCTCGGTGGACGCCAGAGACTTCGCGAAGCTCTCGAAGTATCCATTCTAGATTTTCTGTGTGAGGTAGACTTGAAGCCACTTAGCCTTCGCGACCTTCGCGAAGGTATCGGTCAGAGCCCGATCAGTATATATATAATATATGAGTGCTTGCTTCGTGAACGACCTCTGTGTTCAACAGGAGTGAGTGAGTGTTTTGTTTTACGCCGCACTCAGCAATATGTGGGGTCGGTGAAGCGCTACTCCTCCGTGACGTCCCTTGTAACTGGTGAGGCACTAGCTCCTTCGCGGAGGTGGCCTGGGACTTCCTTAGCGAAGTGTCTAGAATCCGATCAATATATGAGCGTTAGCTTCATACAGGGTGTGGTTCTTGCTGGTTCTGCATAAGTAGAGCCGAGTAGATCATCCTATCATCTTCAGAAGTCGTGTCACGAAATATGGTGATAAGAATCTCATTGATCGTTCTAGATCTATTAAGGCCAAGAACATACGCCTCTGGCGTTTGAACTGTTATGGCTTTATGGTAGGCTGTGTCCACATACTGTGGCACCGCAGCAATCGAGTCGATCGGAGGTAAGGTGATGGCGTCTGCCTCGTCTTCCTTTATCAGGTATGTCTGCGCCGAGTTGCCACTCTTGGAAGGTGAAGAGAGATCTAGGTTGTTTACCATCCAATATCGTATCTCAGCGTCTGAGAAAATGATGCCTCCATCATATTCTATCCCAGCATCGCTGATGAGAGGTTGATGCTCTTCTGATGGTGGACTGTGTATTTCTATCTCTATGTCGGGTGACGCTCGGGGAGACCTGACTGTAGACTTGTGTGCAGACTTGTGTGGTGACCTGTGAGATGATCGACGTGGTGATGTACGAGGAGATCGGCACGGTGAACGGCGCGGAGATCGTGTTGGTGATCTGTCTATGGGTTGACCTTCTCGGAGACCTGTGAGGAGAATGTTGATAGCTTCGCGAAGCTCTTGTGTAGTCAGGTGTCCTTCGCGAAGCTTCCTCTGCGTCCGGTCCTGGGGAACGGCGATTTGACCTTCGCGAAGGCTTCCGTGAGGTCTGATGGTCTGAGTCCGCATCTAAGGATGAAGCCGAGGAAGGTGATGATCTATCCCGCCTTCGCGAAGGCTGTACATCTGGGTCCTTCGTCGAGGTGGTCTGCGACTTCCTTCGCGAAGGTGGCTTCGTCGTGGCTGCTACGCTGATGGGGGTGCCTCTGGGGTGTCGTCTGCGTTGGAACCTTCGCGAAGGCTCAGGCCTTGGGCTGGCTGCTTCTCCAGTCTGTAGTGGCCCTCCATCATGATCATGATTTGCCGCAACAGTTCATCTGGGATGGTCTGCGACGAATTAGTCGGTGCCCTCTCTGCGATGTTAGCGGCGGGGCCCTCAGGGAAGTCGTCTGACGTCAGAGTAGAGACCTCAGGCTGCATGGCGATCTCTGCTGATGTCACTGTAGCTGTCTCCGGTCGCTTCTTGTGGCGTTACGTCGGGGATGATGATCGGCTGATCATAGTAGAGGCCCAGTTCAGCGGCTGGAACAATCTCGGTTGAGAAAGTCCTAGTAGACTTCGTTGATTTCCCCTCAGAGGTCGCGTTGAGATGCAGTAGAAACCCTCTAGTCTTCGGCTGCGACGATGGGATGTCTGGGGAAGCAGGACGCTTCTTGGAGGCGGCGGACTACGTCCCACGCCTCCCTACCACTCTAGCGGAACACCAGACGGGAGGGGGGTCGACCAACAGCAGTAGACTGGCGAGGGGTTCAGGTGTATCAGTCATGGCTAGACTCTGCATACGCGACCTATCTGCTGCGCGTCTCAAACGCAAAGTAATTATTTATTAAAGGTAGAATTGGATAAATGAGTATCGCAACTGCAACGTGAATAACATGAAACATGGCGCAGTACAACTAGGGCATATTAAATGCGGATCAGCAGCAGAATAAAAAACGTAATGTGCAACAGTACAGAATTTTTATCAACGTAATCCACTGAAACAGCACGGGCGTCCGTGCATAAACAGTAGAAACACGACTAAATATCAATATATAATTGTTGAAGGATACTAGCTAAACCTCTATAGATGTCTATACGAGGTAACTAACTAAATATAATCAAAGGATATAGTGTGTCGGGAGACACAGGCGCTCTCACGTCCAGCTCACTGGGCGAAGAAGGAGAGAGTGAGGCACATGGGTAGAGGTGGCGCCCTCGTTCCCGCGCTTGTGGAAGGGAGGTAACTCGTGGTGTACTAATTAGTGATTTTACATTGAAGGGAACTTCAATTAGGGAGATACAAGTGTTCCACTATGTTCGCAAGAAGAAGAAGACAAGCAAAAGAGCATGAGTCAGGATAAGGAAAAATATATATATATATAGACATTCCTCAAAAGAAGTCAAAGGAGTATTGACTGTTTCAAATGACTACAGTTAACCTGTAAGATAACCTCCAATGTTTTTCACATCTATTTCATGCCATGGCTGATTAATTACAGTGATATGAAAACATCATGTGTGTTTTAACTTCTGTTCTGTATCCACTGGTTTATTGTTAAGAGCAGGTGTCATCTCTTAAGAAAATACATCAAATATTGATAAATACTAAACTATTTTTCTATCATGTGATTAATTTCAAGAAGCTAATTTGAAATGACAACCTGTATTTACTTTACAACCTAACCACAAGCCCATCTGCCTCAAGTAATCCAGTAATAGGTATCAATGAGGTGAACAGATATATATTTGTATAGATACTTGTTGTCAATGTTCAGACAAGTACTGAGGAAAATTATTTTTTCAACATGTAAGTCACTAGTTCAAACTGAAGCTTATTTCTTAAGCCATATTGATCTGGTTACACAACCTTGTACAGAAACGACTTTGTGATATCAGAAAGAGTCCAGACAACATATCTCCTACAAACCCAACCAAATTCAGGTGACCCAAGAGCATATAAAATTACAAATGATATGGTCACTTAATATCAAATCCTCTATGACTACCTTGTTTATATAACATGACTCTGTGTACAAGAATGGCAGCTATCACTATATTGTGGACATATTATAAACACACAATACTGTCCTCTGCACATAGTATGATGACGTCCTCTACAGACAACACACCAAGACAGAGGACATCTTATATTGTGGACATACTATAAACACATGATACTGTCCTCTACACATAGTATGATGACGTCCTCTACAGACAACACACCAAGACAGAGGACATCTTATATTGTGGACATACTATAAACACATGATACTGTCCTCTACAGTAACCACACCAAGACAGAGGACGTCCTACTTTATGATGTAATAAATGGTGGAAGACCTTAAAATGTAATATCACAACATGACTAAAAACACTCATTCACACATGATTAATTCACTGAACTGTTCTTGTGAATCTGCAAATTAGAGTATCAACATGTCTCTGATTAGATTGCTGTGAAAGAGGCTCCAAAGGGAGTTAACATTAAAACAACATTTAATCAGGTTTCACCACACAAGTGCTGTTAAGAGAACAATGTTAGTGAGGTCAAACGTAGCGAAGGAATGACAAACTCAGAATGCTTCCTCTATACTATCCTCCATCAGGCCCCACAGCGACACCTTGGCTGAAACATGGCAGGAGGAGGGTGAGCTATGGCCATTCCAAGCTGAGGGAAACTGAGATGAAATGTGGGTGGGGGACAGCTACAGTTTGTACAGGTGATCTGGGGGCCCTTTCTCACTGCCATACAGTTCTACAACTGCCGTAACTTGGTGCATGCTTGTTGGGTAATCAGTAATGGTAATCAACTTTTCCCACTTGTCAGGAGTAAACTCAAAGAGTCAAGCCTGAGCTTGAAGCCTTAAGGTGGTCAGAGTTCAAAGATTAAACAGAGTTGCTTTCTTCTGTTACAAAGACAGACCTCCATTTATTGTGGACAACATGAGAGTGGACATGAAAGGTATCTCTGTATTCATGTGTTCACCAAATAAATATATATATCATTGTTATAATTTTTTAAACTGATCAAGCTTAAATTACAACTGTGGTAACCTAACATCCAAATCTGAATGTTTCACATCTAACATTATTTCATTACATAAATGGGCACAGGTACACTCCTTCAGTACCAAATACTGCAGCATACATAAGTGATGACCCTCTACTCTCCTATAGTACTACACATCAGTAAGCATGTATCAGGAGACTGCGGAGCCTGCCAGGGGTACTCACGCCACTGGTTGTGTAGTGGACTCTCCTCCATCCCTTCATTCTCCATGATGTTCGGTGGAGGGCCGAGGTCGGACGAGTGCTGGAGACTGCTGCCTGTGATTCCCAGAGACTTGCTGCCTACATGACAAACAATGGTACAACAGTCAAAACCAACACAGGTCTACAGCAGTGAAAAGCCCTACCAACAAAACTCCATTATGTCCGCCAGCCATTCAATGTACATGTGTCACAAAAACCAAGCTTCCCGGTGGGAACAATGGCACAGTCAGCAGTTTTACATCAGGAGATCATCATGTTCAACCAGTTCACACCAAGATTTGGTTTTTCTCTGGTGGTCACCCATTTAAGTGCTATTTGATTCTTGGCAGCCATTTTGCCTCCTAATCTCCAGTGGTGAACCAACTTACCATGAAGCATACCCCTGCTGTATCCCAGCGGTGTTGACGACCGCCGCCCTGAAGTTCCCATTTGAAAAGGAGTATCAGACTGAAAGATATAAAACACCATGTTATTCTTAAATCACAAAACAATTAACTAGCAGCCTTGACAAAAGAAATACTGAAACTAATACTAATACAGAATTGTAAAGAAATGCAACCATTCAACAAAAAGGAAACAAAATAGTTTCTGATATGTGATGGTATGTGTGTGAACAAGAACCCCATACTTTCAAGCTAGGGGGGCGGTGGGGTAGCCTAATGGTTAAAGCGTTGGCTCGTCACGCCGAAGACCCGGGTTCGAATCCCCACATGGGTACAATGTGTGAAGCCCATTTCTGGTGTCCCCCGCCGTGATGTTGCTGGAATATTGCTAAAAGCGGCGTAAAACCAAACTCAGTCAGTCAAGCTAGGACTCTCACACGGGGCGTGATGAAAATCCATCAGCGTTTGAAAGGTTATCCGGTAGGGGTGAAACGGTATACCATGGTATTAGTAAAACCACAGTATTTGGCCTTTGGTTCAGTATACCTTAATACAATCCTAAAATTCGATATTTTCGTTTTTTGTACCATCATTATATTAACCTTTTTAAACCTTTTCTAAAATGTCTAGAAATGGAATCATTTTGTCAAAATCTATCTACGTTTGGCTCTTGTTGTCAATTTTCTTCATTTTGATCATATCTCATATACCAAACCGAAGACCTCAATACGTACCTTACCATGGAAAGAGAGTACCATTTCACCCCTATTATCTGAACACTGTTATGATATTTATCAAGTGAACTCAGCACTTTGATAACCCAAGGAATTGTTTCCCAGAAGGCCTATCTTAGCTTAGTTTGGTAACAATACATCAATGCTGTTCAAGTTCTCCTCAGAATGTAACTGTAATAGCTTACTCTCATTGCATGAGTTGTACTGGGCCTCGGGTCGATGGATGGGTTGCTCTTCTCTCGGTTGAAGTGAAGTGTTCGCACATCCTTATTCTCAATAGCACTACTGACTCGTAACGAGCTCATTTTCCGCTACAAAAAAGGAGTCACATAAAAGTAATCATCGTATAGCATTCATAACAGTACATCAGCATCATACATACATTCTCAAAGAGGGATAATAACATGAGTCACTTGCTATGCTCCATTTTGTTTTTAGCACAAACACAGCATTTAAAAACATTGGTTCCAGCAAGGTTCCTAATTTACTGTCGCTGTCTTCATGGTTGCTGTAGATGATAGTGACAACTGTTCCTATGTATAGAAGTATCAGTCACAGATCTGTAATCTCTTACAAGGTGTCCTCCAAACTCAGGAAGATAGCATTCAACTGTGTACAAGTACACTTGCCAGTTTACACATTGTGAGACTTGTTTTAACATAATGTCTTTGTGACATAGTCTCCAATGTCAGACCGAGTGATCAGCACGTACCTTGCCCTTCTCCTGCTGCAGGTCGTAGGCTAGAGGTGGCAGGGCGGTGTTCTTCTGTATGGGAGCGGGGGTTATTCTCTTGATGCTGATACTATTTGGCATCTCCTCCTCCTATTCAAAAAACACAATTTGTAACAGGAACTCACAAGTCATGAAAATCCATTATGCTAATCTGCAAAGTCTTCCAGCCAATTCACAGACTAGTCAAAGCAACCATTGAGGTGTTGATGCCTACGTTCCCCTCTATATGATTAAGTTCTGTCTTTATGTCATATAATATGGGTGGGGTAGCCTAGTGGTTAAAGTGTTCGCTCGTCACGCCAAAGACCCAGGTTTGATTCCCCACATGGGCGATTTCTGGTGTACCCCGCAGTGTTAGATTATTTAGATAATACAATATAGATCTTCTTAAAGCAGATCACCTAAAAGGCACAAAGTCACAACTGCATGTCACTGTAATTTCATTGTCTTGTCATATTCAGCTGTCTGCCAGCTGAATGATTCAGGCTAACTTTATATTTTAGTTGTATACAACCAATTTTCTCACCACACTTGGTGTCTTGGATCTGTCAGGGAGAGGTGCCAAGGCCTTACGCCGACTGGGTAAGGGCAGCATCTTCACACTGGTTGGTCGCTTGCCGATCATGCTGGAGCTAGGGCGGGCCGGAGATACAGACTCCGAATCTGTCGACTCTCTGTTTTAGATGAAACATTTGTCAAAAACTTAGCTAGGAGAGTCTGCATGTTCAACAAAAATGTTTTACATTCATATAGTTGCTATATCCCTTGACATATGTATTGTATTATACATTCACTCCTAACACTCATAAATTATGAGACCCATGAAGATCCGGGGTAGAATAGGTCTTCAGCAACCCATGCTTGCCACAAAAGGCAACTATGCTTGTCGTAAGAGCCGACTAACGGGATAGGGTGGTCAGACTCGCTGACTTGGTTGACACTTGTCATCAGTTCCCAATTGCGCAGATCGATGCTCATGCTGTTGATCACTGGATTGTCTGGTCCAGACTCGATTATTTACAGACCGCTGCCATATAACTGGAATATTGCTGAGTGCGGCGTAAAACTAAACTCACTCACTCATAAGTTATGAAAATATATCTCACTGAACTGTGAGTCAAGCGATCAAAAAACATCTAGAAACTTTTATTGCTGGCAATGACTGACTTTTACCAGAAGCAAAATCTTGTGTCATATTCAAATACAAATTGAGAATGGACATAATAAACTCCATAATGGACATAAAACTGTTATATAATGGCAAATAATCTTACGGTGCATTCTTGTTTTTGAGAGTAACCCTGGAGATCTGAAGACAATCATCTATGGACTTTTGAGGGTCTGTTGTGCCGATGTGTGTGTGTGCCCGCTGTAGAGACAGTGCTTGGAACTGCTGCAATGAAACATTGACACACTGGTACAGATTCCACTGGCAATTACCACATCTTGTAGTTATAGCAATAGCTGATGTTCAAAATTCACTGACTTTGGAAAAATGAAGATGATATTTTCTTCAAGTGTATTCAACAAATGATGCTCTCCTTCTCGTCATCCATTAATCCAGTAAACTGGATTCCATCTGGAATTTCAGTAATCAACTCTCTCACACAATGCATCATAACAAATACAGAGGAGAGATGTATTATCTGTACCTCAGTGGAAAGATATACGAAATACAAGACTGTGAGCACAAATTGGCTTGACACTATGGAAAAGATTCCGACACAGCTTCCTATTCACAGGTAACCATCTCCTGCCAGACACAATATAGAATCCCAAAGATGAATATGAAAAAAGTGAAGTCAAATGACCTTGTAGCAACAGAGGTTGCTACCCATCAATCCAGCCGAGTGTCATCGATACACATGAAAGCCCCATATATGGTGTCATATCTGTCAGATTATCTCCCTTTAGATGAAGGATAATAAAAGGGAATTGCACAATTTAACCAATGCAAAAGGTTGTACTGAAATTAAAAGTAATTTAATTTCTTCAGGTGTTATGTCATGACTGATGATATAGGCTTATCAAGTGGCCTGTAGAAGCACAATGAGTTAAGGTGTACGTACTCTGGGTTGCATCAAGCCCATATAGGAGGACTCCCTGGTTGTGCGGCCTGGGTCATGCAGGCCGATGGGCGACACATGGAACCCTGATGAAGGCACTAGATCTTGTTTGGATTCTAGAAAACAGCAACAAGTATTGTCACAACAAAAATAATACCACTGCTCACATCTAAGCATAAATTGAATGATTACATGTAGTGAAAGTGGCATGTCAATGATTACTAAGAAACCTTATGGATAACAACCCGTTGTAGAGCTTGGCCCTCATCACATGAATACTTAGTGAACATTCCAAGTTAATATATGTATATGCTCATATGTCATCACGTTCTTTCAACTACCAAATGCCTATCAAACACTTGAATCATAATGTCTTCTACAAAGTAAACATGTTTTCTTTTATTAAGTTACAATTCAAACATACCTATTAGATTGGAATACTCCTTAATGATTGGCCTCATCCAGGAGATGATCTGAAATAATACATGCATGTTCAAACTTTTACAACTAAACCAAATCACTTTACTGTCTCAGTAATCAATATATATATTATCAATGACTAGCCTGATGTTGTTGATCTGTCAGAGATATCATAAAGGATATATTTCTTAACACTTACCCATACATTCTTATCGAACCATGCACTTAGTTGTTTCTGTTTCATTAAAAACTTTGAGACTGATCTTGGTACGTAAGAGATCTAGGTACGTAAGAGATCTTGTTACATAACAGAAAATGTTAAACATCCACTGTGACCCCCATTAATTCACCATGGGTTGTATCACTGGGTGATTTCCCTCACCTCATTCCACATACAGTCGAACACGGAACTAGCTACGCTATCTTTGACACAAGCATTAGGGGTGATGGGGGGATAACCTATCCGTCGTCGTCGAGGGGTGATCTGCTTCTTGTGTTCAGAGTCTTCGTGGCTGTAACACAGGCAACACACTTACAATGTCAGACTGATGGGTGATATGTACAGTGATATTTGGCTTGTGATTGTAACTGTGATACCTGGAAAGAATATGTAATGTGATACTAGGCTCATGACATGATACAAATAGCAATACTTGACTCATGACATGATACATATAGTGATACTTGACTAATGACATGATATATATATAACGATACATGACTCATGACATGATACATAAAGCCTTACTTGACTCATGACATGATACATATAGCCATACTTGACTCATGACATGATACATATAGCCATACTTGACTAATGACATGATACATATAGCCATACTTGACTCATGACATGATACATATAGCCATACTTGACTAATGACATGATACATATAGTGACAGTTGACTCACGACCTGATACATATAACCCGTGAAGGTCTGGGTTATAATTAATCTTCAGTAACCCATGCTTGTCGTAAGAGGCGACTAACGGGATCAGGTGGTCAGGCTGTCTGGATCAACACATGTCATCATATGCCAATTGCGTAGATCAATGTTCATGCAGTTGATCCCTGGATTGTCTGGTCCAGACTCAATTATTTACAGACGCCACCATATAGCTGGACCATTGCTGAGTGCGGCGTAAAATTAAACTCACTCACTCACATGATACATATAGCAATACTTGATTCATGACATGATACATATAGACATATAGCGATGCTTGACTCATGACATAACACATATAGCGATACTTGACTCATGACATGACACATATAGCAATACTTGACTCATGACATGATACAAAAAGTGATACTTGACTCATGACATGACACATATAGCAATACTTGACTCATGACATGACACATATAGCGATACTTGACTCATGACATGATACAAATAGTGATACTTGACTCATGACATGATACAAATAGTGATACTTGACTCATGACATGATACATATAGCAATACTGGATTCATGACATGGTACAACTAGTGATACTTGACTCATGACATGATACATATAGCGATACTTGACTCATGACATGATACACAAAGTGACACATTGACTCATGACATGATGCTTATTGTGATACTTGACTCATGACATATATATACCGATACTTGACTCATGACATGACACATATAGCGATACTTGACTCATGACATGATACATATAGCAATACTGGATTCATGACATGATACAAATAGTGATACTTGACTCATGACATGACACATGTAGCGATACTTGACTCATGACATGATACAAATAGTGATACTTGACTCATGACATGATACAAATAGTGATACTTGACTCATGACATGACACATATAGCAATACTTGACTCATGACATGATACATATAGCAATACTTGACTCATGACATGGTACAAATAGTGATACTTGACTCATGACATGATGCATATTGCGATACTTGACTCATGACATGATACATAAAGTGACAATTTGACTCATGACATGGTACATATAGCAATACTTGACTCATGACATGGTACAAATAGTGATACTTGACTCATGACATAACACATATAGCGATACTTGACTCATGACATGTACAAATAGTGATACTTGACTCATGACATGACACATATAGCGATACTTGACTCATGACATGACACATATAGTAATACTTGACTCATGACATGATACATATAGCGATACTTGACTCATGACATGATACAAATAGTGATACTTGACTCATGACATGACACATATAGCAATACTTGACTCATGACATGATACATATAGCAATACTTGACTCATGACATGGTACAAATAGTGATACTTGACTCATGACATGATGCATATTGCGATACTTGACTCATGACATGATACATAAAGTGACAATTTGACTCATGACATGATACATATAGCGATGACGTTCTATGTATAGTCATGGTGACTTGGTTCACAATACATATTGTGATATACCATTTAGTCAGTTTTTGCACGACAGCCACTGTGTCAACCAGTTTCAGCTCTTCTGAATCAAACTATGACTGAATACATGGTGTATCATGTATCACAGCAACAGATGTGATTTCATAACACATTACGGTAATACAATTAAAATTCTGACACCCTTAATCTATAGACACCTATATCTCCTCTCAAGGTTACAGAAAGAAGTTTGAAAGCATAAACCGGTACTTACACATCCTTGTAGTCGATGGCAATGACCTCCTCGTAGTCACCATCTTGTGCCAGTATTTCCTCGAAGAGATAGGCATACTCATTGTTGGAGTATTCCCTGTCTGTGTGGATGGCAGCAGCATCAACTGGCGCCTTCATCGCCTTCATCTGTCTACCTGTTACACTGAGCCTGCAACAACACACCATGCTGTCAAATACACGTGTGGGGTTGGTTTGTCTGTATATATCTGTACTGTGCACTATGAAGATGTTCACTTTTTCTCTCCTTTATCTTTCATTTGTAACTTCTTAAATCTAAATCAGAATATGTTACCCTCAAATCAAATTTTGTCATTTAATTATAGTCTGCATCACATCAGGATGGTTAAGTGTCAAAGAGTTTAAGTGAAAAATAATGTGATTAATACACACACACTTTCATACAATCAGAACCGTAATGGAAGAACAATACTGGGATTCAGGACTAGAACAGCTTCCCAGCGAACTATGCTGGATTGTGTCACTATATCTGGACTGTCTGGTAAGGACTTGATTGTTTACAGACTGCCATCATACACATGATACAGTTGGAACACTGCTGAGAGGCATGAAACCATCATCACACACACACACACACACTGTAATGGATGAATCTGCTTTGATATGAGGCTTATAACCATATGGTTTTGTAAACATGTTTTGTCACTAAATGCTAGCTTTCATGAATCAATTCTTTTGAACATAAAAGGGAATGTGACGGTCCTAAGACACAGCAGGGCCAAGATTCTAACTATACTAAAAGAACAAAATAAATTGTATGACTTGTGAAGAATAGAGATTGGACAGAGATTGGCAAAACATCTGTTGCTATGGCAGCCATGACATATTTACTGGTTGTACACTACTGTAACTAGATATGTGAAAATTTATCACAATGTCGTGGAACAATAAATTGAAGTATTTTCTGTGTAAGGAATTACCAATGAATCCATTGTTGGGATAACCCATGTAGAGTCTAAGCTTCATAAAGCTTCAACATAAAAAAGATCAATAAAGGGGGTTTGGAATGAAACGATGATTTAAAGTTGAAATCCTAAAAAGGTCAGGACAAGTTTTCTTAACATCTATATGTTGTAAATAAAGTTACACATTGTCCTATTCACTACTGTTACATATGACAATGTCATGGTGATGTTTTCTCACTCTAGTAATCAGTGGCATTAAACTTCATAAGGTTTATCAATATTTAATTCAGGTTTTACAAGCATCACACCTCTACATGTGGACATGAAACAGCCTAAACATGCCGTCATCCCCTGCTTAGAAAAATCCATTTGGCCCCGTAATAAGTACAATCTCAATTACATGTTACAGCGCTTTACCATAATAATAGTAATCCAGACACTTTTATTTTTCACGGAACAGAGGAGAAATGGGCCTGTTGTAAAATGTCAGCCATTGATGGCAGGAGCTCCGCCATGGTGACAGAACCCCAACAGTTTTTAATCCCTTATGTAACTAGGTGTGAAATGTGTAAGTTCACAGACAAACAGCTGTCCTTCAGGCTGCTTAACAGCAGGGGCCAATTGTCCCCATATTGATGGAAATTGAGAAGTAGTTCAAGTGAAACGTGCCTCTCACACAGAATACTCGTCTATGTCCCATGGTTGCCATGGTGAACATGTCAACAGCATCAAAACACTGACTGCTAGCTTTTGTTCAGGTGAACTTTTTGTTTGATGTAATTTAATGTCAAGCAAAAACAGGAATTTAGCCAAGATATTATCGATAAAAACTCTTCAATGGAACATTTTTTTTCTAAACCCAAGAAAATTTCCAAATGAAATACATTTTCCAACAAAACATTATTTTAAGCCTATTGCTTTCTTCTCCTCTGACAGTCCTTACATTTCTGGATACCACACTGTCATACAAATATTTACTTAATTGACAGAAAGAGTTTGTTTCTCAGTGTCTCACTGCCAACAAAGACACATTCAATATTTGTTGTATTTTTTACCCTGTATTTAATTTGGATCAACTATTCAACTAATATTAATATAAAAGAAACAGTATATTATGACATCCATTGAATATAATTATGCCTGCACAAATGATACATTTGATTTGGTGTTTTCCTTTGTTTGTTAGTTAGTTTTGTTGTTATTTTGTTGTTGTTGTTTGTTTAATGTCCCAGCTACAAGGCTCAAGCCTGTAATACTCCTGTAATACTCCTGTAATAATCCAGTCTGGACCAGATAATCCAGTGAATGATATTATGATCAACTATCCATGCATTCTGAGTACAATGCCTTGCAATCACAGAGCCTGACCACAACATCCATTAGCTGGCCACATACGATTGGTCTTGGATGCTAGTGATCGATCCTAACCCAGGAATCCCCAAGGGGATCAAACATTTGTAGAAATGTTTTATTTGCTTTTTGTTTTATGTAGCATTCAGCAGTATTCCAGGAATATTTGTTGGTTAACAAACATCACAATCCATCAGAATATAATGAATACCAGTGGCAAAGCTTGACCCAAATTAGTGGACTCTTACAACAAAGAATAGACTGCTGGCCTCCCGTGCTAACTCAGATACTCCAGAAATGTGCAGTTCAGAGGACAACATAATATTTTTTCTCCTTCTCTTGAGTGATTGGGCTTAACCCACTTTCAAGAGTATTCCATTTATATCACTGCATTTCAGCTTGATGAGACACATTGCTGGGACACACATGGATTTTGATTCTCAGCATGGTGAATAATGGTTCCTGAGATGACTGGGCCACCCTTGACCCAATGTTTCCTTTGAACTACTGATGACCATCAAATCCAGCATGTCCACAACAGTGTTTCCCTAACAAACACAACACACCCCTTTCAACCTACCCCTGAGAATCAGCTGATATGGAGATGTCGTTGTCTGTGACGTCAAGGAGCAGCCCTGGTGAGGAGAGTCGAGGGCTGTCCTGGGGGATCTCCTGAAAACCTTCATCCTGGGGCACCACCTTCTGGGTGCCCAAAACCCTGCAACACAGGTGAAAATGGGGTTTAACATTCCGTTACAGATCACTGCACTTATAAGCACAAGTCTATGTGTTTGTGGCTCCTTGTACTTGTCCACACCAATGTGAGTTTTACAGTTTACACTGAGACATCTTGCTGCAGTTTTATCAAGAACACCCCCACAGTGACAGTAGCCTTACACCGGGCTCACCTTCGCTGTAACCCCTTAATGCAGAAAGCCAAGCAGGGTAACAAGTACCATCTGTTAGTGTCTGATATGACAACATCAGAACTCAAACCTCTGTCCAGGCAAAACCTCTACCCCCAACATCATGAGGGGGGTCAATACACAGGCATTTGTCTACCATGTCCAAACATGGTACCATGACATCTATCAACGCCATCTCAAATATAAATTAATATTATTTTGGAAAAGAAAACACAGGAAAATTAACACTCATAGTTTGATCCATGGCACCAACAAGTCTAAATAACAAAATCTGAAGTAATGCCTGAACTAATGACAATACACAGGAACAGCCTAGCACCTACCTGAGATGAGGAAAGTGTGTGCTCCAGTCCTTACATTCCTTGAATATACTGGATGGGTTCTCACTGCTTCCTTCAAACAGGAACCGCTCAATCTCATCAAACAGCTGGTTTACTGTTTTTGCTGCCTGTCGGTCAAACTCCTGAAAAGACAACAGAGGTGCATCAGTGACGCAACAGGATTGGAGCTCCCATGGTTCCATCAGCTAAGACCATCATGATGACAAAAAACATCCCAAACCCCACCTTTTCAAAACTATCAATAGGATTTGTCCACAATAGTCAGCAATAATGTGACAAGTATTACCTGACTGGGACTAGGTAAACCAGCTGAAGCTAGACATATGAGAGGTCACAGTGTCAGGTAAGATTTCAGCTGGCAGGTCAGTCAGTGCCTTGCTTTGAACATAATGTCAGGCACAGTACAACATGCCAGCTTAATGTCAGAGGAACTCACATTGATGTATGTTATGGACAAGGTGAGACACTGGTGAACCCAAAGGCATAGTGATGACTACCAAGCAAAGTGTTGCAAGGGCCCTGGGGTCCTGCTCCTATAACATTTGAATCGAGGGACCAATTTAACATTAGGGTTATGACAAGGACCAGTTAAGACTGTGACTAGGTATGACAATGACATAGTATGCCATGAAAGGGACCAGCTGTTCCAAGAACCAGTTATGACAGAGACCAACCATGACAAAGATCAGGTATGAGTGAGTGAGTGAGTTTAGTTTTACACCGCATTCTAGCTATATATGGTAGTCTGTAAATAATCGTGTCTGGACCAGACAATCTAGTGATCAACAGCTTGAGCATCGACCTATGCAATTGAGATCAGGTATGACATGACAGAGACCAGCCATGACAAAGATCAGGTATGAGTGAATGAGTGAGTTTAGTTTTACACCGCATTCTAGCTATATATGGTAGTCTGTAAATAATCGTGTCTGGACCAGACAATCTAGTGATCAACAGCATGAGCATCAACCTATGCAATTGAGATCAGGTATGACATGACAGAGACCAGCCATGACAAAGATCAGGTATGACATGACAGACACCAGCCATGACAAAGATCGGGTATGACATGACAGACCAGCCATGACAAAGATCGGGTATGACATGACAGACACCAGCCATGACAAAGATCGGGTATGACATGACAGAGACCAGCCATGACAAAGATCAGGTATGACATGACAGAGGCCAGCCATGACAAAGATTGGGTATGACATGACAGAGACCAGCCATGACAAAGATCAGGTATGACATGACAGAGACAAGCCATGACAAAGATCAGGTATGACATGACAGACCAGCTATGACTGGGACGAGTTAGGACAAGAAGATTAAAACGCAACCAGAGGATTCTTGTGGGCCTCACAGAGGCAACAGATGCAGCTGGCTATCTGTGTATAGGACTGTTGTCAAGGAGTTGATGTACTCACATCCCAGGTGCAGGAGGAGCCCAGACTGCTCCTCTCCGTTGTGTTGCCAGTCGTCCATCCTCCATGCGATGCAGACAGCGCGCTGTGTGTCTCGATTGTTGGGGATGACCGCCCACTGCTGGCTGGGGTCGTGTTGAGGCTACAAGGTAGATTCATAAACTATCAGTACTAACCAGATAAACAAATACAATTACAAAATACATCTTAATCGCCTCAATTTACTTTTTTGCTTATATATCATAATTTATGAACAGTGCACTGATCAAAGTGGATTCAATACTCAGTATGCATGTGTCCTCTGTACAAAAATGCCTGTGAAAAATGCTCAAACAGTATTATAGAGTTATGACACAACAAATACTAAGGCTGTAACGATTCACTCGCATATTCCGTGAATCAAACCGTAGCCCTTCATGAATTCAATTCGTTATTCGTGGTCACGAGAACCGAATATTAATGAATATTTACGATTATTTTAAGGGAGCATGTTTTACTTGAACCCTTATGTCCTTTCCACAGTGAGATATGCAAGAATGGAATATGTACTAGCATTGCAGTAGTGCAAGTCATGTTAGTTTGCCAAGACTTCGCATGGTACTGTCAATTATAACTATTACATACCAAATTTGAGTGTCATGAGATCACTGGTTATTGCAGTGACAAATTAACACTGTCAACATGGCCGTTCCATATTGTACATCAATCACTTAACTACAATATTGTATTCGTAAATAATTATTCGTATTCGTTACCCAATATTCATGATACGTATCATATTCGCCACATAGTGTATTCATTGCAGCCCTTCCAAATACAGTATCTTAAGAGGTATTGGCCTATTTCAATTCCTTATCATTTTACAAAGTATTTCAGGTTAGAAATATCCCCCCCTCTCATGAAACTCAAGAAATTGTTGAACACAGATGGACTTGTCCATGTCAGTGATGCAACTCTTAAAGCTGGCCTTTCATAGTTCTGTTCCCTTAATGACAAGCACCAAGGAGTACTATTAGGTGCAATCTTTGGGTATTACACAACCAAGAGACCAAACTACCAACTTTCTTAAATGTCTTTCATTAATAAACAAAACTTGTAAAAAATAAAATATTTTATCAGCATAATGTAATCTAATGTTGATTAAATATAGTGGAGGGGTCATTGCACCATGTTAAAAATATGCATGTCAGTAAAACCATTCAGTTTAACATTAGTGAATAGTGTAGGCAGGTACATAGCACAGCATGTTTGGATGTACCTAAACCAAATACAGGGGCAGGCTAGCATATGTTAACAGGACACATGAGTAATTCTCATTTCAGCCTCAATATGTATTTTTTAACACTAAAAGGTCTGTGAGAAAACGTAATGAGTCAATAAATGAATGTCATATTTATTCTGCCCGTCAAGCATGTTTTATGCTCCTCATGTAGCTACTGCACAGCACTATGCATGGTCACAATGTCCACGCCCAAAACTGTTGGCCTCAGCATGCACAGCGCATTCACTTAAACCTAATGATTACGGCAGGTTTAGTAATTGGGCTTCAATAATGGAAATATCATCACTGAATCAATAATGCTATCAGGATGGATAATGATTCTCATTAAACTAATCACTGATGCTATCTCATACAATGCCATGGTGCCTTTTTCAGGATGATTAAAGTGGTGACTTGAATATTGAATAGATCTCACTGGGGTGGGTATTGTGTAGAAGCAGTCACAAACATTAGCTCTTAGGGAAGAGCGAGGGTAAACTTTTAGGTAATGGTGGTAAGGAAGGGAAGAAGGAAGCAGTAACAAGCGATGGTGGTCAGGGGAGGAGGAAGGAAGCAGTAACAGGCAATGGTTGTCATCAAGGGAAGAAGGAAGCAGTCACAGGCAATGATGGTCAGGGAAGGAAGCAGTAACAGGCAATGGCGGTCAGGGAAGAAGGAAGCAGTAACAGGCAATGGCGGTCAGGGAAGAAGGAAGCAGTAACAGGCAATGGCGGTCAAGGAAGAAGGAAGCAGTAACAGGCAATGGTGGTCAGGGAAGGAAGAAGGAAGCAGTAACAGGCAATGGTGTCTCCGCTGTGATATCGCTTTCAGCAATATTCCAGCAATATCACAGCAGAGACACCAGAAAAGGGCTTCACACATTGTACCTATGTGGGGAATAGAACCCAGGCCTTTGGCATGACAACACTTTAACAACTAGACTACCCCACTGCCCCTAGAGAGTCAGGGAAGAAGCAGTGACAAGTAATGGGGGTCAGGGAGGGAGCATAGAAAAGCTAACATTGACAACCTTGTAGTTGCATTTGACAATCAATATTAAAAAGTCCAAAATTCTTAGAAAAATACTATTGTCATCATTCTAATCACACAAGAGGATGTAGACTTAGATACAGACCTAGATGTTCATAGATGTGAAAAGAAGCATTTTCAGACAAAGATTCATGAAATTCCATCTGCGATACAAGCTAATATTTTCTTCAAAGAGGACAAGTCCTTCTCTTACTGGTTCAGGATATGATTTCACCAGGTTGTAATATTGATATTTCACTGCCAGGAATGATGAATTGTATAAACTCAGGGGAGAGAGTAAAATCATTGATTGTGGATGCCCCACCCATTCAATATTGCTGTGTACATGATCCCCAACCTGAAACATGGATACTAGTTTGAATATTTCATGTGATGTGATCATGGTGATTGAGTAGCTTATACGACATCCCACAGACAGGCTCACTCAATAATACATGCAAAAGTCAATCACCTTTCATCTACAAGAACGCATAAACCAGGGAGAACGTACATTTCATATTAAAGAACATTTGTACAGAACTGACTGAAAATATTGGAACATGTTCAAAACATTATTAAAACTACTCATTATCAAATACTCAAGTATTCAGTAGAATTGTGAACGTGCTACTCTACAATCACTGGATCAGCACAGTTAATTATACCCAGGAGTAGACACTATTAATTGTATCAGACTAGACTACAGGTCATTTTGGACAAGTGGTTTATAGAAAGTAGAGGTTTAAAGTTTGGTAGAAAACAACTCCTTTCTCTGGATATTCACTAGTCACAGACTACAACTTCGAATTTCACTGTATCTGAATTCAAGCCATTCTAGGTCTGCTTGCAGAAAGGGTCTGCTTGCACTCTTTGAGCTCCATCCATCAAAACCTGTATACTTCAATAAAGACTTATGAAAGAGCACTTTGTGCAAGAGGGCCAAGGTTTCCAAATAAAGACAAATCCACATATCAGGCAGTTAGACTCACACTAGCAACGTCTCCAGCCAGGTGTTCCTTTAATCTCACAAAATGTCAGTACAAATACATGCAACAACCTTTGTGTACTTGAGGAATTACTGTTTGTTTCCTAATCCAACATTATGATAAGAGCAGTGTCTGTATACCTTGATGTGGGTTTACAGGAACTTACGTAAGCATCATAAAGATGCGGATATAAACTGATCTTTTGCAACTGACCTTGACACTGGCTCATGTATGCTTTGGAGGATCTGCCGCATGATAGGATCCTCATCAACACTGTCAAGCGGTGGGCGGTCATCGATGGGTGTGCGTGTGAAGCCTCGTCTGAAGGAGAGATGGGAAACATGAACACAATGATACTGCAGATTGAAAACAAACAATCATTCCATCACAAGTGTTTCAACACTGAAGAAAGTGAAATTGTGGAGCACCTCCTTTGTAGTAAAGTACAGACCTACCAGACATATTTGATGGCTAATCCATATTGGGTTATAGTCAGACATATATCTCAGGCCTTGCATGCCACAGAACAACAATTTCAAATCTTTATACCCTCAGCCTTCAAACATTATGCAAGTTCACTAGCCAACTAATGTTATACTACTAAATTGTGCTGAGTACAAACATACAGTCAGTGCTGTATGTCCACACTGACCAGAACCTCCAGACTGACATTAGTCCCATAAAAATGTTACCTGATTGAAAAATATATGTATCTACAAATAATATTTGAAATTGAGCCAAGAACAATGTTTAATTTCTGAGATGAGGCAATATAGATTAACCAAATCATCTTCACTCAAGTTGGATGTCCATTCTTGCTGTATTCTCAGGTGTCTTGGAGACTAAACTCGACGGCTATATTTCTGAACCAATTCTCAATGCTTCAGTTGAAACCGAATAAAAGTGACAGGAACTGTGAACATAGTAAACAGTTTGTCTCATTCAAGCAGGACCAGTTTCAGTGAGTGAGTGAGTTTAGTTTTACGCTGCACTCCTCAATATTCCAGCTATATGGCGGCGGTCTGTAAATAATCAAGTCTGGACCAACTTTTTAAATCATTAAAATATAGCAATGTTGAATGTGACGCTATGAACACTTTATTTACAAAACTGAAGAGAAACAGGACCACGGCATGTTGACAAGAAATCCTATTCGGTGTAACGAGGGACCATATTGTGTAGAATTGCAAGCCTGACACTGAGAAGTATGGACATAGGTTTGAAGCTTACTACAATAGGGGGTTTATGCACTACATCCCGATATCACATTTTCAAGATTAGACTCATAGTGACGAAAAACAATTATGTACCAAAGCCTATTCGTCTCCCCTCGCCGCCATCTTTGACGATTTGTATGCCGTTTCAGGATGCTATGACTGCCGTGTTCGTGTTGGGATGCTATGAATGCCGTTTTGTACGCTCGGCGACCGTTCTCACACGCTCTTGTAGCTGATATGTGAGTTTTGTTTCCATTTCAAACGATTTGTCTTCCATTACAGATATATTGTTTCGGTTTTAGAGGATATTGTTGCAGTTTTGGTGTTTTTTGTTCTGTTTTGGTGTACATGTATATGAGATCAGTTTGATGATTTGTTCACCCTTTGTATGGTAGGCCTGATAAAGATGTGATAAATGGACACTGAAGTAAATACATAGATTTCTGTGGAACGTTACTGATGGTCACTGTCAGCTGGGGAACACATTGAGTCCATAGACTTGTGGTCCATCTTGAGATAATATTAAGAATAATAATACTGAAAATTTATATTATGTAGCGCTAAATCCAAAACAATAAACAAAAGATTCAAATTTTGCAAATATGCACATGCATTCACTTGTAAACAAAAGAGAGACTCATTATGAAGTTTGGATGTTTAATGCTGTTTTGTTTCTGACTGAGGTCACAGAAAGTTAAATCAAGATTTTCATTAAAAATTATGGTCAGCAATAAGTGATGAGTGGGTCATGTGCAGCCCAGGTCATAAACCAGTTGAAGTGAAGCAACCTTGGTCACGGAGAGTTCTTGGATGGGTGGCAGTGTTTGGCAGCTTGACTCCTGAGGTTTTATAGGACTTCAGTCCTGCCCCACATCAAAGCACACATGACCCATGTAGTCTCCACTTAGGCAAGTGCGTTTGTACAAAATTGCGTGTTCACTCAGCAGTGAATGGGTACCCAGTGGGACAAGCCAAATGACTACCGGGTATTAACCTTTTAGCGCCTGAGGGCAGCTTGGGTTACCTGAGGGTAATAATAAACATTTTTTGGTCCCCGCTTAGAGCATAACTGTGGAGTTAAGTTCCAGATAAGTGGCTTTATTTGATAATAGCATCATGCCGTGAGTATTGTATACAGTGTATCCTAAAGAAAGATTACATTCATTGTGTTACAGTGGATTGTTCATCATACATAAAAGTCATTAAAATCATATTTGTTTTAGACTGCCTACGCAGAATTTCATCCCCAAAATGTGTGTAAATGAACTTGAGATGCACAACTATCAAGCATAAGATACATACTAGTAAGAATAAAAACATGAATGTGAATTATATATACAGCAACTATTAACATGCTCAGTATCAACTGATGAGGTATGACTGTAATTTAAATGAATGGTGGCCTTGACCTTTGACACATCTGGACCCCAAACAGGACTCCATATTGAGACAGTATATTCCAAGTTTGGTAATAAACTGATTATTTGATCTCATGACTGAATTTTCTGCCCAAAGACTTCTTCAGGAGAAGTACAGAAGTATCATAAATTCACCCAAACTAAACAGTATCAAACATTTTCACTGGCAAACATTATATTCATTACTATATCCTGAAACAGCCAACAGCCTCCATTGTGTGGTTATCTACAATACTTAAGGGCAAATCAAGACTAGAAACTTATCACCCTGTGTTCCCCCCATACTGCCCGCACCCTGGACTGGCCTGACAGTAAGGTAATACTGTTTGCTTGGCAGCACCCCCTGGTTACTACAATGGCAACTAGGCAGTGACCAGCACAACCAAGGACAGATAAGCCACATTGAATGGCAGGACCTGGTATTTAGTTGACCAAGATATACTTCTGTGGAAGGAAATCAAAGGCTGAAGGTGTCAGGCCCTATCTTGATAAACAGTTGACAAGATATCTGATACACCAGCCTTCATAACAAAGTGTTGTTTAGTCAGGCGCTTGTAGGAGAGAGGCACTGCTCAATCAATCACTGGTGATGATAAAAGATCAATCAGTGCGCCTTATCAGTGTTACCTGACAGTTACCAGGCCAGCAAGGTATGGTACTGACCAGGATCACCTGTACCAACACCATAGTAATTATCAGATAAAATCTCCAAGCTGACCAGTAAGAAAGCTACTACTGTGCCCTAAGACTGAGCTGCAGTAATAATCTCTTAATGATGCTAATATCCTCTCTAAAACCTTGGGTCACAAGTTCAACATCACCACTTCCACATTCAGTTTCGTCAGAAACATCATTAATGTTTTTTGTTTATAATATTATCTTCCAGCATAAATAATTTTATATCTAAGATACATGCACACCCCTTGTATATGGATAAAGACATTCATATTAGATACTTTTTTATTAAGTATGAAAATATAATAAAATCAATCACAAGCTCCCTCCACAAATACTAATAACAATGATAATATTCCTTACCTAGAAAGGATTGACTTATTAAAAGCTTGTCCATGAATACACAACATAGCTGTACTCCCAGTGAGAGGGACAGCATTTATTCTGTGTTGATATCCACTAGACTTATGAAGTTGACAGCAGGACCTTCAGTCCTACAACCCTCCTTCAGCTGATAAGGCTAACAATACACATAAAACCACAGACAATTCTTTAGCTGGGCTACATATCATTCCTTTCATACGGGCAATATCAAAGTTATATGAATTTTTACATCAAATATTGAACCAGGCCTAATGATATCTGGTCATGCAAACTTTAAGCACTTCATAATGAATACATCTGCATCAGCAGTTAACAGATAATATAAAAAACATGAAAGAAAATCACGCTATCAAAATCTATGAAAGAAATATTATGCAGATAAAAGACACATGGGAGTGCAATGTATAAACCCTAAACACTTCATAAACTATTTAATTGATGTCAGTCACTGGTATTCATTACGCACTTTTTCTTTCCAAACACAGCAGGCATTCAGTAGAGGTGCATACATAGTGTATACGAACACTATATTGTGTGACGTAAATGTGGCCAAACACTTGCTATAGAACTGTCACCGTGGGCTGTGCAAACACATGTCATTGTGTAATGGACTAACACCAATAATAGCCCCTATCAACATCAGGTAGAGGCCCATTTGGCACAGTGTCCACAAACAAGCCCATTTAGTCAAGCCAATACATAACCGAGTTAATTTACAGAGCATGGATCAGTGAATATCTCCTAGGAATGAAATCACCCCATTCAAGTATACCCCTGTCACTAATGGGCCAAGCTTCTCCATACATTCAACGTTAGAATCTGATATAACCAGTCGTTCAGACGATCACAGATGAACACCCCTGTAAAGAGACATATCATTTGTTCATAGCAAAGCCTTACTTTCCCTTGGCCTTAAAAGGTCAGTTGTTCTTGAGTAGGAATGTCTACTTCAATATCAAGATGTGCATGAAATCATATGGTTTATTATTCGGGTGTAAAACTGAATACTTCTCATTGTCTAGCTCACATAACCAAGTACTGAATAAGGTTGTGATTGATATGAAACGTAAGTGACAGACCTTTCACAAAGAGAACCTAGTACCATGAAAATAGAAAGTCTATTTGAAAGTACATGAGTTAAGATAGTGACAGCGCTGCCAGGGCTACGTGAACATTATTACAACAAACAGTGCCTACAACTGACAAACATGAACATGTAAATGAACATGAAACATAATATCAATAATTTAAATATACTCTTAATTTCATGGCATTGGTTATTATAAAAATATCAATATATTTTCAATTTCAACTCTGCAGATATAAAATAACTTACATAAAAAAATCAAAGATTTTCAATTTTGTCCTTTCAACATGCAAACCAAATCAGTGAATAACACACATCAATCTATATGCTCACGATTGAACCCAAACTATTAAACTGTGTATCAATAGTGTGTTATTTATTAGATGACACCACCCGGAATGAGTCTACGGCTTCACACACATGCAAACAGTGGAAATGACTTTCTCCACATTTATGTCCAAGTACTTTCAATAGCTGCTCCCATAAACAGGTGATGGGCCAGTTATAGAACATAACATGATGGCTGATGACAACTACTGT